ACACTTCCATTTATAATAGCATGAAAGAAAATACTTAGAAAAAAATTCAAAAGAAGTATAAAAGTTTTATTTTGAAAACTATAAAACGTGGGAAGAATTTAAAGAAAACTTAAATAGAAAGACATTCCACGTTTACGAGTCCGAAGACCTAATATTGTTAATATTGCAATATGCCCCAAACTGATCTACAGATTTAACACCTAATATGGCTCATCTAGCCCCTTCGGCTGTGGCACTTAATTTATGGTTTTATTGTTCCAACTGTGCTCTAGCCCTGCTGATGATTTTCTGGTTTCCTGAAGTGGCTCTCTCAAGTATCTTTGGTTTTTGACAGGCTGTCTATTCCCTTTGCCTTAGATGCTCTTCCCAACTTCCTTATGTGGGTAATTCCCATTGGTTGTCCTCAGGTCTCAGCTTACAATCCCTTTTTTCCTCTAAGATATCTTCCTTGATCTACTTTGAAGAGGATAAATGCCTATTTCTGTGTGTGCCTTGAAGACCATATTCTTACTGAGTTTCAACACTTCCTACACAGTTCTATCCATCCCTTTTATATTCTACTTGTCTGGGTTCCCTTAATGAAATGTAGTCATGTCTGGCAGGCAGGGCCGAATCATATTTGCCATATTTACTGAACAAAGGAACGGAACAAATTGAAGAACTCACATGCTGATTTTGTCAAATGATACTTCTTTCTTTTGTTTCCACCATGAACTAGGGTAATGGTTCTGAGTCTTACCTGCACATTAAAAGTCCTAGGCCATACCTTAGACCAATTAAACCAAGACCTCTGAGCAGGTGGGGTGGGCAGGTATGAGTATTTTTAAGCTCCTCTGATAATTAAATATACAGCTAAGGCTAAACCACTGTACTAGAAGTAGATTCTCTTCTATGAGACCATCTCCTAAGATTAAAATATTTCAAAGCTACATATAAGCCAATAGCATTTGGAGGCTGTTCTGGACTTAAATATTCTCTGGTCACATGGAAGAGCCACTCCAACCCTAAAGAGATGAATAATAGATAACAGCCTTGATTCAGGTGGTATGGTTCAGAGACAGAGGGGTTCAAGGTTTGCCTGAGTGGGGTCTGGTTTGGACCTGAGCACAGAGGCCTGTGTAGGCCTTTAGATCTGAACTCACAGGGCAGGCCTCAAATTCTTCAAGTCTCAGTGTCATTACAAACATTGGCACTGGAAATAGCCCAAGGTTAACATGGATATGGTTGTTGTAAATCACTGGAAATTGTAGGCCTTCCTGTCTGGACCCAACCCACACATGGATTCACATGGAACACGATCAAGTCTAAAATTCTATTTCATTATCAGAGCATCTTACTTTTCTGTATTTCCCATTAGATTGCAATCTCTTTCAGGGTTAAAACTGTGTCTATCTCATTCACCGCTGCATTCCCACAAATCTGGTATATAATAGGGTTTTAATACATATAGACAAAACACATAGAGAGGCAAGCAAGCAGAGATGAACAACAATAAAAACAAAAGAACCCAGTATACTGAGAAGAGATTATCAGTGGTTTTGCAAACCAAGTCCTAGGTATTTGGTATTTTGCAGACAGGTCATGCTATGTTATTATATAAAGTTAGGTTATTTTCACACATCAATATTCATAAGTATCTAATGTAAAATTTGCATCTAGACATAGTACATGATTTTATATTGCAAATTACCTTACTATGTGACATAAAAAAACCATTTATTTTATTTCATTTTCTTACTTATTTTATTTAAATTCAATTAGTTAACATATCGTGTATCATTAGTTTCTAATGTAGAGTTCAGTTATTAATTCATTGCATATAACACCCAGTGCTCATTATATCACATGCCCTCCTTATTGCCCATCACCCAGTTACCCCATCTCCCAACCCCCTTCCCTTTCCACAACCCTCATTTTGTTTCCTATGGTTAAGAGTCATTTATGGTTTGTTTCCCTCTCTGATTTCATCTTATTTTATTTTCCCTCCCTTTCTCTATGATCCTCTGTTCTGTTTCTTAAATTCCACATACGAGCAAAACCATATGATAATTCTTTCTCTGATTGACATATCTCACTTAGCATAATACCTTCCAGTTCCATCCATGTCAATGTAAATGTAAGATTTCACGAGAATTTATTGTAAAATACATCTGTAATTTAGTTAAATTTTAAAGTCACAGAAAGAAATGACAACAGAAGCTTCTTCCCTGAAATCAGCTAGGCTGATTCTCCTCTAAAGCAAATTTGCAAAATCATTAAACTGAGTTTCGAAATGAGGCAAGTTCAAACAAACAAAATAACTTTGCTATCATTAGGAAAGAACTAAGGAACAGCTAAGCAATTCTACTATGGCTAATATTTGTATAATAAATGCAACAGAAAGAAACTTCATATTTTTTTTTAAAGATTTTATTTATTTATTTGTCAGAGAGAGAGAGAGAGGGAGAGGGAGAGAGAGCAAGCACAGGCAGACAGAATGGCAGGCAGAGGCAGAGGGAGAAGCAGGCTCCCTGCTGAGCAAGGAGCCCGATATGGGACTCCATCCCAGGACGCTGGGATCATGACCTGAGCTGAAGGCAGCTGCTTAACCAACTGGGCCACCCAGGCGTCCCAGAAACTTCATATTTTGAGTTAAATACAAATTAGTGTGGAATGAAGTACCCTCACTCCTTTCCTATTCTCATTCTTGCTTTGGGGAGGGAGGTTCTTTTAGCATGCAAAAAGAGGCAGTTAATATTCTAGTTACCTAGAGAAAGGTCTCCCCTCTGACATCTCTAAGGCCTGAGGTCTGTCCAACACCCTCGTGCTAGACCCTAGTAGAGGGTACTGTATCTGGATAAAGAAGGAAAATTTGGCAATAAAGGACTAGAGAGTACCCATCAAGGTTAACTGGATATGGACTAGCCACAGGAAAAGTATTTTCCATTATCCTCTGGATTTTGTGTATATTTTTGATGGATTTTAATGTTTTTATATGTTTTGTATTTTGTATATTTTGTGTATATTTTTTATAACATTACAATGAACCAGCACACCATGATTTGATAACGGAACCCACCTGAATATCATTACAGACTGCGAGGCAGAGCACTGAGGTTATGCAATAAATCCAGTTCTCTGGCGGAAAAGAGAAAAAGAAATGAATGTCAAAACAAACAAAAAATAAGAGAACTGAACTTCAGAGATGTACACATTCTAAACTAACAAATATCCATTTAAATTCAATAAAAAAATGAATATATCTTCCTTTTAAATTTAAAATCTGGAGCTTTTTAGGAATTTTGGCTCTTCTACAACTCCAACAGCTTCCTTCAGTGTTGCATAAATAGTAAGAGACAGGTGGGGAGCTTCATTCATGTGAATGTGAATAGTGCCCCCTGTTGGAATCACCCAAACTTCGTATTGAGGTGAATCCACTTCTGACTTGAGGAAAAACTAGAAGTGCCCAGTGTGGCTTACATATGGCCCCTCTTCCCACCTTCTTTTTAGCTTCCTTCCAGATTTTTGCACCAACCATAATGATCTACTCAACAACCAGCTGATTGTCATGTTTTTTCTTCCCCTTTTCCCGAGGTTTGCACAAGTTGTTCCCTTTGCCAAGCAAATTCTCCCCTCACTGTCCTACACCTTGACTAAATTCTTTTCCTCTTTCAGGCTTAGGATGAAATGTCACAATGGAAAACTTTGCCTAATAATAACTAAAACATATTGAGAATTTACTGTGGGGCAGGCACTTAGCTCTAAGTTCTTTCACAAGCCTTAACTTTCATAACTATCAAGAAAACTGTGGGAAGTAGGGATGATTACCCCATTTCATGGATGAGGAAACTGAGGCACAGATAGAAGGAATTTCCAAAACATTGTTACAAAGATAGGACCATGAACTCTCAGATGAATTTAGAAACTGATGGTGAGCAAATGGCTAAGAATGAGGGATTGGGTATCCTAATGAGGTTAAACATTGTGCTGGGATGGGCGTCTTTTGAACAAATTACTTAAGACTCAAAGATTATGGTAAAAGAGAGGTAGTAACTGCACTGGAGATTTCTGGAGACGGTGCAGCCTTTGGTGGGGACACGGTTCAAGCTACAAGCTGGGAAATGAGAGGCTGGAGTGGAGGAGGGTGTCCTTGACGTTTTGGTTTTTCTTAAAGATGTTATGCTTATTTAGAAGCGAGTGTGGGAGGCAGAGGGACAGGAAGCGAGAGAATCCCAAGCAGACTCCCCGCTGAGCAAGCAGCCCCACTTGGGGCTCGATCTCACCACCCCAAGATCATGACCTCAACCGAAATCAAGAGTCTGAGCTCAACCGACAGAGCCATCTGGGCGCCCTGACGATAATTTTTTTTTTCTTAAATGCACAGTTTCTGCTAAATTCTCTTTAAATAACTGCTGGATGGATACGGTGAAATGCAGCATTATCAGGCAAGCCCTAACTGAAGTCTCCTCAGAGGCTTCTCGCTTTTGCTTCTGTCCCCAAGCAGAGGAACATTCTCCACAGCCCACGGGAACATTCGCTGTCCAGATTCCCAAGCTGGTCTCGCTCCCTTAACCTCAGGTGGCAACCGAGTCCAAGCCCGGCGTTTCATCCACGTCTGGCGTCACTGGTCCCTGAAGGCGAGGATTCGCCTCAGAAGGAGGCCGCGCAAGGAGAAGCTGCTGCCAGCATCGGAAGGGCGGGAGCTTGGCGGCAGCACGAAGTCTGTCCCTCAGGTCCGCCTCTGGCCCAGCCGCCCCGCAGGAGCGTGTCCGAGCCTCGGCGTAAGGCAGCGGCGGCTTCGCCTCAAGAAAGGGAGATGGGCTAGTCGGCGGCTGCAGCAGGAGACCTCGCCCCCTCACCCCACACAGGCTGCACACCTTTAGGAAGCCTCGCGACCCTGAGTACCCGAGGCAAAGGCGGCAAAGGCGGCGGGAAGCTGGGCCCCGCCTTCCCAACGGATCAGGGAGGGGCGTGGCCGCAGCAGGCCCCGCCTACGCCGCGCGCCGGCCCCTGGGCAACCGGCATAACACAATAAAATGGCCGCTGCGTCGCTGGACGCCTAGAGGGAAGAAGCTGCGCGTCTCCAGCTCCGCCGCGTCCCGCGGGCCTGCTCCGCTCGGCTCCCTGGCGGTGAGTGCCAGGCCCGGTCGAGGCCGTTGTCCGGCACCGGGCGGAGCCGTGGGGGCCGGTGGCGAAGGCGGGAAGGCCTGGACCAAGCGTGGGGTGGGCCGGCTGGGGATGGATTCGGGCGCGGGGGCGTGTTCCTGGGAATTGGGATTGGATGAGAAGGAGGGGAGGGCCCGGAACGGGCGTGGAGAGGAGGATGAAAAAGGGAGGTTCGGATGAATACTGAGGAGGTCACGGGTGGGGATGGCGGGGGCGCGTGGGCTTAGAGAACCGGAGTGAGGGGAAGTGTGGACGTCGGGGTGCGGCGCCGAGAAGGGTGGGGTCCCGCCACCCAGAGGAGGGGGGAGGGACTGGGGTGTGCCAGGTGTCTGTGGGGAATGACAGGGATAAAGGACGGTTTGAGTGTCGTGTCGTGGTATCGTACGGAGTACAGTACATGGACAATGATGAGTTAGGGTGTTGGGGAAAAATGTTAAATGGAAAAGCAAATATTTTGTTGTATAATGATTAAAGGATGGGTGAATTTTCATGTCAAAACTTGGGTCCAAGTCTTGATTGTGCCACCTTGTGTGTTACTCAACCTGCTCTTGACTTTGGGCATGTTCCTTAATCTTCCTGAGCACGTTTTCTCACTTGTAAAAATAACTTCTGGTTACCTTTGAGTCTACACTATGTGTCAAATCCAATTCTAAGCCCTTCACGTACTAACTAATTCAGAATTTAAAATAACTTGCATGAAGTAGCAATCTTCAGTTTAAAAGTGGTGAAACTGAGGATCAGAGAGGTTAAGTAATTTGCCTAATGTCACACAGTAAATGGAGAAGCAGGATCTGAACTCCGGCTGTTTAGTCCTAGAATCCAAGCTCTTAATTCTCAGTGAAACACTGCCGCTTGTAAAAGAGGTTACTAATTCTGACCTTATACATTATCTGTGAGAATTTAAATTTGCTAATGTCCTTAGAGTGCTTAGTACAGTCCTCTTTTCATTCATTCAACAAATATTTATTGTACATCAAACAATAGAATCTCTGCTTTCTTGTAGCTTAGAAACAAGCAATAGCCAAGTTGTTGCACAAATGATTATATAATTCTAATTGTAAGATGTTATAAAGGAGATTACTTGGTGCAAAGACCATGTATAAGCGGGAGATATAATCCTTTTGTGCATCTTGAGTGTAGAAAACACTACTTTTCTTTTCTAAAAGAAAAGGCTTTTAATCTGTTTTTAAAGCCTCACACAGTTCTCAGTGCATAAAAGTTACTGAATAAAATTGAATTACTGAATAAATAAATTAATGGGAAGAGATGAGCAACATGGGCTTTTAGAATACCTGAGTAGAATGGAGAGAGACATGAGAGGAGAACCCAGGATGTTAATAGAATGAAGAGGGAGGTCAGGGTATTAGAAGGGAAAGGTTAGTAGTTAAGCAATCATATTGGGATAAAGAGGAATATGTCAAGGTTTGGCTATTTTGTTGGAGGAGGAGAATAATTTGAAGTAAGAGTATTGGAATGGATTAGGATGTCAAGATATTTGCTAAGATGAGTAGTTTGGGGAATCAGGACAGATATAGAAGTGTTGAGGTAGGATATTGGAAAGAACTACAGATAAATGGAGGCTAATACAATGTTGGGAAAGTGGGACAGAATTTGTGGGGAAACTTGGCAATGAGAATGAGATGAAGGATAGGAGGCAGAGGTTGACAAGCGCGGGATGGGAGGATTGCCTTTGGTGAGGAATGGGAATCATCATATTTGAAAGGACTAGAGAAAGTTAAAGAGTAAGGTATTTAAATGGGTCAGAGGGTATGGGATGAAGTAGAATTGCAGGGAAAATACCGAGATGTGATTAAAAGGCTACAGGATGGAAAGGAGGATATGGAGGTCAAGAAATCGGAATGGATTTTTGCATGTTGGAGTGGACTGGGAAGAGAGAGGGAGGGTTTGGGGATAATGGTGGTCTGTCTTATTTGGAAAAGATCAAAGGAGATGGACAATTAGAAGTGAGAGGAAAGGCCTAATAGAGGGGGAGGTATAGTCTCTAAGAAGCTATGTGTCAGGGCAAGGGAGTGACAGGATGGATGGTGTTTTCTGACCCATCAGTCATATGACTCTGATAATCCCATTATTCCAGTAACTTTCTCTTATACTGCAGACCCCCTTCTGGGCCTTCAGAATATGTCTCCAGCTCCGGACTTTTTTGCTTGTTTTGTTTTCTCTTTATTCTACCCCTTCATATACTCTAGCCCTACCTCTCAACTGTCATCATCATCATCTTTTTTTATTGTTTGGTCTTAATGTGATTACAAATGACATCTAGCGTCAGACAATCTCCCCATCTCTCCCTTAAAATTGTAGTTGACCATTTACTACATCTAGGTGCTAGTCTCTGAAATAATGCTAGCCATTCTCAAACACAGTCCAGTTCGCTATTACTGAGTTCGCTTTTTTATGAGATTGTGATATGTATCTGTTGTTTCACTGTCCAGGCCTTACAGGAGCTATGGCAACCCAGGGACGGGATCTGGGAATGCATTGTGACTTTGAAACTATCACTTAATCTTTCATGTTAAAATTCATAAAAGAAAGGAACTGACCTAGATTTCAGAAATCCATTCTAATATTTTTTTTTAAATCTATAAATCTAAAGCAGATATTTTCTGATCAAGAGAGGTAACAGAGTTCCTCATAATAGTCTAGTGAAGCCTGAAAGGTCTTAGTCATTACAATGTTATGAAGAGAATTCAGGATGGTTCAGTATTGTAAGAATTTAGAGAGAGGACTAAGATGTGGGATACAGAATAATTGCATTGCCTAAAAATATAAGATGTGCTTTTTTTTTTAGTCAAAAAACTAAAGAAATATATATATAAAGCATGTCTTTGTAGTATGTGGCAACATCCTATTCTAGTTATATAATTTTCTATCCTGTTACAGGGTAGGGAAAGATATATACACAGAAGTGAGAGTTGGTCCCTGTCACCCCCCTCTTTTATTTTTATAATCTCCTGCCTTCATGAAACCTACATATAACTCAGGAATAAATATATTTAATTTTATTTATTTATTTACACAATTTTATTTTTAAAACACATGCCTCTTAGCTATCCTCAGGTTTGAGTATACGATTCTTTTTTTTTTTTTTTTTAAGATTTTATTTATTTATTTATTTATTTATTTATTTGACAGGAAGAGATCACAAGTAAGCAGAGAGGCAGGCAGAGAGAGAGGGGGACGCAGGGTCCCTGCTGAGCAGAGAGCCCGATGCGGAGGTCAGTCCCAGGACCCTGGGATCATGACCTGAGCCAAAGGCAGAAGCTTTAACCCACTGAGCTACCTAGGCACCCCGAGTATATTATTCTTATTTAGAAAGAGACACCCTTACAAGTCAATACAGAATCAGTATTACTAAGAGATTTGTTTCCATGGCAGAGTGGTGTGATAGTAGCGATAGAAGTTTTTGCCACACTTGGGAAATTAGGACCAAAAGCTTTGTCACTGGCATAAAGAGCAGTTACGTGAATTGGAGGTGGCTTTTCTGAACTATATGGCTAGTTTATCATGAAAAAATGAGAGAGAAAGTAAGGACACATAGAAGTTTGCAGTTTAAAGTAAACTGGACTTTTGGCACAGGGCAGTTGGCCATACTGTAATGTATAAGTGAAATAATGTATAAGTGAAATAATAATCACTTTTTAAAAACAAATGTATCAGATTTTTTTCTCTTCAAACTCATCACCGTAAGAAGCTGGATCATGAGTTCAGTGATGCTATTATATTAAATTTTTTGTTTTTCCTTCAGGAATTGCCTTATGTGCTATCTGTTGATCAAGGTCATTTAGTGTTATTTATTCTGGTCTAGTTTGTGTGAGGCACCATGCTAAGCTTTAGAGAGCAAATTGAACATGATCTGGACTCCTGAAAACTCAGCAATATGGCACGGTAATGAAGACGTGGGTTTGGAAATCAGATCAGAATTCAAGCCGTGGATTAGCCAATTAGTTATGGGACTTTGAACAAATTACTTAAGCTTTTTAGAGATGATAATACGTATTCTGTACAATTGTTATACTTAATCCTCCTAATGTGATGATTCGTGTAAGAGCTTATCACAATATTTGACAGATGGTAAAGTTAATATTCAACCTGGGAAAATTAAAACAAGGTGTAGCTGAAGAAATGGGTCTGATTTTCTGGTGAGATGTATTAATAATTCTCAAAGCAAGACCCAGAGAGGAATTCCAGACATGTTTTGGGTAAGATCAGCATTCCTAGAATGACTGTATCATCAAGGAAAGATAGTGTATCTCTTAATTATTGGTTAATTGACTGACTATATTAATGGCACCTCTCTTTTCCGTATATTATATATGTTCCAACCGTTTAACAAATAAGTTTCTTCATAGTCCCAGCCTGTATAACAATACCTATGTACTTGTGAAGGTGTTCACACATCAAACCATTATAATATCTCATTCTAATACCAATTTATATAGCATTAACATTGGAGTGGCCCAAAATCTTTGAACTGAAAACTTCTCTAAAAGTTAAAGATTTTGGGGAGCACCTGGGTGGCTCAGTGGGTTGGGCCTTTGCCTTTGGCTTGGATCGTGATCTCGGAGTCCTGGGATCGAGCCCCACATTGGGGTCTCTGCTCGGTGGGGAATCTGCTTCCCTCCCCCTCTCCTCCCGCCGCCTGCCTCTCTGCCTACTCATGATTTCTGTCAAATAAATAAATAAAAATATTTTTAAAAAGTTAAAGATTTTATTCATTTGAGAGAGAGAGAGTAAGCACGAGAGAGAGCATGAGTGGGGGGTAAGAGGCAGAGGGAAGGGGAGAAGCAGACTCCTGCTGAGCAGGGAGCCCAGCGCGGTACTCAATCCTAGGACCCTGGGATCATGACCTGAGCTGAAGGCAGACAGTCAACTGACTGTGCCCCAACTTTTCTAAAACTTAATTTGTGTTTTGTCTTCACATTTTAAGACGGGAGAGTTGGGGAGATTATAGATATTGAGCAAAACTAAGATCATTGTTAATACAGCCTTGCTGAAGACCTATCCCATTTTATAAGATTTTTTTTGTCTAAATTTTGTCAAACTTATGATTTTTGCAATGGTTATACTTACAAAAGTAATTGTATATCATGAAAATCTTTTTTGCATAAACCTGACCTTGTACATTAGGACTCTTGGTGTTGAGGACTAATACAGCACAAGAAGATATCCTTTTGTTGAGGTATTAAATAAGTGCCCTTTATCAGTTCTTCAGAGTACTCCATTAGATAAAATTAATTATCTACGTTTTGCTAAGTTCTGCCCTAGGCCTGGAAGAAATCAGTGAACAATATGCCTACTTTCGTGGAACTTACATTCTACTAGATTAGTTACGTAATTTGACTTACAAATTAGTTTGAGAGGAGAACTGATTCTCACCATTACTATAATGTCTCTCCTAGTCATTTACCATTCCGGACTTTAATTTTCTTTTGAAAAGTAAAGGATTTGACTAAGATCCCTTTCCTAATAAGTGCTTTCATTCCTTCTGGAAGACCTGAACTTCAACAAAATTGATCTTGTGGACAAGCAATAGTAGGCACATGGGCTTGAAGCAATCAGATGTTCTTCTAATAGCATGAGACAAATATGAATGAATATCGGAAACCAAATGTTTACTAGAGGAGGCAGATATAAAAACTATTCTATGATTTCATTTACATATAGTTCAAAAATAGATTACAGAGTACCTGGCTGGCTCAGTCAGAAGAGCATGCAACTCTTGATCTCAGAGTTGTGAGTTCGAGTCCCATGTTGGATGTAGAAATACTTAAAAATAAAAATCTTAAATAGTTAAAAAAAAATCTCTGGTATTGGAAATCAGGTTAGTGATTACCCATGTATGTTGACTAATGATTGGAAGGGGGTACAAAGTGGCTTCTGGGGTTCTGGTAATATTCTGTTTCTTGATCTGGATACTGGTTGTTCACTGTATAACAGTTCATGGAGCTGTGCACTTATGATTCATGTGTTGTTCTATACGGGAGGAATGGGTGAAGTGATAAATTCAGTTTGGACATGTTAAGTGTAGGATGGCAATGAAATTTCAAGTAGACAGTTGGGAACAGGAGTCTGGAACTCAGAGAGAGGTTGGATTGCAGATATAAACATCAATATACAGGTGACATTGGGAGCCATGGGTGTGTATTAGATCATCTAAAGTGAGATTGCAGAGAGAGTCAAAGAGACTTAAGGAGTTCTGACATTTGAAGATTGGATACAGGACTGTGAGTGAGCAAAGGAAGCTGAGGAGTGGCCACAAAGGTAAGGGGATACCAGGAGAATGTGGTGTCCCAGAAATGAAAGAAGAAACTTTATCAGGAAGGAGAGAGTAGTTGTCAGTATTAAATACTGCTGGTTGTCAAACATTTCCATCTGCCTTCATTCTAGGATCCATTTTGGATATGAGGGATACTGTGATTAGTTTGGTCCAATAGAGAAGAGAAAGACAGGGAAGACTTCTGGCTGGAGCATGTGTCAGTACAAGAGCCTCTGGAGGTCTCTTTTCCCTCTGGCAATGTGATCAGTAGTGTTTGAAGCAGTGTCTGCTTCCATCAGCTTGGGAGTAGTATGGGTCCTAGCATCTGTAGCCTCTGAGTTTATAAGTTTGTCATCTTCAGAACTCAAGAAATAAGGGTACTTGACTGGCTTAGTTGGTAGAATGTGTGACTCTTCATCTCGGGGTCATGAGTTCAAGTCCCACTTTGGGTGCAGAATGTAAAAAAAATTCTAGAAGTTGATAATAGTTTTGAGAGCTCTAAAAAATTGACCTTGTTAAATATGCTGAAAACTCTTACAGGTTTTGATGGACACCTGGCTTTATTCTTGCCATGAAGAAAGGTTCTCAGCAAAAGTTTTCCAATGCAAAGATGCCACCATCACCTCACTCTCCTAGTCCACCATCCCTTATGTCCAGTATGAGATCTAGGTCACTTTCACCTTTAAGTGGATCTGAGACTCTTCATTTTGGAGGACAATGGAATGAGCAAGTTGAGATTACAGATGAAAACACGGTGCTTTCAGACTACCAAGACCATAAAGGTAATGTTTTTCTTTTTTAATTTTTTAAAGATAGATTTATTTATTTATTTATTTATTTGAGAGAGAGAGAGAGAGAGAGAGAATGAGAGAGAGAGAGCATGAGAGGAGACAGGTCAGAGGGAGAAACAGACTCCCCACTGAGCAGGGAGCCCGATGTGGGACTCGATCTTGGGACTCCAGGATCATGACCTGAGCCGAAGGCAGTTGCTTAACAAACTGAGCCACCCAGGTGCCCCAAAGGTAATGTTTTTTAATCTAAGAATTTGAACACATATTCTAGAGTAGAGATGGAAAATTACCGAACTTATATTTTTGGTCCAAGTGAAATATATATCTTTGTACTAACATGACCTATTGTTGATACCGACAGAAAGCGTATGGGGACAGTGGAGGATGAAGGCCTCTGGGTGAGGGTGAAGCTGTCTAACAGAGTTAGGAGAGGGGAATTTCCAGAAAGAGGAAGCTTTATTTCCTGTGGTGGGAGAGTATCTTAAAGCTCGTATGCCAAATTAGCCATCATCCTTGGTTAGAAGAAAAGCATATCTGTTGACTTCAGAGTGAAGTGCCTTAATTCAGTACAAAAATGTGATCTACCCTTGGGTTGTTCCAGTCTGCTTATTGGCAAACTGTTTATCATGTCCCCATAAGGGACATGTATATGTTTCTCCAAGGTTTTGTTTTTATTTTTTTCACGAAAGCAGTCTATTCTTGTGGGAATCTGTTTTCAGAAATACATTCTTTTTTTCTAAAAGATGATTTAAAGTAACTGAATGTGAATGAAAACTATGTGATTTCTTTGCTAATGGAATCACAGCTATCTCTCTGCTCAGTTTTGAGTACTAAACTTGATCAGCGATTGAGTTTAAACTATACACTTGCTGTCAGTTGGTATACTGTTGACTCTAATTTGATTAATATTTTAGAATATTAGTCATATTCTTTCCTAGAACAGCCCAAATTAAGGGAAAAAAGCATATAATTTTGAACCAAAATAAATGTAATGTTAACTTATAAATAATCATAGGGAAACTTTGTCATACAGCCTGGATCTGAACCCAACATTAATTTTTTCTGACTCTTAATTAGGATAGGGTGTGCTGTCCATGAAGTTACTACTTTGGGTTATTCTCTGTTTAAAAGAGCAACAAATCTGAGATGCTCACCATTAAAAAAAAAAAAAGGGATTTTTAAGAATTCTGGTGTTTCTGAAGTTTAGATTGGAATTAAAAAAAAAAAACGAAAGAAACAGATTAGTGACAGTTTACTAAAATAAAAAACTAGGTAATTTAGCACTGTAAAAAATGGATAACTATTTTAAAAAAAGCAAAAACAAAAAATTAGGGGCACCTGGGTGACTAGTTGGTTAAGCATCCCACTCTTGATTTTGGCTTAGGTCATGATCTCAGGGCTCTGAGATCCAGCCCTGTTTTGGGCTCTGCTCTGGGTGTGGAGTTTGCTTAAGATTCTCTCTCTCCCTTTTCTTCTGCACCCCTTCTCTCTCTCTACCTCTCTCTCTCTCTCTCTCCTTCTCTAAGAAAAAAATATATATATATATATCGCGAAAACTTTAATGCTGCATATGATTAAAAGTATAAATTTTGGAGATTCTTCTGCCTGGGTTCAGGTCCTGGATTTCCACATCATTAGGCACAAGATCTTGAGCAAACTATTATAATTTTTAAAAATAAATGGAAATAGGGGCGCCTGGGTGGCTCAGTGGGTTAAAGCCTCTGCCTTCGGCTCAGGTCATGATCCCGGGGTCCTGGGATCGAGCCCCACATCGGGCTCTCTGCTCGGTGGGGAACCTGCTTCTACCTCTCTCTCTCTCTGCCTACTTGTGATCTCTGTCAAATGAATAAATAAAATCTTTAAAAAAATTGAAATAATAATTTGTATTTTTTAATTTTTTAAAAAAATGTGCTCAATACATGGTTATTTATTTATTTTAATTTTTTTTATTAACATATAATGTATTATTTGCCCCAGGAGTACACGTATGTGAATCGTCAGGTTTATACACTTCACAGCACTCACCATAGCACATACCCTCCCCAATATCCATAACCCAACCACCCTCTCCATACTCCCCTCCCCCCAGCAACCCTCAGTTTGTTTTGTGAGATTAAGAGTCTCTATTGGTTTATCTCCCTCCCAATCCCATCTTGTTTTTTTTTTCCTTCCTTACCCCCAAGCCCCCTACTTTGCCTCTCAAATTCCTCATATCAGGGAGATCCTATGATAATTGTCTTTCTCTGATTGACTTATTTCGCTCAGCATAATACCCTCTAGTTCTATCCACGTCATTGTAAATGGCAAGATTTCATTTCTTTTGATGGCTGCATAATATTTTATTATAGAAATATACTACATCTTCGTTATCCATTCATCTGTCGGTGGACAACTAGGCTTTTTCCATAGTTTGGCTATTGTGGAAATTGCTGCTATAAACATTCGGGTGCATGCGCCCCTTCGGATCACTACATTTGTATGTTTAGGGTAAATACCCAGTTAGTTCGATTGCTGGGTTGTAGGGTAGCTCTAACTTCAACTTTTTGAGGAACCTCCATGCTGTTTTCCAGAGTGGTTGCATCAGCTTGCATTCCCACCAACAGTGTAGGAGGGTTCCCCTTTCTCCACATCCTCACCAGCATCTGTCATTTCCTGACTTGTTAATTTTAACCATTCTGACTAGTGTGAGGCGGTATCTCATTGTGGTTTTGATTTGTATTTTCCTGATGCTGAGTGATGTGGAGCACTTTTTCATGTGTCTGTTGGCCATCTGGATGTCTTCTTTGCCAAAATGTCTGTTCATGTCCTCTGCCCATTTCTTGATTGGATTATTTGTTCTTTGGGTGTTGAGTTTGATAAGTTTTTTATAGATTTTGGATACTAGCCCTTTATCTGATATGTCGTTTGCAAATATCTTCTCCCATTCTGTAAGTTGTCTTTTGGTTTTGTTGACTATTTCCTTTGCTGTGCAAAAGCTTTTGATCCTGATGAAGTCCCAATATTTCATTTTTGCCCTTGCTTCCCTTGCCTTTGGCGATGTTTCTAGGAAGAAGTTGCTCTGGCTGAGGTTGAAGAGATTGCTACCTGTGTTCTCCTCAAAGATTTTGATGGATTCCTGTCTCACATTGAGGTCTTTTCCATTTTGAGTCTATTTTTGTGTGTGGTGTAAGAAAATGGTCCAGTTTCATTTTTCCGCATGTGGCTGCCCAATTTTCCCAACACCATTTGGGGAAGAGACTGTCTTTTTTCCACTGGACATTATTTCCTATTTTGTCAAAGATTAGTTGACCATAGAGTTGAGGGTCTATTTCTGGGCTCTGTATTCTGTTCTGTTGATCTATGTGTCTGTTTTTGTGCCAGTACCATACTGTCTTAATGATGACAGCTTTGTAAAAGAGCTTGAAGTCTGGAATTGTGATGCCACCAACCTTGGCTTTCTTTTTCAACATTCCTCTGGATTTTCAAGGTCTTTTCTGGTTCCATATAAATTTTAGGATTATTTGTTCCATTTCTTTGAAAAAAAAAAAAGCAATGGCATTTTGATAGGGATTGCATTAAACATGTAGATTGCTTTAGGTAGCTTAGACATTTTCACAATATTTGTCCTTCAATCCATGAGCATGGAATGTTTTCCATTTCTTTTTGTCTTCCTCAATTTCTTTCATGAGTACTTTATAGTTTTCTGAGTGCAGATTCTTTGCCTCTTTGGTTAGGTTTATTCCTAGTTATCTTAAGATTCTGGGTGCAGTTGTAAATGGGATTGACTCCTTAATTTCTTTCTTCTGTCTTGTTGTTGGTGTATAGAAACGCAACTGATTTCTGTGCATTGATTTTATATCCTGACACTTTAGTGAATTCCTGTACAAGTTCTAGCAGATTTGGAGTGGGAGTCTTTTGGGTTTTCCACATAAAGTATCGTATCATCTGCAAAGAGTGATAGTTTGACTTCTTCTTTGCCAATTTGGATGCCTTTAATTTCTTTTTGTTGTCTGATTGCTGAGGCTGGGACTTCTAGTACTATGTTGAATAGCAGTGGTGATAATGGACATCCCTGCTGTGTTCCTGACCTTAGCGGAAAAGCTCTCAGTTTCTCTACATTGAGAATGATATTCGCTGTGGGTTTTTCATTGATGGCTTTGATGATATTGAGGTATGTGCCCTCTATCCCTACACTTTGAAGAGTTTTGATCAAGAAAGGATTCTGTACTTTGTCAAATGCTTTTTCAGCATCTATTGAGAGTATCATATGGTTCTTGTTCTTTCTTTTATTAATGTATTGTATCACATTGATTGATTTGTGGATGTTTCTGAACCAACCTTGCAGCCCTGGAATAAATCACACTTGGTCTTGGTGAATAATCCTTTTAATGTACTGTTGGATCCTATTGGCTAGTATTTTGGTGAGAATTTTTGCATCTGTGTTCATCAAGGTTATTGGTCTGTAATTCTCTTTTGATGGGGTTTTTGTCTGTTTTTGGGATCAAGGTAATGCTGGCCTCATAAAATGAGTTTGGAAGTTTTCCTTCCATTTCTATTTTTTGGAACAGTTTCAGGATATAAGATATTAATTGTTCTTTAACTGTTTGGTAGAATTCCCCTGGGAAACCGTCTGGCCCTGGGCTCTTGTTTGTTGGGAGATTTTTGATGACTGCTTCAATCTCCTTACTAGTTACGGGTCTATTCAGGTTTTCTGTTTCTTCCTGGTTCAGTTGTGGTAGTTTATACGTCTCTAGGAATGCATCCATTTCTTCCAGATTGTCAAATTTGCTGGCATAGAGTTGCTCATAATATGTTCTTAAAATTGTTTGTATTTCTTTGGTGTTGGTTGTGATCTCTCCTCTTTCATTCGTGATTTTATTTATTTGGGTCCTTTCTCTTTTCCTTTTGATAAGTCTGGCCAGGGGTTTATCAACCTTATTAATTCTTTAAAGCACCAGCTCCTGGTTTCGTTGATCTGTTCTTCTGTTCTTTTGGTTCTATTTCATTGATTTCTGCTCTGATCTTTATTATTTCTCTCTGCTGCTGGGTTAAGGCTTTCTTTGCTGTTCTTTCTCCAGCTCCTTTAGGTGTAGAGTTAGGTTTGTGTATTTGAGACCTTTCTTATTTCTTATGAACGGCTTGTATCGCTATATACTTTTCTCTCAGGACTGTCTTTGCTGTGTCCCACAGATTTTGAACAGTTGTGTTTTCATTATCATTTGTTTCCATGAATTTTTTCAATTCTTCTTTAATTTCCTGGCTGACCCATTCATTCTTTAGTAGGATGCTCTTTAGCCTCTATGTATTTGACTTCTTTCCAACTTTCCTCTTGTGATTGAGTTCTAGCTTCAGAGTGTTGTGGTCTGAAAATATGCAGGGAATGATCCCAATCATTGGTACTGGTTGAGACCTGATTTGTGACCCAGGATGTGATCTATTCTGGAGAATGTTCCATTTGCACTAGAGAAGAATGTGTATTCTGTTGCTTTGAGATGGGATGTTCGAATATATCTGTGATGTCCATCTGGTCCAGTGTGTCATTGAAGGCCTTTATTTCTTTGTTGATCTTTTGCTTGGATGATCTGTCCATTTCAGTGAGGGGGGTGTTAAAGTCCCCTACTATTATTGTATTATTGTCGATGTGTTTCTTTGATTTTGTTATTAATTGGTTTATATAGTTGGGTGCTCCCATGTTAGGGGCATAGATATTTAAAATTGTTAGATCTTCTTGTTGGACAGACCCTTTGCATATGATACAGTGTCCCTCCTCATCTCTTATTATACTCTTTAGCTTAAAATCTAATTTATCTGATATAAGGATTGCCAGCCCAGCTTTCTTTTGATGTCCATTAGCATGGTAAATTGTTTTCCACCCCCTCACTTTAAATCAGGAGGTATCTTTGGGTCTAAAATGAGTTTCTTATAGACAGCATATTGATGGATTTTGTTTTTTTATCCATTCTGATATCCTTTGTCTTTCGGTTGGGGCATTTAGCCCATTTACATTCAGAGTAACTATTGAAAGATATGAATTTAGTGCCACTGTATTGCCTGTAAGGTGACTGTTAAACTGTATATTGTCTCTGTTCCTTTCTGGTCTACTACTTTTAGGCTCTCTCTTTGCTTAGAGAGAGAGAGAGAGTTCCTGAAGGTATTTTCAGTATTTCCTGTAGGCTGGTTTGGTGTTTACAAATTCTTTTAGTTTTTGTTTGTCCTGGAAGGTTTTTATCTCTCCTTCTATTTTCAATAATAGCCTAGCTGGATATAGTATTCTTGGCTGCATGTTTTCTCATTTAGTGCTCTGAATATATCATGCCAGTTCCTTCTGGCCTGCCAGGTCTCTGTGGATCAGTCTGCTGCCAAAATAATATTTTTACCATTGTATGTTACACACTTCTTGTCCCAAGCTGCTTTTAGGATTTTCTCTTTGTCACTAAGACTTGTAAGCTTTGCTATTAGATGATGGGGTGTGGACCTATTTTTATTGATTTTTAGGTGGGTTCTCTGTGCCTCCTAGATTTTGACGCTTGTTCTCTTTGCTATATTAGGGAAATTCTCTACTATAATTTGCTCCAATATACCTTCTTCCCCCTTCTCTCTTTCTTCTTCTTCTGGAATCCCAATTATTCTAATATTATTTCATCTTATGGTATCAGTTATCTCTCAAATTCTCCCCTCGTGGTCCAGTAGTTGTTTGAGTAATTTTTATTTTAAATGTACAAATTAAATTGTAAGTGTAAAGTATATAGTACAAGCTTGGCACAGAACTAATATTTGTGAAGCATAACTTACTGACATTACTGTATATGTATGCAATTATTATAATGCTATATAAAGTAAAATATTATTAAAACATTGCAGTTATTAGAACTAACCAGCTCTTTTTATATTTGCATGGCTTAAAAAATTTTTTTTGGTTGTATAACATCAAAATAATTTGTTTTTCAGAGATATCCTGTTCTACTGATGATGATCTGTTTCTGTCATTTCAGAAGCTGATTCACATGCAGGAGTCCGATATATTACAGAGGCCCTTGTTAAAAAACTTACTAAACAGGACAGTTTGGCTTTGGTGAAGTCTCTGAACCTTTCACTTGCTAAAGATGGTGGCAAGAAATTTAGGGTAGGTTACCAGCATTTAAAAAAAAGTTTTATCTGTTTTAAAACTGACAATTAAAAGATTGTATTAGGTTTATGGTATCATCTCATCCTAATGTCACCTAATTTGTAGCAGACCTTGTATTGTTTCCAGTGAAAGTTCTGTATCATAAGTATGACATCTTCACATTCATAAGCTCTTATTATTCTATACATTACTGGATTCTTTCTAGAGATGGGTTGGCAAACTATAACTTGTAGGCCAAATCAGGCCTGCCACCTATTTTTGTAAATAAAATTTTATTGGAACACAGTCACACTCATTTGTATACACATTGTCTGTGGCTGTTTTTGCAGTACAATAGCAGGGGTAAATAGTTGTCAAAAAGACCTTATGGCCCATAAAACCAAAAATATTTACTATGTGGCTTTTTCGATAAAAAATTTGCTGATCCCTGCTCTGGAGTGTTTATTACTTTATTTGTAAACTGTGTATAACATGAACACATTGTAAAAGACAACTTAAACTTTTTAATTGGGAAACATATAAACTTAGACGTCTACTACATTAGTCTCAAAAATTAATTCCAGAAGGTTGAAGATTTAATGAAACCAGAACAAAACCCACAAAAACGCTTATAGAAGTATTAGGAAAGAATATAGGAGGGTATATTTTAGAATCTTAGAGTTGGGAAAGCCCTTTAAGCAAGCACCAACCTTAAGGCCACAAAGAAAAATATTGGCAGATTTAGTGTACATAAAGATTAAAGTGTTTAATGAAAGATATCTTTTAAAAAGTTAAACTCTCAGGGAGTGTTTTCAACATATATAACAATACCCATATAATATAAAGAGTTATAGAATTCAGTAAGAGAGACAACTCAGTGGAAAATGTGCAAAGGATATGAACAAGGCATTCACAAAAGTATTATAAATGGCTAATAATAATATGAAAATATGTTCAACTTTATTAATATCAAAAAATAGGAAAACAATTGTTTGATACGATTTTCATTCTTGTATGTCAATGGACAAGAATTAAAAGGATTATTTCAGTGTTCAGAAAGGTGTGGGAAGTGAGTATTATCATACTGTCTTAGTGGGACATACACAAAGCTCCTGCATTTTAGAAAGACAATTTGATAGTATTCATCCAAATTTCAAGTCTGCTTATTTGATTCAGCAATTGAGTTTATACTTACCAACCCAGCAGTTCTACTCCTTGATGTCTATTCTACCAATATTACATGCACAGGTATCCAGAAGTATCTATATAGTCATTTTTTAAAGATTTTTATTAATTTACTTGACAGGGAGAAAGAGCGATCACAAAGTAGGCAGAGAGGCAGGCAGAGAGAGAGGGGTAAGCAGGCTCCCCACTGAGCAGAGAGCCTGATGCAGGGCTCGATCCCAGGACCCTGAGATCATGACCTGAGCCAAAGGCAGAGGTTTAACCCACTGAGCCACCCAGGCGCCCCTATATAGTCATGTTTATTAAGCATTTTTAAAATAGAAAAAATTGGAAATAACCAAATTTCTATCAATAGGGAATTGGTTAAATAAATTATGGTTCTGTAGACCATGAGGTACTCTCAAGTTTCTTTAAAAAATAAGTTAGAGCTCTATGTATTAATGTGGGACAATGTCTGCAGTGCACTTAATGAAAAAAAATTCTAAAACATTTTGTATAGTAAGGTCTAAAAATTCTGTTTTTCTATATGTGTATATATCGATGTAAATGAATAGAAAGATACAGATGTTTATATGTCAGCCTCTTAACAACAGTTACCTTTGATCAGTGGGATATTGTTTTTCAGGGGCCTGGGTTCTTCATGAAGAGGGCTTCTTATGTTTCGTTGAAATTTTTATTAGAGTATATTTATGTCTTGTGTAATTAAAAAGGAAAAAGGAGACATTCTGGAGTTTACAAGTTGCAAAAATGAAATCAAAGTAGTAAATATTTACTGAATGGTTATTATATGCCAGGCATTATGTTAGGCTGTGGGAATAGGTATACAGGTAAATAAGCTTAGTTTCTGATCTCTGGGAACTTAGAGCTTCCTAGAGGAATGCCTGGGATTAAGAGGAGAAATAGTGAAGGGGAGTCAGAGAGAGAGAGAAAGCACCCACAGGAGAGGCATACCCAGTGAAGAAGTCTGAAGGGGATATTAGAACAGAAGATCTAAGAGTATGATGAATGGAGGCCAAAGGAGGGAGAACTTCAAGCGGGAATGGATGATATAAAATGTCACAGAATCATTAAATAGGATGAAAACTTAGAAGTCACTTGAATACTACATCAAAAACTAATGATGTACTCTATGCTGGTTAAATGAACATGATAATTTAAAAAACATTTTTTTTTAAAAGACATGATTCAGAAAAAAAAAAAGCCATTTGGATTTGGCAGTTAAAAAGTCCTTCTATTTCTCAAACCAACCAAATTCAGTCTTTTAGGGCCTTTGTATTTTTCTACTCTGCCTGTTACTCTCTGCCCCAAGGTATTCACACAGCTGGTTTCTTGTTATTAAGGTCTCAGTTCAGTGTACTTCCTCTGTGAGGCCTTCTTTTACCACCCAGTTGCCATTAGCTACCTTCTCCATGACTCTTTCATTCTTTTCGACAACAAATATTTATTCAGTGCCCACTGCATGCCAGGCATTTATGCCTATGCAGTGAACACAGTAGACAAATCTGCCACCTTGGTGCCTTGCATGCTGTCCCATCATGTTATCTTTATTTTCTTGTTAGTACACTTCAGTGTCTGAAAATGTTGTTTATGTAGGGGCTTTCTCTGTGAATGAAAGCAAGAACCTTGGTTTCCTTACTCACCAGTGTATTTCTAGTACCTAGAACAGCCCCGGCGCATAATCCATGTTTGATAAATATTTGTGGAATGGGTGGGTGGATGACAATCTTGGGGAGAGCTATTTGAATACATGGTAAAAGCATAAGATATTTTGCCTTCCCAGTAGAATAAATGGAAGGCAGAATGAGCAAGTGTACACAACTCTTGTGAGAACGTGGTCTAGCTCACTGGTATCCATTCCCCAGTGGTGCATGTGGTATGTAGTATGTATGACGGGTATCCATGAAATAGTGACGTTTTATACTTGAGGGGGAAGATCCAGGAGTGAAAGAGATTAAAGATGCAAGACCGTGGAGGGAGAAGGTAGATGAGGTTGCACAAGAGGATGAGTACCTAGCTCAACTTCAAGGAGAGGAGGGAGAGGCTTAGAAAAGTTGAAGTGGACTTGTGGGATCATCTTGATTTTCTTGATACATAGGAATTATTGTCCACTGAGGGGCACGGAGAGCTGCTATTCCTGGGTGAAGGAAGCTGTACCAAGGGATTGTCCAGGAGAGCAGGAAGCATTTATTATTCTCTGGTGACTGATCAAAACAGCCCCTGATGCACATACATACATGTACTTTATGTTAAGGCGCCTGTCATATAAAATATTTATTCATTTGTTTCCAATTAGTATATCGAAAATTTGGAAAAATGCGTTAAACTTGAAGTACTGAATCTCAGCTATAATCTAATAGGGAAGATTGAGAAATTGGACAAGCTGTCAAAATTACGTGAACTCAACTTATCATATAACAAAATCTGGTAAGTAAGTAAGTGCTTCTTTAGGTAGCATTGCAGTGGTGTCTTTGTTGAAGAGGTAGGTCGATGTTGCCCACATTACTGAATTGCAAGAGTTCTTTGAAACAGCAGGCACTTGGATCCCAATTCAGTGCTAGTCTAGTGCTTCACATATGATAACTGCTTTCATGTTTTGGCATTGCTGAAGTACAGTATAATATCTTTCTAGCATTCTCTAAGGAGATGCACGAACACCAAATTTTATTTTAATTCCATTTTGATAGAAAGTTTTCACAGATAGAGTCTTTGATCCACTCACTGCCTTATTCCATTAAGAAAGTTGACATGAAGCAGTGTTTAAACCCTGTCATTTGGTCTTAAAGATATTTCAATGTATTTTGATCCTATGTGTTTATCCTTATGTTCTTTGTTTATTGCTATAATACACTCAGTTATGCTTCCATTTCATAATATATATTACTTGAGAAATAAACGTGTTAAAACTGACAGTGGTAAAAACCACACATAGAACACTTATTATAAACAAAATGATGCAATTATCAAATATTAAAAATCTTTATACCTGTATACTTCCCCCACCTTAGACTTGGAAGATATCGTGGCCAACATAACAAAACCGCTAACAGTGGCAGAAGCTCTAATATGGCAAAAAATGAAAGAGGGGGAAAAAACGGAATCAAATCCTTAATGTGAAATTTGTATAAAAAATTAATCCTGATAAAAATAATTTCAGTAAAATAAAAATGAAAATAAAGAAGTTTGGAAATATTTGTCCATAGAAAATTTACCAGGGACTTAAAATGACAATTAAATTGTAATCAATTAAATTGGGAAAATATCTCATCAGTGAAAATTCATCAATATGAATGATAAATGTTTTATTGATTTAAATATTCCAACTAAAATATTTATGTTCATAAATACAGTGTTCTAGAGAATCCATCAGTTCAAAATGGCAGACATGTCCTGCTGTGTCATAGCTAATCTTTTGGTGATGACTTAGGGTAATAATTAAGGATATCTCTTGTACAGGGCTGTGTACAACATAGGAAAGTGTGCTGTTGAGTGGTTCAGTTCTCCCCTGGCTGTCCACTAGTACCGCTCCTTGTGGGTAGTGGCAATGCCATGGATAGACTCTCCTTTTCTGTGTTGTGGGATCCTAAAGTCTGATAGTAAGATAGGTAGGATTCCTAGACTCAGTAATGAAAAGTGGGCAGCTTAGCTGTTCTGGTCAATTTCTTTTTAGCCACTTTTGTTTGGTTCTCATTTATAAAAAAGGTTAACAAATTATAATTATGAAAGTAACCCCACATAAAAACCAAGGCTATTTATTCTTAAGCATACAGTTGAGGAACTCTATCATTGTATTTACTAAATTTGATTTTATCCTTTGGTTTCCAGCAAAATTGAAGGCATAGAAAATATGTATAATCTGCAAAAGCTAAACCTTGCAGGAAATGAAATTGAACATATCCCAGTATGGTTAGGGAAGAAGTTAAAATCTTTGCGAGTCCTCAATCTGAAAGGCAACAAGATATCATCGGTAAGTTATTCAAAGTAGCAAGAATTTTTTTTTCCAAATTTTTAGACTTGTTGAAAAAAATATTAAAATCTAAGTTTTTAAAAAATGAGATTTCTTGGGACACCTGGTTGGCTCAGTTGGTTAAGTGTCTGTCTTCGGCCCAGGTCTTGATCCCAGGATCAAGCCCCACATTGGGTTCTCTGCTCAGTGGGGAGCCGCCATCTTCCTTTCCCTCTGCCGCTCACCCTGCTTATGCTCTGTGTGTGTGTGTCAAATAAATAAATAAAATCTTTTTTTTTTTTTCCAAGAGAGATTTCTTCTTTGAAGTTTCTTGGTCCTTTGACCAGACATCAAATTTAGGCATAACCTAGGACTCTAGGGTAATTAAATGTAGGGATTTCTGGTTTTACCTGGTTCCATGGTAACTGAGAGTTGATCTCTTAGGATTTTTGCATCTATCATTTCATTTGAGCCTCAGAAAACTTTTCTTAGGGAGGCAGTAAAGGGATTATTTTTTTAATACTATCAGTTAGATAGTATTTTGCCCATTTTCAGGTTAAGTCTCTTACCCAAGTCACACAACTTGTGCCAGAGTCCAGGTCACTGAATGCCAGGAACCAAGTTTTTATTTTATTTTATTTTATTTTTTTCAAACGTATGAATTAAGCTTAATTATAGTGTCAGGTGTTTTAAGAGTTATTGTCAGTGTCAGGTTTAATCCCTAGCTCTTTTATCATGGAGCAACTTTGTTATCATGGCTCACATAATCTAGTAATCGTGTATGCTTTCCTTTGGAGTATAATTTATTATTTTCTTCTAACATTTATATATTAGGTGTTTAATAAGTATTTGTTAAATAAAAACATTAATTTACTTAAATCTATATTAAAATTGGAAAAAACATACTTAAAGAACATCAGTCATAGAGAAGACAGTAAAAGATGTGCTTTCTAATATGGGTCTAGACCTGCCTTCTGTGACCTTGGAGAAGCCCTTTATCTCTCCAAAACACATTGTTTAAATTGGAGAAAACAAACCCTACCCTGCCTTCTTTGCGAGGGTGTTATGGGGCTCAGATAGAATGATAGATGTGAAAATGTTTTAAAAACTTTAAAACACTAAATATCTCCTTAAACCTTCACCAGTGGAAGCCAATAATGATGAACAACATTTGTTTAATTACTGTGCAGGTTGCAATGTCTATGCTTTCTTATTTCATCTTTATAAAGTTCTGGTAAGGTGACTCTGTACCATTTCACTGCAACAGTCCAAGAGCCTCAGAGCCCAAACCCTATACTATGTGGCATAGCATGACCTTGGAGCTCTTGAGGTATATGCTGTGATGCAAAGAGGTAGCTGTGAATCTAAAATTTGCTGTAAATATTCCTCCAAGGAGTTGATTGTTAGATAGTACTCAGTGTCAACTGATGTTAACAGGAAAATCATTCAAAAATATTTATTAATCATTTCTAATTTTTCATGACTTTCTCATCCCAGTTTATATTTGACATTGGCATCAGTAAGAGTGATACGCATTCACTTGTGAGAGATTTATTTATACTGGGTATTAGGAGTAGTATTTCTCAACCTTTTATTTTTACTTATTTATTTCTTAAAAGATTTTATTTATTTATTTGATAGAGAGATAGCAAGAGAGGGGAACGCAAATAGGGGGAGTGGGAGAGGGAGAAGCAGACTCCCCGCTGAGCAGGGATCCTGAGATGGAGCTGCGTCCCAGGACCCTAGGATCATAACCTGAGCTGATGTCAGATGCTTAATGACTGAGCCACCCAGGCATCCCTATTTCTTAACCTTTTAAAGTTCCTCTTCAGATAAACATAAAAATCTTTTAGAAATGTGAGTATCCTGGGGACACCTGGGTGGCTCAGTGGGTTAAACCTCTGCCTTCAGCTCAGCTCATGATCTCAGGGTCCTGGGATCGAGCCCCGCATCGGGCTCTCTGCTCAGCGGGGAGCCTGCTTCCCCGTCCCTCTCTCTCTGCCTGCCTCTCTGCCTGCTTGTGATCTCTGTCTGTCAAATAAATAAATAAAATCTTTTTTAAAAAATGTGAGTATCCTGTATCCTTACTAATTTCTTTTAACTATCAATTATAACTGTTATCTGAAAATTCACCAAAATCTTTCTTATAGCCATTTATATTTTTGATGTGTTCAGTCAGTATAATGCATAAATAATGGGTTTAAAGTTACACAGATGAATTCAAATCCTGTTTTGTTCATTTGTAAGCACTGAGCTTTGGGGAAGTTATTTAACTTCTTCTAACCTTAGTATCTTTGTCTACAAAATTAAGATGTTGTTTCTATCATAGATTGTTATGAGGAGTCATAAATGAAATGGCATATGGAAAATACCTAATACTGCCCTGATACACTATAGATACTCAAATACTTTCCATTCCTCCCCTCACACCCTAATTTTGGATAATAGGTTCTACGAATAGGTTCCTTGCCATGTTGGTAGCAATTTTCTTGATTATTATTTTCTTTAGGTATGTTTTATTATTTTAAAATTAAATTACACTAATACTAATGTTATATATCATTTCAGCTCCAAGATGTAAGCAAACTGAAACCACTTCAAGATTTGACATCTCTGATCCTTCTTGAAAATCCAATTGTGACCCTTCCTCATTACATGCAGTTTACTATTTTTCACCTTCGCTCATTAGAAAGTTTGGAAGGTCAGCCGGTGACTACCCAGGACAGACAAGAAGCTTTTGAGAGATTCAGTTTAGGTAAAGTGACATTTAAAAAAAACTAAATTTGGGCAGGGGAGAAATTTGTGTTCAGAAGTTATCCAGAAAAATATATTGAAGTATGAGCTTTATAATGCTATTAAAATTTTTTTGGAAAATACCCCCATAAATGAATTAACATAAGCATCATTATACAACAATTATACATTAATATCATTAAGAATTAAATATTTATTGAGCACGTACTGTGAACCAGGCACTATATCTGGCACTAAGGACACAAGGGTGAACAAGACATATGGTATGGGCCTCAATGTAGATTGTATTTTAATGGAAAAGAAAGACAAGAAGCGCACAAACCCAGATAAAGTAGCAGAGAAGAGAACCCCCTTTGGGCAAAGGTGGTGTGAAGAAATGACTCTCTGAGAAGTGACATATAAGCTGACAGCATGGGTAGGAGAAGATTAGCCATGTAAAGAAAGACATTCAGAGAGACGACCAGCTTGCACTTTCAGGTTGGAAAGCCACTGGTAAATTAAGGAAGTAAAGGTTCAGTATGACAGGATGATAGCTCAAGAAAAAGTCGAGAGAGCTGGGGGGAGGGGAGAGATGACACAGGGGCTTGCAGCTTGGGTTTTATTTCAGGTGCGGTAGGAAACTATTAAGAATTTTTAGGCAGCAGTGGGACACGATCACTTATTAAGAAGATTATTTTGAGTACATAACTTAGCCTGATGAGCACTGAGTAATGCATAGAATTCAACCACTATATTGTACATCTGAAACTAATATAACACTGCATGTTAAGTATACTGGAATTAAAATATTTTTTTAAAGATTATTTTTAGTGCAGGATGGAGAATGATTTGGAGCAGGACAAATGGAGATAAAGGGACCTGTCCAGAGGCTATTGCGGTAATCTAGGCTAGAAGTGTTGGTGGCCTGTATTTAGGTGGTAGATGTGGAATAGATCAGTTTTAGATGTAGAATCAGCAATACTTTAATGAATTGGGTAATTCCCAGGCTTCTGGCTTGAGTAAGTGGTTGGATTGGTGATATTATGTATACAAAAGGGAAACTTTAGAGTGGTGAGTTTGAATGTCTGTGAGACAACCTAGAAGAGGGTTAGAAATGTGAGCCTGGATTTAAAAGAGTTATAAATGTGGTGGTTGTCAGCCTAATAGGGATTTTTAATCCCACTGGAATTGATTGGTTTACTCAGTCGGGTTGAGAAGAGCAAGGTGAGCCATCTAAGGAAACTGAGAAAGAGAGGCTGAGTAAGTGGAAACCCAGGAAACAGTGGGTTGTAAAAGCCCCAAGAAGATTTCATGAGAGGAAGTGGTCAGCTAGGTTGAATGTTGCAGAGAATAAAGAAAACGTAAGATGAGGACGGAGAAGTGCTTTAGATAGGCAATACACGATTGTCTTAACCAACGCAGTTAAGGAGTGGTTCGAACAAATGATCCAAGAATGAATGGAAGGGACACATTTGGGTGAAGGTTTGAAATTTCTTCCCACAATTTCTCTCTCCTAGTACCTAATAAATGGATTTTTAAAAAGAGTTTAAGTTAAAAAAAAAAAAAATTCACCAGTAGCTTCCAAACCAGGAAATGGACAGAAGCAAATGTACTAAACCTCAAAGCTAGTAACCAGAGAAAGGAAGAGCATATTTGAGGGTGGAGTGGAGAGACCATTATGGCTCAATTCTTATGGTCCTTGAAAAGACAAGATGACATCAGAGAAAAAGAGGAAAGATTGTCTCTTGATAAGAGGGACACTAATTCAGGAGGGAGCAAAGATGTGTGCATCTCTGCAAAGATGCAAAGTTCTGTTGCTTTGGTGGTGCGAAAATGAGAAAGTTCCTATGGGTGGGGTCTCTTAGTGAAAAATGAGGTCATCAGCTGAGAAGGAAAATGGAAGGACTATGGGAGATTTGAAGAGAAAGAAAAAAGTATGAAATAGCTATTTTAGAGCTTTGGGAAATGTGTCTGTAGGTCCAACCATTTGAAATTGATGTTAGTCCACTTTGGTTTACAAAAACAGTTTGATACAATCCTTGAAAAATATGGTAAATTTTTATTAGTTTGGATCCCCCCAACTCAGTATTTGTTACCCTAAAGTTTATGTTTGGAATCTTTAAAAATATAAATAATGCAAAGGAAAGTCCTCATAAATACACTTTTGGGGGAAATGTTTCATTTACTTAGGATTATTTATGACTCCGAATATTTATTAGGAGCCTTTAAGGCTCTTGGGATCTAGCAGTGAGCCAGACAGATGCAGTTTCTGCTTTTACAAAGCTTTAGTGGGAAAGGCAGATGCCTAGCCATTTGATCACATTTTATAACTCATTGTGTGACGAAGGGCACAGCAGAAGTACAGGGTGAGGGATGCCTGGGTGGCTCAGTGGGTTTAAAGCCTCTGCCTTCAGCTCAGGTCATGATCCCAGGGTCCTGGGATCGAGCCCTGCATTGGGCTCTCTGCTTGGCAGGGAGCCTGCTTCCTCCTCTCTCTCTGCCTGCCTCTCTGCCTACTTGTGATCTCTGTCTGTCAAATAAATAAATAAAATCTTTTAAAAAAAAATTAAAAAGAAGAAGTACAGGGTGACCTGAGAGCATTTCTGGGAAGCATCTCACCTGCGGAGAGCATGAAGTCAGGGCAGGCCTCTCGAAATATTTTTCAAAACTAAGACCAGAAGAGTACGAAATAGGCCAGTAGGAGATAGAGGAAGAAAGTTCCAGACAGAGATTTGTAAAAAAAGCCTGCATCCGACTCTTGGCTTTGGCTCGGGTAGTGATCTAGGGTTGTGAGATCGAGCCCCGTGACTGGCTCTGTGCTCAGCAGGGAGTCTGCCAATCCTTTTCCCTTCCCCTCTGCCCTTCCCCCTCTCTCTCTAAAATAAATAAAACATTAAAAAAAAAAGCTTTCAGGTAAGAAGAGAGACATCACAAATCTCAAGAAGTGGAGTCACTTCAGAAAGGCTACATTTGGGTGTACTTAAAAATAAGGCTCGAAAGGGAGTTTGGGACCAAATCATGAATATCTTTGTTAAGTTCTTCATGTAAGTTTTAGAAGCTATCCTGTCCATAGTAAGAAGCCTCTGAAGGATTTTTAAAATCACATAGTATTTTGCAAACCTACTTGCAGCATCCTTTAAAGTGTAATTATTACTATCAGATAAGATAAAATATTGCAAGTTTTTTAATAGGAGACCTGGGGAAAAACCTCATTTACTAACATCCTAATTGAATGAAATACCGGAAGTAAAGTGTTGTCTTTTAAAAAAAATATTTATTTGTTTATTTATTTGAGAGAGCTAGAGAGCGGAGGTTGGGGGGTGGATGTAGAGGGAGAGAATCTTCAAGAAGACTCCTCACTGAATGTGGAGCCAGATACTGGGCCAGATCTCACAACCCTGAGATCACGACCCAGGCTGAAACCAAGATGCTTAATCAACTGAGCCACCCAGGTGCCCTCTAATGTGTTATCTTTTAAAATTGTTATCCAGATGATAATGCCTTCTTACTTTTTGATATAAATCACTTGCTAGCTCAAGATTGTCTTTTTTTCCCCAAAACCATACTGAATAATTTTCAAGGTAGAATTGTGCTTTTATTATTCTAAGACTATTATTTGAGAAGTATTCTTACCTTTCTTCAAGTAAAAAATATAACGATTAATAAACTTTTAAATTTGTGTTGGCAGATGAGATAGAAAGACTGGAAAGAGATCTGGAGAAGAAGATAATGGAAACTGAAGAGCTTAGGAGCGAACAGACAAGGTTCCTTGAGGAAATTAAAAGTCAAGATAAATTGAACAAATCACTGAAAGAGGAGGCCAGGCTACAAAAACAGAGCTATGAGGAGATGGAAAGTAACCTAAACACAAAAAATGAATTGGTAAGCCTGTGTTTTACACTGCTTTGACTATATTCTCTTGAAATAGAGAATTCTTTCTTCTTGGGTCTAAAAACAAAACTTCTTGATCGTAGAATAGGGAAGATGTGGTTTAACAGAAATTTGTGCAGAAGTTTCTACAAATTGTAGTTGACCATTCACTGTGTGACATGGGTCCCCAAAGGATGAATACTATCCTGGCCTGCAGTAAATTGTGAAATACGGTATCCAAAATAAAGGAGGACAGTGGAGCCCCTACACTGAAGAGTTGGTCAGAGTGCCCCTAGATGTTTGTATTTTATTTTTAACAACATTGTTGGTGAGACTGTACATTGGCAAAAACTTTTAGAAGGCAAATTGGCAAAATTGTCCAAATTTTATTTTATTAAATTTTATTATAGGGATATACCCTATGTTCTATATATTAGATATATGTACTTATTTAATATACAATAGTTATATATGATACACATTTCTAATGCATTTTATAGAAATTGTAGCGACTGTATATATCTACATATATACGCATATATCTATATATATACACATACATACATGGACATTCACTACAGTATTTTTTATATTAGTAAAATAACGAAAAATAGCTGAAATGTCCCTCAGTGGATATCCATCTGATAGAATACTTGTGTTGCTATTAAAATGAGATAGAGCTGTATGTCCTAATATGGAGGTATGTCTGCTCCATATTGCTATGTGAGAAAAGCAAGCTGTAGAACTGTATATCAAGTATGATGCTATATAGGTAGTATATATAATAGTAGTATATATAATATACACACATATATATGTATGTACGTGTATATAATATACATATAATACACATACATACATAAGTATATGTACATATATACACATACATATATGTGTACATGTGTATGTGTGTGTATATATATATATCTCAGCCAGCCCGAGAGACTTCAGAGGCCTGGAGACCATGGCCTGTGAGGAGTGGCCAAAGCAACAGGGTGTTCAAGCTGGGGAAGAGAGGATCTAGCGAGCTCTGACAGTTACCTTCAGAGAGTCAAAGGTCTATTTCGTGGAGGAGGGACCAAAGTTCCTGAGATAAAATTAAGAAATGGCAAATAGAATTATAACAAAGCAATTTTTCATTTAGTAATGAGGAATTTCTAGGGACACCTGGGTGGCTCTGTTAGTTGAGCATCTGACTCTTGATTTTGGCTCAGGTCACGATTTCAAGGTCATGAGATGGAGCTCTAGGCTGAGCATGGGGCCTGCTTAGGATTCTCTCTCTGACCCCTCCTCCCTTAGCAACCCACCTCTCCACTAGCTTGCACACGGGCACTCTTTCTCTCTCTTAAAAAAAAAAAAAAGAGAGAGAGATTTCTAATAACTATCCTGAGACAAAATGTAATAACTCTGGAATGGGATTGCTGTCACTGAAACAGGCATATATGACCAGGGCTTAGAGAAAAGATAAAAGGCATTTGCTAGGCAGATGGATTAAATGAATAAAAGGCCTTTTCAACCCAGAGAATCTGATTCTGTAAAATAATTAGGTTACTTTCCTTGGAGGAAAAAATAGCTGTTGCTACTCTCCTCTTTTTTTTCTTATAATAATTCTTTTTCTTATCTGTGCATAACTTAGAGAATTTGATTTCTCATATGACTAATGAAATCCTAGATAGTTCTCTTTTTTTTTTGCAACCCCCTTTCAAGATGGGCATTCTGGTTTGAATGACTCGCTTTGTTGACAAGAATTCTGCTTAAGCATTTATGTTTCCTAGCAAGAGAAAAGTGTTTCCTTCTCTTTGTAGAGATGGAAATTGTTACTTGAAATCTGAGTACTTGACTGCCTCTTTCTTGAGCTCTTCTTTGCCTGAGAAAAAAGGTGACTTATATCAGGGGGACATGATGAAAGGGCAGCTTTCGCAGCTCTGTCATTTAACTGTTCAGAGCATTTGTGGCTTTCTTCATATGTCTCTTATTTGAAGGTAGTTTTCAAATATGTCAGCCATATGCTGAAGGCATATTATATATGATATTAATAATCTGATAATTATCAATAGTTTTATATTATACATCTATTGTTCTCTATTCCATAATAGAGTGGATTGATGATTACTTAAATCACTGGAAACTTATGTGACAATCAGTTTTATCTTAGCAGTGAACTCTGGGCCACCACTTAACATTTGTATGTAAAATACAAGTATAGGGGCACCTGGCTGGCTCAGTTGGTAGAGTGTACAACTCTTGTTCTTGAGTTCAAGACCTGTGTTGGGTGTGGTGCCTACTTAAAAATAAATAATAAGTAAAACTTTGAAAAAATGAAAGAATAAAATACAAATATAAAAAACATACTTACTATGGTATTACTTGATACTTGTGAACATTTAATAAATTAATGTTTTATTTTATTTTATTTTATTATTTTATATTGTGAACATTTAATAAATTTTCCTGAGTTACTGATCTTTTTTTATAATATAAAATCCATCTTTTATTACTAAGATAAGAGAATAGTATATTTTCTATGTGCGGACTCCCTGGTACATGTCAGTTAACTCCTTGAAAACCTGCGCAAGGGATGCCTGGGTGGCTCAGTCCATTGAGTGTCTGCCTTCGGCTCAGGTCGTGATCACAGGGTCCTAAGATTGAGCCCTACATGGGGCTCTCTGCTCAGCGGGGAGCCTGCTTCTCTCTCTCCTGCTCCCCCTGCTTGTGCTCTTTCTCTCTCTGTCAAATAAATAAAATCTTAAAAAAAGAAAGAAAAAGAAGAAAAGAAAACCTGGGCAAAATGTCACATCTTTTGACTTTGCGCTATCCCCAAATTATAAATTATTATAGCTGCTAATTTTCTTTTTTCTACTTATAATGTTGTTATGTTTTTGTTGTGAATAAATGTTTTATAAGTTGTCAACTGTTTTTGCTGGGTTTATTTTCAGTAACTATTTTTGGTTAGAAGACACTGCTCTTCTTTATGTCATTGTTGTTTTTATCATTAACCATTTAAAAATATATTGACATACAAAGTTAATATATATTTATCATAACAAATTTAGACAACACAAATGTATACAGTAGAAAATGAAGGTTTCACTCTTCCCTTTCCCTCTTCCCTGGATGTTGATATATATCCTTTTTGTTTTCTATGCTTAAATATATGCTTATAGTTATATAATGTATATGTAATTAAATATATGTACCTTTAAATATTTTGTGATAAAAAAGAACCTTACTATATTTTTTAATGCTGCATCTTATTTTTTTACAAAATGGTATATGTACCATAGCTCTCCAAGTTAAAAAACATGCCCACACATGTACACACACACACACACACACACACACACACACATATACATCTTTTTTATGTTTTTCAAAGTCTATATTGTGTTCCATTATATGGATATGCAATAATTTATTTAACCCACTCTTATTGATGAATATTTAGGTTGCCTCCACTTTTTTTAATTAGAAACAATACTACAGAGAAAATCTTTGTAAATAAGTATTTATGCATTCATAACAGTAATTCCCTGGTTTAAATCACTACAATTTGGGGTGCCTCACTGGCTCAGTTAGTAGAGCATGTGACTCTGTCTCAGGTTCATGAGTTCAGGCCCCACGTTGGGGGTAGAGATTACTAAAAAAAAATAACAATTTTAAAAAATCACTACAAGTGGAATTACTGGGTAATTTGCATTTTAAATTTTGGCAAATATTAAAAGCATTTACCTGCTTTATACTTCTACAGCAGTGAGTGAAAGAGCCCAATTCCTCACTGAAAATTATTATTTTGAACTTATAAATAGATGGGAAAAAAGTGGAATCTCATTGCTTTAATTTCACTTTTTTTTATTTGTTGGAGAGTTGAATATTCCATATGTATTTACTAGCTATTTGAGTATTGCATATGTGTTTACTAGCTATTTTGTATTTCTTCTTTAAATTTCTTTTTTCTTTTTTTAATCAACAGGCTATTTTTTAATTTAAATACTATTAACATATAGTATATTATTAGTTTCAGGGGTAGAGTTCAAGGATTCATCAGTCTTGTATAACACCCAATGCTCATCCTTAATGTCCATCACCCAGTTACCCCATCACCCCAACCCCCTCCCCTCATTTTTAAAATTCATGTTGTTTTACCAGTTTTTTCAGTATTCCAGAAGACTATTCTATGTTTCAAAAAGAATTCTGGATCTTATTCTAAGAGCCTGCATTTGAAAAATATTTTCCATTATCTTCTGCAGAATATTTGGTGATATCATGCCCAGTTATATAATGCTTTCCAGTTTCATAAAGTAACTCTTCACATCATAGGTCATTTACCTATGAGAGAAATGTAGTAACCTTAAAGTAAAACTTCTGGTGCCATTTAAACTATTATAGTCCCCTTTTCCTGCCCCAACAAATATTAATTAATTTAAATGTTAATATTACTTTGTCCTTTTGCAAATTATTTATCTCCTATTCTTCAGTTTCCTTATTTTTAATATGAGGATGATTTACCTGTCTTGCCAGCCTCACAGAGTTGTGAGGACTAAATAAAGTAATGAATATGAAAATAATTTGAATTGAATTAAGCTAAGTAATGGAAGGTGGTAAATCTGTAACATAGAATGATGATAAAATGTGTGTCCATATAAAAATGATACAGGTTCTAATAACATTATCTTTCTAAGGTAAGTTGTGAATCAAGAACAGCCTCTATTACTATAGCTTAACTCTCCAAAGTTCTCCAGGTGATGGTCTCTGCTTTTTTTCTCCTTTTAGCTCTTGTCTTGGTTTCTTACAGAGCATTTTCTGCCGATTCTTTATTCTTCCTTAAAGGTAGTCCCTTCAGGGCTGAATTGCACACTATGTTTTCATAGTTTGCATGATAACTTGTAGTAATATGTTTATGTACATCTTAAGTTTGGAAACTGGCTTGTCTTCTTAAGAGATGTGCTTGTGTGTGTATGTGTAATTTTTTTTAATGGATGTGTACATAGGACTGGATTTGAATGTGAGGGAAAGAATTTGTATCATTTTTCTTATTGGTAAATGTGTTAACTGCAGTCAACTCTTGATCATCCACAGCTAATACTGCAACTAGCCTACTTTCTAGGTCCTTTGACTCCTAATGTGCTCTCATTTATGCATTTCTTCAGCAGACATTTATTAAATGCTTACTAAATGCTAAGCCTAGCACTATATAAGACACAAAGGTAATTTTAAAATGCACAGAGTATATATTATTCGCCCTCAGAGGCCAGTCCATACATCGTCCATGGTTCTAGTCACATTTGCCTTTGTTTGGCCCTACTGCAAATGATCTTTGGGAAGAAAAACCTGAGATGAGTTTATGCTGTTGGTTAGGAGTTGCTTTCTTGAGATTCAGGGACTTAAAAGCAGTCAGTAAAAGCATCAAAATGGGTAATGTGCTAGACACCCTGCAGCAAGACATCAAAGGCAGCATCGTATAATAGATGGAGTATTAATTTTGAAATCAGGAGACTTGTAATTGAACTCTGCCTCTTCACTATGAGCTGTGAAATTGGCCAAGTAATTTAACCTCCTGGTGCAGCTCTTATAATTTCATAGGGTAGTTGTAAAGATTCAGTGAGATAAGAGATCAAGACTGCCTATCATTCAGCTTAGCATTACTTCTACTTCGGTGGATAATCAGGAGATGACTGTAAGCTAAATCGTGCACGACTTTGAGTTCCCGGGCCTTGTAAAATGTTCATGTTTATTTATTTTTTTATTCTCTTCAGCTTGCATTTTCATATTGATGAAATATTTCTGCATGTTTTTTGTCTGGTATCTACTATCTGATGCTGTAGTTTAAAAAAAGGCAAAAATCACTTAGTGGACCTTTGAAATGAACTCACAGGATTAGTTTAGTAGGAAGGGGGCTGATAGTGGTAGTTAATAAAATATTTAGCTTCTGCTACTAGTCTAATATGTAGCTTTTGACAAGACAATTACCAATAGGACTCAGTTTCTTTATTTGTAATTCAAATAATTAAATCAGATGATCTATTTTCTTCTAGCTCCAAAAATTTTAAGAATAAATAAAAAGTTGTAATTGTTGTAGAATTACTTTATTAAAAATTTAAGGCTATATATTGGGATCTGATTGACCTTATTCACATCCTTTATCCTCTAATACAAAGAATAATGTTCAGAACACTGAGATACTGCAGGAACAACAGTACAATTAAAGCCAATTTCTTTTTTCCACCCTTCTTACTCCTTCTTGTGATTCCTTTGTAATTAATCTCAAATATCATCTTTATCCATAATTTGAAGCTATCATTAACATTGCAGAGTAAGTTGAATTAGTGTTAATTATTGAAAAATCAGGAAGCAAATACTTAATACAGTACTTAAAAAAAATTGGTGCAGAATTATTTTCATATTTGGGTAAAGCAAATTTAAATGATTTTTTAAAATATTTATTTATTGTATCCTGAAACAGCATATAAACTTCAAAGGTCTTTTACGTGATCTTTTATGAAGTGATAATTTTATATTGTGTTCTTTATAATACTTTAGAATGAAGATAAAATACTGTCAACGTTCTGCTATTTGCTGTGGGGTTTAAAACAATCTAATTGTTATGATTAGAACTTGCCATGCCATTGTACCATTATACTAACTTACTGACACTGTATGTTGTTTCATATCAAATTGGGCCTATAGCTAAAACAGAAGACTGTGGAACTAATGCGGGCATGTCAGAAACAGTATGAGATGGAACAGGAATTGGCCTTTTATAAAATTGATGCCAAATTTGAACCACTAAATTATTACCCATCAGAGGTAAGTTTAACTTTTATTATTTTATTTATTTAGAGTTTAATGTTTTAGAAATCCAAAGTTAAAGCCAACAGAGAGTAGAGTGGGGGAAGGTGGATGGTGAAAAAGTTTGAGACTTTCATCAATAACCATTCCACTTTCTTAAACAAATTTTGGTTGAATCGGTGAATTTTTGGTTCAGTAAGTTAAAGCAGTGTCCAGAAGAGGTAAAAAGCTGCAAGAGAATCTGTGATTCCAACTGATACCATATTATCTCATAAAAAATTCAATTACTAAAATTTATTAAACTGAGATTTTACTTACATTTCAGCTAAGAAACCAAAATAAAACACCTAAATTTCTGATTTGAGAGATTAAGCAATGCTATTAATCACATAACTATAGGCAGTTCTTTAATCAACCAACCTAAACCCACTTTGGGGGCTAGGAGGAGGAATTCTTAGAGGCCATTTTTTGTTTCAGTTCTTTTTTGGCATATTAAGAGTAAGATAAATGGTATATATTTTTCAACTTCTAGGCATGTAGGATTAATGTTTAGGCAATTCTGTGATATGTTCTTCACTAATAAAATGAATAATGTCACTTGGCTGCTTAGAAATTACTTATTGAACCATAAATATTTACTTATTTTGTTTTTAGTATGTCGAAGTTGATAAAACCCCAGATGAAAGCCCTTACATTGGCAAATCCAGATACAAGAGAAATATGTTTGCTACAGAGAGTTATATTATTGCAAATGCCCAGACAGTAAAGATCGAGAAGATGGAGCCAGATGAAGGGGCACAACTCAAAAATGAGCATGTGAACTTGAGAGCCCATACATCACTGGACATACAACTGGAAGACAAAGAAAAAAAAATAAGTGCAGGTTAACAAAAGTTATTTTAAATTCTTTTAAAAATACAAAAAGATTGAATATATAGGCAAATTTTGTTTTATAATAATTTTCATTAAACATGCTAAAGGTATTTATTATGTTATTTACATAAAAAGCCTTGAAAAAGTAGTGATTCATTGAGCAAATGGTTTTTTTTTTAAGATTTTATTTATTTATTTGACAGACAGAGATCATAAGTAGGCGGAGAGGCAGGCAGAGAGGAGGAAGCAGACTCCCCACGGAGCAGAGAGCCCAATGCGGGGTTCAATCCCAGGACCCTGGGATCATGACCCGAGCTGAAGGCAGAGGCCTTAACCCACTGAGCCACCCAGACATCCTGAGCAAATGATTTTTTAATGATCTCTGTTATGGTCGAGAATGGGTCTTGACAGTAATTTGGTGGCAGCAGGTGCAGGGGATCCAAGAATGCTTAAATCTTGACCTGCCAGCAAGTCCTACCCACTGTCAGAGCTGCACATTCAAAGATATAATTGGTCATAATTGTAGCAAGTACCACTTTACTGATTACTGTGCATGTAGCCAAAACCTAAAACAGCACTTTGGATAAGCTGGATCAGGGCACCCTCCTTAGACTTCGGCCCAAGACCAGCTTCTGACTCTTTCCAACCTGTCCCAAAACATCTAATTGAAAGGATCTTACCACTTCCTGGCAAGTCATAAAGAAGTCAATCCAAGAGGGAACTTAGATACCCTGCCAGTGGCATACTCTAAATCCATTTACCCAGTGAGCTGCATGGATATGGAAGGAGAAAGGAGATCTGAGTTTATGTATCCCCCTAGTAATCGTGGCACATTGTGGGGCTCTCACCAATCCAGTGAAGCAGTTCATCTTCCCTTGGTTGGTAGCTAAATGGAAAACATGGAAGGCCAGGAGAGAGGTTGACTTGGAGAGGGGTTGAGAAAAGAGACTGAGTTGTCCATCTCATACACCCTATACAAAGTTCTGGAAGAGGAAAGCAGAAATAAATCAGATATATGTGTAGACTAGCTCCTAGTTTTATAGGAGGCAGGGAGGGAGGGAAGGAGAGAAATTGGAAATTTGAGATAGAGAGTAATTGATTTGAGATCACCTCCAGCTGGAAGACACGTTCAGTGGTGAATTTCTTGATATGAAGCCCCATATAAAGCAATAAACTCTAATCACAGTTTTTGTAACAGCTTGAATCTGACTATAACTTAGTGACATGTAAATGCGTATTTACGAATAAATCCTTATTCTCTCAGAAGAGCTCTTTAGTGTTGGATGTATCAAGTAAAACTCTTTTTATGTTAAGACTTTTATGAATAAAATGATCAGTTATAGTTCTCTAGCATATCATAAAACTATTCTAGAGATTAACTGAGTGGAAAACTATCATAAATTAATTTTTAAAGAATTTCTGTAATCTATAATGACAATTTAATTGGGAGGAAGATGTTATTGTGAAGGAAAAAAGTCTGGTAGAAATTTGAGAATGCAGGATTTTTCTCGTGTGTGTCTGTGTTCATGATTTTTAAATTTGCAGCACAAACTCGACTATCAGAACTACATGATGAAATAGAAAAGGCGGAACAACAAATTTTAAAAGCTACTGAAGAATTTAAACAGCTGGAAGAAGCTATACAACTTAAAAAAGTACGTAAATACTAAGTAGCAATGCAGGAGGAAATGAAAAAAATGGAATGTGTTTTCTCCCTTCATAACCATGTTATGCAAATTTTAAATCAGTGCTGCCTAATTAACTACAGAGTAACAATTTTCAGCTTCAGTTATGGTTCTAGTATTTTCCAGTTACATTTTCCTTCCATTCTTGATGACATTCTATTAACATTTTATAAAGCATACAGAAATAAATTACTTTTAACTTATATAAAAAGAGGTATTCAGTCTACTCTATTATGAAAGTGTCTATTTTACCCAGGGAGGTTGATGCTTCCTGTTATATCTGTTCTAATTTAATTAAGCACTACCCACCATTAAAGATCCTGGGACCTAGATTAAGAGTCAGAAGACATCTTTACGATACACGAACATTATCAAACACAAGCAGCAAAAGTGTAAGTGATATAAAATATGGTGAACAAAAAGATGGAGATGTTACTCTCAGAAATTATCAAAGTATGTCATGAAGAAATTAGCGGCTCAAACCCATGATGTAATACACGGGGAGTATTTAAAAAGGAAGTATCTTGACAGTTTTTAAGTGTGTAAAAGGTTTTAGTTATTTGCAGCTTTTAAAATCAGTATTTCAAAATTATGTTCATAACTGCATTCACACCATAGTAGGTAAAACAAGAATGTGAAGTCCAAATTGTAGATTTTTTCAAAAGATACACTATATTATGATTTTTAAATTATATAGTAACTAGAAATTGATTCGAGTTTATTGGAATTTTACTATATGCTAGTCCCTGACTGGGCTGGGCCCTGAGCGATGAATAAAACAGATCTATTTCCCTCCCACATGGATAGGAAATAGGCAATGAACAAGTATTTAAAAAAAAAAAAAAGGAAATAGGAAATATAGTTAAACAACATGTGTGTTGTAGGAAAAGAAAGGAGACACAATAAAAGGGATATAATTTAGATTGTGGAGCCACAAAGGCCTCTCTGAGGAGGTGACATTTGGGCTGAAACCCAAAGGAGGTGAAGGAGCCAGCGAGGCAGCATTAAGGGATCGAGTATTCCAGGTAGAGGTGACAGTGGGTGCAAAGACCTTGACACAAAAGATTTCTCTGCTGAGGCGGGGAGAGTGTGTGGAAGATGAGGTCCAAGATTATGCCAGGCTTCATAGGCTGTCCTATGGTAGAGAGTAAGGCATTTGAATTTTAGTCTGAAGGTAATGGGAAGCTTTTGAAGGACACGAGGTAGTAGAATGGCTGATCTTGTTTGTATTTGTATAAGGTCACTCTAGCTACTGCCTGAGAGTGAAGTAGGGTGAGGGAGACGGGTGAATCTTCTGTGGAGTTGTTCTTCAGTACAGGCAAGAGATGGTAGTGGCCTAGGCTAGGGGGGCAATGGATGTGGATGGAAATAAACTGTCAGCAAAATTTGACAGGTGAACTGATCAGACTTACAAATGGATTAAGGGGTGCCTGCCTGGTTCAGTTGGAGGAGCATTGGACTCTCAATCTTGGGGTCATGAGTTCAAGCCCCACATGGGGTATAGAGGTTACTTCAGTAAATAAAAGCTTAAAAGAAAATGGATTGAAAGTGGGAGGTGAGGTACAGGGAGCCATCAAGAATGATTTTAATAATTTAAAAAATGTTTTTGTAAATAATGTACATAATTTTTAAATAAATGGATGCTTACAAAATATGCTTGAAAAAAGTTATTTTACAGACCAGTGCTCTAACCTCTGAGCTATAGGGCCGAAAAAAGTTATTTTAAATGTGTACATATAAGCCTCGATTTTTCATTACACTATTGATTTGCTTGACATGCTTATAACAAGGGTAAGTGCTATATAAAGTCAGCTACCATTAATATTATGGTTACTATTACTATTAATAATTTACAAGTTGCTTATACTAGAATGACAACTTCATTTTTACCTGTTCTTATGAAATACATAAAGTCTATAAGATTTTCTGCACGTAATAAGGATAAAAGTATAAGATATGAATGGAATGCCTAGATGACTTCTACATTTTACTTTTATTAAAAAAACTGGCAGAGCACAGAATACCTTTTTAAATTTCAGAAGTTTTCTTTAAGGTTGTTAATCACTGTTGCTATCCTCTGTTAATTGTATGTTGGGGTATTGGGGGATTAGGTTTCAGAATCAGAGAAAGACCTTCTTCTCAAGCAGCTGAGTGGTAGAATACAGCTTCTCAATAAATTACGCCAAGAAACTGTGGATCTAGAAACGCAGATGGAAAAGCAAAGGCAAGAAATTGCTGAAAAGCAGAATGAGATCAAGGACCTGCAAATAGCCATAGATAGCCTGGATTCCAGAGACCCAAAACATGTAAGTAAATTAAGAGATTTTGGCTTATTCTACAGGGACTAGAATATCATTCCATCTAGAAATTATGTCTCCTCATTTTTAGCCTCAGAATTCTTTCTGAAAGTCTTTGAGTTTAATGCACAAATTTGAGTGATATGTTTATGTATGTGTGTATGTCATATATATCTGTATGTGTGTTATATATCCATATGTCTATATATACATATGTGCATTTATACTTATATATAGAAGTATATATATCTCTGTGTTGAAAACAAAACATAAGACTTGAAAGAGATAGCTTTCAGTAGAATGGTAGATGCATGGTACACTTATTTTTTTAAGTGGCTGAGTATTATTATATTTCAAAGCAAGAGAAGCCTGCTCCATGGTGCTGTCCAAACCTCTTACCCTTTCTCTTTTATTGCTTTGTTTTCTTAAGAGCAAGGTGGTGATATGGGAGAGCTGAAAGGGATTTAGAGTCCTTTATCTGCCTCTTTTTTAATCCTTTATACAAATATTACATTAAACCTATTTGTTGTTTCATATTGTTTTGTTTTGTCCTTAATAAGGAAACACTTCTCTAGAGTGTGTCTTCCTAATATGTGGGCAGAGGTGGTCCAGTGGCTGCCTGATGGAATAGGTTCTTGTCTCTGTCTCTAAGAAGTCTTACTAATGGCTTACATTTTACCTAGTATTTGTAAAAATATTAGTAAAAATACTTCCTGCATATTTCACTGCTATACTTTGAATAATAAGGTTATTTTACAAAGAACTTTAAAATCCCTGATTTAAGAGAATTTAACATGGTAAGGACAATGCACTATCATTACTTTTAAATAGTTGTCAAGTTATTTGATTATCCCTTTAAATATTTCAATAAAATATCATAGGTAAATTTTTTTGCAGGTTAGCTAATTCTGACAAAAGGTAACCTTATCATTCACAGAAATATGTTCTTTTCTAACAAAAGCTTAAGACAGAGTATTAAAATTGAAACTAAAAGAGGACTTGATTATTTTAAAGAATTTTGTTATATGAACAATTAGATATTAAGTAATGTGTAATATGGTCAGTAATATCTTGCCTTCTTGCATTAATTTGTTTTGGAAGTCTGCCACACTATGTAAGGCTCCTAAGGACAGGAACTATATCCTACTATTTATCTGAATTCCCAGGGGCCAGCCCTGCGTTTAGTGAGTGTTTGCATCTGGGAAGGTAGGAAGGAACCTAGCCTATAGGCACTACCTGAAGCTCCTTTGCTGCTTCCTCCAGTTCTGTGATCTATGAGTCTACTTAGAACCTAGATTGTTTGTTTGCATTTAACAAGTGACTTTGACATTATTGGCAGACAGGGCATCTAATCCTCCTGGATTTCTATAAAGAATTACATACGGAAAGGAGTTAAATGAGAAACAGGAATGGCATCCACATTTTGAAGGTAGTCAATCTCTGTTAGTGGGGATGAAACATACAAACCTGATTTGAGGTTCCTTTTTGGTATTGTTAAAATGACTAACGGTTTGTTTTTAAGGTTACAGCTTTAGTCAAAGCACCAGAGGGTGTCTCTTTAATTTGTTCACCCAGAGGGAGCATCTTTTTCTAGGTTGCACAAAGTCACCTTCTTGGCTGGTGTTAGGCTCCTGTTAGGCATCACATTCGACAGAATGTGAACATTTTAGCAAAAGGGAAAGAATCAAGTGTGGGGTCCCTTCATATTTTTCTATGGATGGAGACAGACTTTTATTCAGTTAACTTTTATTATCTAATCAGATAAAGTGCTTCTCTGAATAGCAAATAGAATTTAAAAGTAAAGGCTTGAGAGATGAGAAAACATTATGTGACTCTGAGATAGGATGGAGAACAAACACATTAGGTGCCAATGAAGTGTTCCATGATGTTGGGGGTTTTGCATACACTGGTGAGGAACTTCGTCACAGCATATGCAGGATTGGTGCCTTTTTTTTTTTTTTTTTAATTTGCAGAAGGTGAAAATGTGATTTTTAAAAGATTAAGTGATTTCCTAAATTCATCTTTTAGGAAAAGGCTGAGCCCATGCTGTGATACTGCAGTGGCCCTTTCCCCACAAGGGAATTACAGGACTACAGAGATTAATTATTTTTAAAATTAGCTCAGAGACAAACCAGTCAAGTTTTCAACAGAAGCATCTAACTAGGTTTCAAAAGGAAAAAGTACTATTTAAAAATCAAATCCCATTTTAGCTATAAAAAATGTACATAGCTAGAGGCACAAACACCACAGCAGCAAACAATAAAGGAAGATTTATGTTGTTCTTCCCTACCTGGCAATGCTGTGTGGAAGCGAAAGGTAGTTAACTGTTCTCTGTGTGCAATCAGCCTGTAGTAATCTGTTGCAAAGGTTGTGTGTGATTGGCCCTTGGGAGCTTCCTGTGTTGTGATTTAAAGCACAGAGGGTGGGGCCTGCCTGCAGAGGCTGCTCGTGATTGGACGGGCTGGGCTGCCGCTCACTCTCCGCCAGGAATGTGGTTTGAAGCTCTGGGAAGTGAAGCTCGAAGGCGCTTACAAAAATGTGGCTGTCAGAGAGGGAAGTGCACGTGAATTTGAAAACAGCTTTAGAAAGCTCTCCGCCCACAGTTTCCCTGTTCTCAACGGCTCAGTTTTAACAGGACAAATTTTAAGTTAAGGTATGACGATTTTCTCTCTCTTTGTGCAAAAGACTTGAAAGGAGGAGGAGTCAGAGATGTAAGTTCCTGTTTTTATATCGTTTGTGAGCTCCATGGTCATGAAAAATCGCAGAATGTACTTTTGATCCCCTGTGCTTAATGCAGATCATTGGCATAATGAGCCTTTTTTTGGTCCTGCGTGTAAAGAGATTTCAGTGGAATTTTTAATGGTGAATTTTAAAGATTTAATGATGGAGACATGAAGGCAGGGTTGTTTTTTGTTTTTTAAAAATTCTTTCGTGAGCCATAAAAATCCTAAATTTACTTAGAATTTGAGGAGGTATCTGCAGTTACCTTCTCAGAAAGATTTCAGATGGGTATTGGGGAAGGGAGGCAAAGAAGAGTTTTGAAAATCCCATCAAATTTTACAATAGTGTAACAGAAACGTTCTGAGCAGCCTGCCATTCATTGTTCCTTAAAAATGAAGGGACTTTTTTCTTCCTTGTCTTTGGAGGCAGCAGAACATCTAAAAAATTCTTCTATAATCAAATGAGTACTAGACTTGAGAGCTTGGAGTTGGTTCTGACTGTGATGGAGTTGTTTCTCCTGATAACTTTCTCTTGTTTTATTGTTCTGTTCCTCTGATCCTGTGGGGGCAAGCCTGAAGCATGAGGGTGTGAGTGTGAGGGAATTATTTTGTCTCCACAGGAACGGTTGCCTCTGAGCAGACCTGGGCAGGTCACTGGTAGATCTGAGAATCAGGTTTTTCACATGTAAAAGGAAGGGTTAAACTTCTCAGGTTTTTTCCCCTGAGCACACCTGAAAATATAATCTAGTCTTTTCAGTTTACTGTAGCTCCCGAATGCATGGCTGTCACAGTGTGAGTAGTTGTGTGAAAACAGGAAAGCTCTGTTTTCTACCGGGGGTATATGTTGAAATAGAGGAGTGTGCTCTGGAGGGCCCTTCATTTTGAGACTCACTGGGCTGAATGGTCTTGGAGGTTTCTCTCAGCCCCTTGTTTATCGAACTGAAAAATAAAGCATTTCTTTGTATAAGGAATTGAGAATAAACCTCAATTCCAAGTAAGTATTTCTTCCATGTCTCTATTTTTCCTTAAGAAACATTTTTTTAAAGTACGTTTAATGTGCTTTTTTGATTAAAAAGATATGACTATTAAAAAATTTTTAAAATATTAAACATACTCCTAAAAAAGAAAAAAAAAACCTCCTCTGTTATTCCTCCACCCAGATATCATTCTTTAAAAAAAATTTTTTTTAAAGATTTTATTTATTTATTTGACAGAAAACACAAGCGGGGAAGCATTAGGCAGAGAGGGAGAAGTGGTCTCCAGCCCAGGACCCTGGAATCATGACCTGAGCCAAAGGCAGACGCTTAACTGACTGAGCCACCCAGGCGCTCCCCATATATATTCTTGTTAACATTTTGGAATATAGTAATTTTCTATGGATATATGTGTATATATAATTAACTTTTTTGAAACCTCATTAAAAGACACGTGTAGTTCCAGGAATATTGAACTTGGCTACAATTATCTAGTAGGTATGCCCTTGGAAAAATCATTTAAATTTAACCTCCTTGATTTTCAGTTGTCATATCTGTGTAATGGAGATGATTTCCAGATCAAGTTATCCTGAGGTTTAAATGAAAACTGTGTGAAAACAACAGAGGGCCTGGCACAGACTCAAACTGTTACAGTTTATTTTCCATTCTTCCTTTAGAAATGTTAAGCATTATTATTTTTAAAAGAGTTTAAGGGACTCAGGATTTTGCTGATTTTTTTTTCAATTCAGTGCCATATGAAGGCTCAGAAAAGAGGTAAAGAACAACAACTTGACATTATGAATAAGCAGTACAAACAACTTGAAAGCCGTTTGGATGAGATACTTTCTAGAATTGCCAAAGAAACTGAAGAGATTAAGGACCTTGAACAACAGCTTACTGAAGGTGAGAATTGCAGTATGATTTACAGTAGATCAGTATTTAATTTAAAACTTTAAGATGCTTCAGTATTAGCAGAAGACAGATGACACTGTGGCAGGCATTAATCCAGATATTAGCTGAATATGCTTCAGCTGTTCATACCAGTGTTTGATAGGCAAATATTTGCAGAGTACCCAAAAATGTTTACTCTAAGTAAAACATCTTTTTGGTTTTAGTTCTGTTGCATCGATTTCCTAGTGAGTCAGGACATTGCATTCAGTAGGCAAGAAGTCAGTACATGATCACGATAATCTCTGGCATGTCATTGTCTTCCTCCAAAGCATATAATCCTTTCAGGAACAAAGAGCCTGTTGACACCAGGGCATTCAGTGCCCTGTTCTAAGGACAGTGTGGAAGGAATTTTAGGATCTACGTTTGCAATGCAGATTTAGATTGTGACATTGCCATACCCACGGAAGAGGAAGATAATACAGGTTGTAGTGGTGAGGGCCCAAGATGGGGTAAAAAGAGCCCAGTTCCCATTTTGCCATTATCAGCCATGGGACCTGGGACAAGTTATTTCTGTCTCGATCACTGTTGGGAAGATTAAATGAGGTCGTGTTCATAAAGTGCCTGGCACACAGTAGGTTCCCAATACATGGTTCCCAATATGTGGTTTGGGGTTTTTTGTAAGTCTCCAAGTTACATGTTTATGCTGCCCATCTTGGATTAGTCTTGTATGTTGAGTGGTTTTGTTTTGTGTATCTAGCAGCAAGAACTCACAGTTTTGTTTAATGTTTTTCATTGTTTACTTGGGAAATTTTATTTAATATTTTTAACTTTTTAACTTTTTTGACCGAGAGAGACAGGGAGAGAGGGAACACAAGCAGAAAGAGTGGGAGAGGGAGAAGCAGGCTTCTCGCTGAGCAGGAAGCCTGATGCAGGGCTTGATCAGGACCCTGGGATCATGACCTGAGCTGAAGGCAGACGCTTAATGACAGAACCATCCGGGCGCCCCAGGAAAAGTTTATTTTTGTTATTTTTCTTTTTTTTTAATTGAAATATTGGGAACCTTTTTTTTTTTTTTTAAAGACTTTATTTATTTATTTAACAGAGAGAGAGAGAGAGATCACAAGTAGGCAGAGAGAGACGGGGAAGCAGGCTCCCCACTGAGCAGAGAGCCCGATGTGGGGCTTGATCCCAGGACCCTGAGATCATGACCTGACCCAAAGGCAGAGGCTTAACCCACTGAGCCAGTAAGGCACCCCTTCATTATTTTATTTTAAACTTCTTACAGCCTGAATTGAGCATTTTGTAAGCAATGCCCATTGACTATATTGCTTTTATTCTATAACTAATTAATACTCCTGCACTGTGGATAATAGAGGGAAAATGATCATTTTATCTTGAAAAAGAAAAACAAGTGAGGTGCCTGGGTGGCTCAGTGAGTTAAAGCCTCTGCCTTCGGCCCAGGTCATGATCTCAGGGTCCTGGGATCGAGCCCCGCATCGGGCTCAATCTTTAAAAAAAAAAAAAAAAAGAAAGAAAAAGAAAAACAAGATGGTACAAAATCATTGAACGCTTAGAATTTCTTTCTTAGCCAGTAACAACTAAGGAGACAAAAGTGCAGTAATTCTGTATCTTGAAAGGACTTTCTTATATACATTATCACCTTGCCTTTTTCCATTTTGTGTAGGACAAATAGCAGCAAACGAAGCCCTGAAGAAGGATTTAGAAAGTGTCATCAGTGGGTTGCAAGAATACCTGGAGACTGTCAAAGGCCAGGCCGCTCAGGCCCAGAACGAGTGCAGAAAGCTACAGGATGAGAAGGAGACTTTGCTGCAGAGACTGAGTGAGGTCGAGCAGGAGAGGGACCAACTGGAAATAGTGGCCATAGATGCCGAAAATATGAGGAAGGTATGATTTGTTTCTTCTTGACTGTTTCCTCAGCCTTAGAAGTAGGTGATTAGAAGTTAGCAACCGTGTAATTGGAAGTGACAAAAGGTATTAATGCTATTTAATGGGGTTTTTCCCTTTGGTGACACACTTGGAATCATTATTTTCCTTTGCTAAGAAAAGGAAGATTATTCCAGCTGAGTCGCTCCCCCTGAAACGTGTTGTTATCAAAGAACTATAACAAATAGGAAATTATAGCTATTACAGTTGCTGCATTAAGTGTTCATATTTTGTTACTTGTACACCAGAATTAAGCACAACATAATTTTCTGATTATTATTGTTATTCATAATTTTAACTTTATTTTACAAAACAAGACACAGTGTTCTAAACTCTACCCTTCCATACCTGGTTTACTGCCACTCATTTAGAGATCTCACGTGATCTGTTTCAGTTGTGTGACACACTGTTATCATGCATGAGAACCCAGATTCCCAGGTTTCGTCCCTAGTCGGACTTGCTCTGGAAGTTTGAATTCATATATTTAATACTACAAAAATTCTCAGGCAGATAAAAATGTCAAAAATTATATCTAACACCATGTACTCTAAACTCAGCTTAAGAAATAAAACATTGCAGATATGAAACCCTCTGCGTACCTCCATACAGAGGTAACAAAATCTTGAATATAGTTATTTCCCTGCATCTCTTTTATTAGGTATGTAGCCATCCATAAGCAATATGTGGCATTGTTTTGCATAATTTTAAGATTTATATAAAAGATGTGTGTATATTCTTTGGCCACTTTTTTTTCTTCCTTCCTGTTTATGTTTTGGGGAATTATACACATTGATGCATGTAGCTCTAGTTTGTTTATTTTTATTAGTGTATATAGCATTCCATTATAGGTATTACCACACATTTATTGCTTATTCATTCTCCTCTTGGAGAATATTTAGGTGATTTCTGGTCTTTGCTATTATAATGTTGAATGTAACATCTTTGCACACATCTTGAGCATGGGGGACTATGTTCAAGATTGGAGCACAAGTCAGAGGGTATGTGCCCTCCTCAATTTCACTAGACATTGTCAAATTACCATCCATAGGGATTTAGTCAGTTTCTACTCCAGCAATGCCAGCGCTGCCACTGTATCACATCCTTGCCAACGCCTTAGTGTTATCCGACTTTTATTTGTTAAGCTTTTATTTTGAAATAATTTTAAATTTTAGGAGAGTTAGAAGAATAATACAGATAACACTGTACTATACATTCAGAGTCATCAATTAATATTTTTGCTACACTTGTTTTCTCTTTTATATATAAGTTTTACATGTTTTTATATAAAAATTTTTCTCACCATTTGAGAATTAGTTGTGGACATCACCCTCCTTAGCTCCAAAATATTTCATCATGTGTTTCCTAGGAACAGGGACATTTTCTAACATAAAGTATCTAACACAGAATAATTATCACATTCAGGAGATTTAACTTTTTGTCAGTCTTAGTGTTTGCCAGTCTGCTGAGTTTGAAATGGTATTTTTTTTGATGAAAATTTTACATTTATAAGAATATTACAGGAATTTAAAAGAATTTATAAGAATTTAAATTTATAAGAATTTAAAAGAATAGTTCAGTGAATATCTGTGTGTTCTTCTAGATTCAAAAAATATTTTGCTGTATTTTTTTTTTTTGCCCTTGAGTTATTTGAAAGTTGCAAACATCAAGACATCATCTCTTAAGTACACATCTCTTAAAAATTAGGACATTTTCCTACATCACTAAAGTGCCATTTTTATACCTAGAAAAGTTAATAATAATTCCCTAATGTCATCTAATATCTGAACTGTATTTAAGTTTTCCCAGTTGTGCCAAGAATGTCTTTGGTAGCTGTGCATGCAGATGTGTGTGTAGAAGCCAGGCTAGTGGTCCTGTAGAGTGTCCCACATGCTGAATTGGTCTGTTGTTTTCTATGGTTTAACTTGTTCCTCTGTGCTCCATGTAAACTCATATCTTGTTATAACTGCATTTTCCTTTGATTTCTGAAAGATTGGGCACCTTCCCTTTGTTTATTTGCTATTCAGACTTCCTCTTCAGTGAATTCCCTATTCATACTTTGTGCCCATTTTTCTATTGGATTGTCTGTCTTTTTCTTAATGACTTGCAGGAATTCTTTATATACTCTGGACCTTTGTTGGTTATAAGTAGAATTTGCATTTTGTACAAGCAACCCAGATAATTAAGATGCCAAATGGTTTTTGGACCACTCCTGAGAAATCCTATAGAAGTTCCCATCACAAGATCCTCCTCTTTAAGTTAGGATAGTTTGATCTAGTTCTTCAAGATCCCAAATAAATAGATAAAAGCTGAGATAATTAAAAAAAAAAAACAGCTGGACTAAAATGAATTAGAACTACAGTACACTAATCAATATGTACTTATATTCTTGTCAGCACTCATTCAAATTACTCTGTCATCCTTAATTAGATTAGAGAGTGCTGATCCCATTTTGTTCTTCTAATAAATGAACATGCTGTGGTTTTTAATTGAAAGGGTGTGGTTTTTGCAGTCAGACATCTGGATTCATAGCCTATCTTCTTTAAGCTACACAGCCCTGTGCAATTTACTTAGATATGCATTCTCCATTTCCTCTTCTGTAAAATGGAGATACGACTGTGCCTTACACAGTTGCTGTGAAGATATGATGAAAGAGTAAATGTGAAAACGTTTGTTCCAGTGTCTGATAGAAAATAGGCCTTAAATTTTATAGCCCCTCTCTTTTCTTCTTATGTATTCAGACACATTGAAAGTGTCACACATCTGATTACTTTGGAAAAAATGTTGGTGGCTTACTGATTTTTCTGATTTAGTCAGGATTTTGTTTTCCAACCTGGTTATATACGCACAGCCTGCAGTTTCATTGTATTGCTAACGAAAACTTTGTGGGCCAGGCCAGCCTTGGCTGGCCAATTTGGTTCATGGTATTCCAGTTACTTATAATGACTTGCAGGTGCTTATGCAGAACAGGGAGGGTTCCATAAATGTACTGAATCCTTACAGGAGCTCGCAGAACTAGAAAGTGCCCTCCAGGAGCAGCATGAGGTGAATGTGACCCTGCAGCAGACCCAGGGAGATCTCAGTGCCTATGAGGCTGAGCTAGAGGCTCAGCTGAAAATACGGGATGCTGAAGCCAGCCGGCTCAAGGAGGAGTTGGAAGAACTTAGAAGGTTCAGCCAGGTAAGTAGGGGCATAAAGCCATCTAGAATCCAGTTAACGTATCAGCCTTTCTTTAATGTAAGATGAAACATTTTTTAACATAATGTATGCGGAATGATGGGAAGAGTACATTTTTGGAGTCAGATGTTCTGAGTTCAGATAGTATCCCTGTAAGCCCCTGTGTGAGCATGCAAATCACTTCATAGCTCTTGAGCCTCTGAAAAATGCCTCCTTATCTATAAAATGGGTCATTGTGAGGATAAGGGAAATATTGGGCTCGAAAGCACCTAGCAGTTGGTATTCAATAAATTCTAGTTTTTCTTTCTCAGAATAAGGTTAAGAGACCTCTTTTAAGTTAGTGTTCTATTTCATTTTGCTACTTTCTGTTTTGGTTGGATGAAGTATCCACTTGTTTAAATTGTACCGGCAAATCAGAGGAATAATTATTCATCCAATAACCACTTACTGACTGGCCAGTGACGGCAGGTGCTATGGATGCTGCAGTGAACAGCACAGACGTGGTCACTGTCCTTGGGGAGCTGATAGTCCAGTAGTGAAACAGCTGTGGGAGAAAGAATGGGATCTCATTCTGTCGCAGGGATGGTGTGGTTAGGGAGGACTGCCGTAGCGAAAGGTCTCACAGCCGAGACTCAAAGGATGAGTTGGACTTTGCTGTGCAGAGGGAGGGGGCGTGAAAAGGGTAGGGGTAAGGAATGAGTGTTCTAGGCTGACGCAAGGAGAAGGGGCATAGTGCATCTGAAGTGTGGAAAGTATGCCTCTTGGATGCCAGGAGCAAGAAGGGTAGGGAAGAGGGAGAGAGAGAGAGAGAGAGAGAGAGAGACGGAAGCCAGTTATGACATATTCTTTATCAAATTAATAATGTTAATTTTGTTTAGCTCTTGTTCACACAGGCTGCATCTTTCTCCAGGAAGCCCACTGTGACCCACCTCTAGTGTCTGCTGGAAATCTGGGTTCAGGATCCGACTTTAGTATTCCTGTAGCCTGGGCTCAAAGCATTTTAGATTTTTAAATCTAAAAATTTTAGATAAGCTTAGATTGCCCGTCTCTCCCGCTAGACTCAGGGCACAGTGACTACCCAGACTCTGTACGCCTGTTTCTGTTCTCTGAGGGCCTGGCACAAAAAGGGGTCAACGTGCACTTATTGGATGAAAGTGAAATAAAATAAGATAGTTTGAATCCCAGGAATGTATGTAAAATAGCATTCATGTGATTAGAAAAGGAAATAAAAATAGGTCATGCTTATTATAGTAATTATGTTAATTTGTATCCCTTATGAGATATCAAATGACCATCTGACAATTGTCAGGATTATATTTCTCAAGAATATCAAGTTTTACAAAACTAGAGTTGACAAGATCAGAGTACAAAAAAAAATGGGAAGTTGGGGGGAACGAAGTAACAGGAAATACAGATTTCTAAATAATAATAAATTTTCTAGATGGCATCTCATGTCAAATAAATTCTCTTAAGTTTTCTTTTTTTTTAAATTCTCTTAAATTTTCAAGCCAGCCTTTACTAGCTTGACATCTGTTGTCCTTTGTATTTCCATCGTCCTTTTTTTTCCTCATAAGTCTTGACAAAAATATTATAATAGCCTAGGCTTTTTACAGATTTACTTGGTATTAAGAGGGATATTCCCCTTCTTGGTAGGAACACTACCAGACCTGGTCTTCAAGTCATATATTGAGAGTGTGGAGTATAATAGATGTCTCTCTGATCTGCAGATCTCTAATTGGTTTACTTTAGCTGTATGAAATCACTTGGGAAACTTATTATTGTTTTTTGGAGGGGGAAGCTTATTAAATGCAGATCCCTGCCCCCTCCCCTCAAGCTTCTGGTCCATTGAGACTGAGATGTAATCTGGGCGTCTGCATGACTAACAAGCACACCAGGTGATTTTGATACAGATATGTGAGGACCACAGTTTGAGAAATATTGGTCTAAGGGAAGGAAGAGCAGTAACTGTTGAATCACTCACAGAACTTCTAAATACAGTAGGTACTTGGGCCCACCCCTGAGATTCTATTTGGTATATCTGAGCTGAGCCGATTCTGTTGTCTACTCTTTCTTATTAATGGCTGAAGAAGGCATATGGAAAAGATTTAACTTGGGCTTTGAAATTTGAACATATAAACATAAAACCGCATTATTATAAAACCATAGCTATCAAGGGATTGTGTGTGTATATAAATATATTTATGCCTTTAGAGATTTAAGTGTTATGTTTTGTGTTTATGTTTATGTTTTCATATTGTTGCTTCCCATGGCGATAGTTAGAACAATCAGCCCTTCAAGAGGAACTTGAGAAGGAAAAGCAAGCCCTCAAGAATGCAGTCAGAAAAGCCCAGCTCTCAGAAGGAAAGGACCAAGAAAATAGTGAGCTCCGCACACAACTCAAACAGCTGCAGGTAGAGACATGTCTGTTCAGGATATATTCTTACGTAGGACACCCTCAGGCGCTTAACCTGCTCCAACCTGTAGTGAGCAACTTGAATTATTAGAAAAGAAAGATCTGGGTGGGACGGTACTGTGTCCCTTGTGAGCCCATCGCTGTAAGATTATTGACACACATGTCCTTCGGCTTGTTTTGGGGGTGTGAAGAGTTGGAGCCAGTCGGGAGTACACAGTGAGGACTGTGCAAACTCACAGGAGAAGGCATTACCTGACATTTCTCTGAGAAGCAGATTTGTCACCAGGCTGAGCTCAAAGGATCAGATTGATGCATTCTTCTTCCGCTGAAATAGCTTTGTAATTATCCAGGAATTTAACTAAAGTGGGTTGCAGAACTTCTTAACTGTAAACAGTTTTCATAATCCTCTCCTCAGAAAGGATGCTATTAAAAAGGCAGTCATGGGGCACCTGAGGGGCTTAGTTGGTTGAGTGTCCAGCTCTTGGTTTCGGCTCAGGTCATGATCCCAGGGTCATGGGATTGAGCCCTGGGGGTATGGGATCAAGCCCCGGGTCACGTCAGGCTCCCTGCTTAGTGGGAAGTCTGCTTCCCCTCTCCCCTGCTTGTGTGTGCGCAGGCACGTGCATGCTGTGTCTCTCTCTTTCTCTCTAAAATGAAATAAGTCTTTCTAAAATAAAATGCAGTCACTTTACATCTATGGGGGTTTGCTTTGGCGGAGTATTTTTACTGCCGGTGTCATAATCTGCCTAACAAACTGCCAGAGAAGCAGGTGGACAGGATTTTCCAGATAATTAAACTCCCAGAGAGCACAGATGTCTGAGCAAACAAGTACCTGGATCAACACTCAGGTCTCAGTCTGTGAGGCCAAGGGCCACTTGGCTGACTGAGGTGGCATGTGTCATACTTCATCAGAAATAAAAGGGCAGAGCAGCTATGGTTTTAGGGAAGGCTTCCATGCAGGGCTGGTTTGTGATAACTAAAGACTAATAAGCTCATCCAAATTCTCTCCTTTCAATGCCTTGAATATTTTTTTCCTCAAAGTTTAAGGAAATGTAATAACCCAGAATTTAATTTTTAATGCTATCAGCTGAATATTTGAAGCGAATATCATAAAGGGTGTATCTTGTTTGACTTGTGTGTCAGGTGTTCAGTAGAACACTATGGAAATTTTCAAGTCATCACAAAAACAGAATAGTCTTATGTCCTTTGGTTTACTCTGCTTGACCAGTCATCATGCTGCCATTCTTGGTTCAGTCAGTCCACATGTTTTTTTTCTGCTGGAATACCTCAAAAGAAAATCTCATACATCTTTATTCCACCCATAAATACTTTAGTATACATCTCTTAAGGAAGGGACTAAAATTTCTGGAGCCTTCTCCTCCAAGTTAGGAACTGAAGTCAGCTTTCCAGAACACTTAGCCCATGCTGTGAGACTACCTTATTTGGAACTAGGTCCTTAGCCTGCTAACCTCCTGATACAGAGTTCAGGTTAAACTCACTCTGCATTTATCTTTGTCAGAAAATCATTCAGCTGCAATGAGCCAAAACCTACTGACACAAGCTCCAGAAAGAAGACAGAGCTGCTCTGTCAGTCTGTCTTTCAGGAGCTACATGGCTCTCTCATTTCTCCTGCTTTATCTCTGCGGGCATTGAATGTGCCCCGTGGACTCCAGCCCTGAGCTGACATATCTTGACAAGGCCTGCTCTTATGGACTTGATGTTCTGGATCTAGGTCCAATTTTTGGAGAGCGTGAGAACTTGTTTTCTGACTAGTCAGCGGATTGTCTGGCCTTGGGTCAGATCACCTGTGGCCAAGATTAGACAGCAGTACAAATCTGGGCACCTCAGGACAGTGGGCAGGACAGTTTACAGATAACAGGCTCCAAATGGGAGAGGCAGTTAACCTGTTCATTGCAATTCTGAATTCTCCACCATAGTTAAGAGTATTTCACTAGTTTGAAGTAAATTAATCACTCAGGTGGAGTGTAGGTATTCCGGAGAATACAGTCAGCACCTTAGGGTGCAGAACTATTTTTCTTTACAATTTTAGGTGATTTTAACAGTTTCTTTTTACTTGAAAGGGGTGTTGTGTGAATTTAATTCTGGGGATGTTTGTGTTTGTTAATAATAAAAATATGCTGGCATGTAACAAATATTCCCACAGAGAATTATAAACTATTAGAGAAGTTTTAGTACTAGACGTTTCATTTTTAGTTGCTTGGCAGACAGAGTCTCATGGCAAAGTGTTTTTTGGTATTGTTTTTTTAACTTTGAATTATGAGCATTTCAAAGACATACAAAAGTAGAATACGAAAATGTATCCTCACACACGTATTACCTGTCTTCACCAGTTATCAGCGCACGGCCAGCCCTATCTCCTCTGTAATGCTGGCCATAACACATGCCTTACACCTGTTCACACACTGAATTATTGTGAAATAAATCTGAAAATCTTGGGGAGCCTGAGTGGCTCAGGTCATAATCCTGGGGTCCTGGGATTGAGCTCTGCATTGCATTGGGCTCCCTGCACAGTGGGGAGTCTGCTTCTCCCTCTTCCTCTGCCCCTACCCCAACTCATGCGCTCTCTCTCTCTCTCTCTCTCTCTCTAATAAATAAAATTTGAAAATCTTATTTTATCTGTAAATACTATACAGAGGCTTTTTAAGAAAGCATGAACTGATACCACATTATATCTTGAAATTATAGTAATTCCCTAATATCAAATGCCTTATCCTATGCAGATTTTCAGATTATCTCACACAGTTTGGTTTTTTAAGATTTTATTTATTTATTTGTCAGAGAGAGAGAGAGCAAGCGAGCACAGGCAGACAGAATGGCAGGCAGAGGCAGAGGGAGAAGCAGGCTCCCTGCCGAGCAAGGAACCCAATGTGGGACTCGATCCCAGGACACTGGGATCATGACCTGAGCTGAAGGCAGTTGCCCAACCAACTGAGCCACTCAGGTGTCCCATACACTTTGGTCTTGTTTCATTCCAGGGAGAGAGAGAGAGCCTGAGTGTGATGATGGGGGAGAGAGAGAATCTTAAGCAGGTTCCACACTCAGTGTGGAGCCCAGCGCGGGACCCAGTCCCATGACCCTTCTCTCTCTCAGTTTTTAAACTTCTTTTTTTTTTTTTTTTTTTTTTGAAGTTTTTTTTTTTTTCTGAGAGAGAGGGAGAGAGAGCGAGCACAGGCAGACAGAATGGCAGGTAGAGGCAGAGGGAGAAGCAGGCTCCCTGCCGAGCAAGGAGCCCGATGCGGGACTCGATCCCAGGACGCTGGGATCACGACCTGAGCCGAAGGCAGCTGCTTAACCAACTGAGCCACCCAGGCGTCCCTCTCTCTCAGTTTTTACAAGTGTTGTTTAGCATCAGGAGCCAAATGAAGTGCACACGTTGCATTTGGTTGACTTGATTCTTCAGTCTGTTCTAGTCTCTAGGTTTCTTCCTTCTTTCCCCCTTTGTAATATTTTAAAGAAAACCAGGTCTTTGTCCTTATAGTTTCCTATATACTAGATCTTACCGGTTGCATCTTTTCTGGTATTGATTCATATGTCCTTATGTTGCATATGGAGGTTTATTTACATTCAAGTTAATTACTTCTCAGCAAGAAGACATTCATAGGTAGTGTTCATAGGTAGTTATTTTTGTATCACATCAGGAAACATTGTAATGCCTGGTTCTGTCTTTTGTGACTACATTGGTCGGTAGATTCAGATATTGTCAGCCCAAATAGAAAGCATTTTTTAAAGAACTGAATAGAACTATCATATGACAAGTACTATAGTCTGTGTATGGATATATGTGTGTATTTTAAATTTTGTTTTGGTAACTTTTACCTCCCCGTTTCACCACTGACCCTAGGATGACAATGACCTATTAAAACAGCAACTTAAAGATTTCCAGAGTCACCTGAACCATGTGGTTGATGGTTTGATTCGTCCAGAAGAAGTGGCCGCTCGTGTAGATGAGCTAAGGAAAAAACTGAAGTCAGGAGCTGGGGAAATGAGGTAATGAAAAATCAGGACCTCCAGGTGTTGAGGTTGCTGAGTGAGGAGCAAGAGGTGCATAGAGACTCACCTTCCCAAGTTCTGTTAATGGCCGAATTCTTTTGTAAGTGTTCCTGTGTCCTGTTTCCGTGATCGAGACACAAGATTGCTTCGTTCAAACTGCCTGTCACTGATTTTTTTTCTACATTTTAAATCTTTCATACTTTTTGGTATTATTTAATTTAAAAAGTAGGAAGTTTTAAGAGTAACTCTTTCTTGAAAGTTCATTGCATATGGTCAGGAAGTAGAGCCACATTATGCATTTTAAGTAGAAAATAAATATCAAAAGCAAGGCTCATTTAAATACATGAAACAGACATTTATTCTTTGAGCAAGCATTGGTGGCCCCCTAGGAGCCTGTGATTTCAGAGTGACAGCGGTCATTGGCTAAAACAATGATTTACACTTAGGAGGCACTGAGTTGCTGTGACTGACGATCCTGTTCCAGGCTTCCAGACAGCTCTCTCTCCTCCTGCACTGTTACCAGCATGTTTGCACCCAGCATCTGACACGAGTCATAAAATTCACACCATCTTTCCTTTCCCCTTACCAGAATCCATACTTCCTCAGATGTCTTAGGGAAAAGTCTTGCTGATTTGCAGAAACAATTCAGTGAAATCCTTGCACACTCCCAGTGGGAAAGACAGGAAGCACAAGTAAGAGAGAGAAAACTCCAGGAAGAAATGGCCCTACAGCAAGAGAAACTGGCAAGCGGGCAAGAAGAGTTCAGGCACGCCTGCGAGAGGGCCCTGGAAGCACGGGTAAGGAGCAGGCGAGAGGCAGCTGGAGGGAAGTGTTTGGCCAGTACTCCTGTTTTTCAACAAATTGCAATGCTTCCTTCTCAAGTAAATACAGTATACTTACTGATATTTTCACTCTTAACCAGTCAAACTGCCTGTGACTGAAAGTCAGCTGTGAATGTGGTTACTGATATCAGTCAGGCTTCTTTGTGGCTGTGTTTTCCTTGTTTTGGAAGCAGGTGAGAAAGAAATGTTGCTGAGCATGCAGGCAAACAATACTACATTGCTGGGGTGTGGTATCGTGCCAGAATCTGATTTTGGGGCTGTCATTCTTTTAACAATGATGCAACCATTAAAGTGGATCCTAGAGAACATTCAAGATAAAACCATGCCCTGTAACTCATTAGTACAACATTTCATTACCCTCTTTTAGTAAAATGAAATGTGATTCTCTAAAAAGATTTTATTTTGCTTAAAAATCCTCTTTGAAACTTAATTTCCTCACAGATTAGTTTTGATAAGAGGCAGCACGAAGCAAGAATCCAGCAGTTGGAGAATGAAATTCACTATTTGCAAGAAAATCTAAAAAGTATGGAGGAAATCCAAGGCCTTACAGATCTCCAACTTCAGGAAGCTGATGAAGAGAAGGAGAGAATTCTGGCCCAACTCCGGGCGTTAGAGAAAAAGGTAGGAAGACTAGGAAAGCGTTACACCTCTGTCCCCACGCCTGGGTCCTGCCCCCCAGGAGCAGGCCTTCTGTGCAGGGCCTGGTCCACAGGTTGCTGGCCCAGAGGCGGACTGGACCCCAGGGGAGGCCGGGATACATGTGGTCAAGTCAAGGGCCTGAAACAGGTGACGTGGTTGATGAAAACGAGCGAACTGGCATGTGAGGAGCGACCTTGGAGCGTGAGTGCTGATGGCTTGAGTTTGCCTCCTCTAAAACCCCTTGCCTAACTGGACACATCCATGGGAAATTACTTTTTAACTCTTCATCTTCCTTTCTGACACGCTGGCCTCTCTTTGCTTCTCCATCCCACCTCAACCATCTCCTCCCATCGTCACATCCTCCCCCTTGGCCAGTTCAGAAACTGTGCCCACCACCTCTGAAATCCCATGCTGCTCGTAACTCTATCCACTGACCCCACACTGACAATTTTTCAACGTCATAGACAACTCCAGGGCATGAACCTAACAGAAAGTTAGGCTTTCCTGTCCACCTTCCTCATCATCGCCTGACCTAAATTCCGTGGCCCCCCACTATAGCCAATTTTGCAAATATCCTCAAATCCCTTGTCCTTTTTTCCTGTCTCACTTGCCCGACAGAACTGCAGTGATATGCTTTCTTTGCGCTGCTACCCATGCTGAGCATTTCTGCAGAAAAATGTCACCCACCCAGGCATACGGTATCATTATAATCTCTTGGTCATCAACCTCAAATGGGTGGCATTACCCTTCTCTCTGGTCAGTTCACTCTCCTGTGCCCCACCGTTTCATATCTGGTCACTCTCCCTTCTCTCAGCCTCAGCGAGTGACTTGCTTCATACTTGACCAAGAACCTTTCAGTTCCCGAGTCCTATTGTATCTGCCCCCAAAATATATCTGGAATATGGTTCCTTTTTTCCTTCTCTGATGCCACCACCACCCCAGTCTAGCCATCATCTCTCTTCTGAACAACTGGTACGGCTACCTGACTGATCTCCCGCTGCCACCCATGAGCCTGCTCCACAGAGCCACCACCGTGCTCTTTCAGAAACAGGCATTGACTCTTGTTAGTCCCTGTCTCCTACCTGGCCATTTCCCTCCTCTCAGGAACTTCTGTTATTTTTATGAAAAATACCTAAATTCTTAAGCCTATGAGGCCTGACATGATTTACCTCTATCTGCTCCCTCCTGTTCTCACCAGGCTCCTTCTTTCAGTTCCTCAAAAATGCCAAGTTCTCCTAGCCTTCCCACATACCATTACCTCTCCTGGACCACGTTCCTCCACCCTTCTCTCTGACTGCCCCCTCCCCACCAATCTCCGTCTCTCTTGCTGTTCTCTCAAAAAGTACCCTGTTCTGTCCCTTAATAGTTACTAGCCACCATTTTGTTATATATTTGTCTGAGCATTTGTTTATTATCTGTCTCTCATAAGCTCCTTCAGGGCAATAGCCCAGTCTGCTTTACTTACCATCATCTCCCAGGGTCTGACTCAGCAATCACAAGGGTCTGGTCCATCACTTGGTGATGGTACTGGGAAATGGTTTTCCAATGAGTAAATGAATCTGTGATCGCTTATGGTTCTTGACTAAGAAGACTGATTTAATTCTAAGTTTACCATACAGTTTTTAGTTGATTTTATTTATTCATTCAATCAATGACTATTTGTGGAGTACCTCCTTTGTGCCAGATATTATCATTCTAGGCGTGGGCTGGGTAGTAGTGACCGGAGTCCCTGCCCTCATGGAGCTTGTGTCTTCATTCACTGCTGCCATATGACTCACTGTTCATGAGTCTAATGAGTTCATGAGTTTAATGTTTCTTTTATTTTAGAAGAAACTTGAAGATGCCAAGTCTCAGGAACGGTTTCTTGGTTTAGACAGAGAATTGAAGAAACTAAAGAAAGCCGTGGCCACCTCGGATAAGTTAGCCACGACTGAGCTCACCGTCGCCAAAGACCAGCTCAAGTCCCTTCATGGAACTGTGATGAAAATTAACCAGGAACGAGCAGAGGTGAGTCCACGTGTCCAGAACAAGCTTCCACAGGCACTGCTGCCCCAAAACCTAGCCACTTGTATTATTGCTCTTTTGTTATAGACTTTGGTTATCTTAGAAACCACTGGAAAGTTGTCTGTCTCCCTTCAGACTTAAGGATTGTATTTCTCTCCTCATAGCCCTGCCTTGGGTCCTGCCCTTTCCTGAGCCCTGACAGGAACCATCAAATGAAACATACTCTCCCCACCTCAGAGTGTAGAGCTCTGCCTAGGGAGATGGGTGTGCGTACACACCTGAACCAAGGTTTCAAAGGCTGGCCATGTCATCCTTCTGAACCCCAGACTTTTCATCTTGTGCAGTCAGATAATAGTGACCTCTCGGGCTGTTCTGCCTTCTGACTGAAATGCTGTCTCCAGCAGTTTGAAGGGTACAGATGCTCCTGAGATGAAGATGATAGATCATAGGAGAGACAAGTTAATGATGGGAGTCCAGAGAGACCCCAGTCATGGAAGACTGGAGATTAGTGAAGAAGAGGTTAGCTCTGGTTCTTTCTGATGCAGCCCCCCGCCCACCTGGCCCCGTGGAGGGGTGGAGCAGGCTGCCAAGTGATGGGAACAGTGCAGGACAGGGTGGGACCCAGCGCCACACACTCATGGGGTAGCCAGGCTGGCAATTGGGCGAAAACAAAGAAGTTGATCTGAGAGGAGGGGAGACTTGAAAAAGACAGCGAATGACAGCAGTGCTGCCTTTCTCCTACCTCTGTCCCAGTAGGAGCTGCAGGAGACGGAGAGGTTCAGCAGAAAGGCAGCGCAAGCAGCCAGGGATCTGACCCAAGCGGAAGCAGAGATCGAACTCCTGCAGAACCTTCTCACAGATAAAGAGGAGCAGGTCAGTGCTGGGACTCTGAGATCTCCGTATGGGCCTGTGTCGGTTCCTAAAAGACAAAAGTAGTAGAGGTGACTGCTCAGAGAATTTGGAAGTGTGCCAGGCAGAGTGCGATTTCAATACAAGGAGTGACATGGCATCCTCATGAGGAAAGCATGGGTAAAAGTTCTAGAAGTATTAATTCGAGTTGCAAGGATAAGTGCATCTGGGAAAGAGTATTCATGGACAACTTTGTGTATGTGATATTTTTAATAGTATCGAAATCAGATGGAGAAAGTAGATGTCGGCACTGGAGGAGCGCACTCACAGGTGGTGGAGATGGAGAAACTAAATGAGACAATGGAGAGACAAAGGACAGAGATAGCAAGGCTGCGGAATTTACTGGACCTCACCGGGGCTGGTAAAGTATTGGGCTTTGATTTCGGTAGTTGTTCTAAAATCAAGTCAAATCACGTTAAAAAAAAGATCATCCCGTTTGTTTTTCACCATAGCAAATTTATTTTAACTGTGATAGATCAATTCCATGCTTGCTTTACAGAGCTGTAATAATTAGCTTAATGAATAAAAGCAAAGAATTTAAAAAACACTTTATGTAAGTGGAGTTTTAAGAAACTTGATTACAGTGAGACAAGAGATTTTTGAATTTTCAAAAGAAACAATGTTTACAGATCTGTTTTCTTTCTCTGGTTCAGTTTATAAATGAACAACAGAGGGGTTTATTTGTCCTCTTTACGTGTTAGCAAAAACTTAAACTACCATGGGACAGGCTGAAAAGTCAGCTTTGAGTTGCTGATCAAAGTTATTGGCCACCATGGCATCACTCGTGTACATTGAGAGAGGAGGGAAATAGATGATTTCACGCCCAATTTCACAGACTGGCATTCCTTCGCAGATAACAAAGGAAGCTTTGAAAATGTTTTAGAAGAAATTGCCGAACTTCGACGTGAGGTTTCTCATCAGAATGATTACATCAGCAGCATGACAGATCCTTTCAAAAGACGAGGCTACTGGTACTTTATGCCACCACCATCATCATCAAAAGTAGGAAGTCTGTGATGCTGGGAGTGTATACTGAATTTTCTTGTAGGAAATGTGACAATGTTCTCTTCTCCCAATTTGTGAAGAAGGTGTCAAGAATAATATGTCTAAGCTAATGCATTGAGGTTCTTAAGGATCCTTAATATTTGAGGTGAAAATAGGGCCTTCTCAAGAGTATTGCCATTGCCCATTCCTGCTCAGGTAGCATGTTGTGGGTGCCTGATAGAAGATACTGCAAGGGGATAAGGTGACGAGCCCAGACGCCCTGTTGGAAATGGGTATAAAATTGTGCAGAGGCTGATAGAAAACTGGGTGCCTGGATTTCATTTGATTTTAGCCCACGTTTCATTCTGTGTTCACTGAAATCTAGGTCAGGTGCTATGTGGGGTGGGGAGGGTGTGCTATGAGGAATGGTCTAGCCCTTGCTCTCCAAGAGTTCATGCACTGGTGGGGAGACAGGTACACCTGTGTGATTACCACAGGGGCATGCATGTGACAACAGACTTTACCTGTGTGCTCTGGTATAGAGAAGTGTTAGGGATCCCTCAGTGGGGAAGTTCAGGAAAGAAGGCTTCACACACAGTCATGAAATCAGCACTTAGCCCTCAAGGGGTGGGCTTTTAGGAGGGAGGAAGGTGTGGAGGGGAGAGTTGGTTTAGCTGTGGTGAGTAGCCTTGTGGGGCTGGACGGTTGGATGGGAACAGTGAAAGGTGAGTCTGGAAAAGTAGATTGGGCTCATGCTTTTTGAAAAGGGCCTCAAAATCTCTTGCACTGACTTGTGGAGACCTTGGGGACCGAGGCTGTGTGTACTGTGATCAGAGACGTAGTTTAGGAGGAGTAATTGGGCTGAGTGTGGGAGCCCGAATTGCGGTGGGTGAACTTGGGGCAGGGCAGGGTGGTGCAGGGGTGCTATGTGAACTCATTCCATGAGGGACAGAAGCCGGAGCTAGAGCAGTGGAGCTGGAGGAGAAGAGATGGCACCGAGGGATGTTCAGGAGACAAAAAGCCAAGGTTTGGGGCTTGAAAGTGAGAAGTAAGGAGAGGACGGTAAGTGGCCCACATCCAGAGCAGAGGGGCTGGGTGACACCCTGCTAGGATCAGCTGACAGGCAACAGTCAGGGGGAGGGGCTGATATACTAGGGTCCCAGGGCTGTGTCGACTTAACCAGAATCCAGACAGCCTTGACAACCATGGTTGGAGGCGGAAGCTGTGTAGGTTAGATGTAACGTGGGAAGGCTGAGCTGGCCGAGGGTTTGGGAAGCAGACCTGTTTATGACTGGAAAGGAGGGAGGGTGGCGGAGTAGAGCCTCTTGGCCCACGCCAGGCTCCCAGGACAGCAGGAGACTAATATCCCAGATGGCCTTTAAAATTCACTGGTTTCCTTGACCTTTGTTGGTGGGACGTCAAGACAGCAGGAGACTGATATCCCAGATGGCCTTGAAAATTCACTGGTTTCCTTGGCCTTTGTTGGTGGGCCATCAAGAACAAGGCAAAAGGGGAGAAGCCTCCAGGAAAGATGAGTACTGGCGAAGAGAGGCCACACTCAGGCCATTTACCTGACTTGACTGGGTAATCATGTCTGTCTTCTGTCTGAAAAATGAGAATCAGAATCTATGAAAAGAAACCAGTTCTTTCTCAACTTTGCCACATCTCAACTTTGTTCTAGACTTAGGCATTTCTCCAACTCAGCCTTTTCATTTCTGATAAATAGTGGGCTCTTCTATCATCTATTTTAGGTTTCCAGCCACAGTTCCCAGGCCACCAAGGACTCTGGTGTCGGCCTAAAGTGTACAGCCTCAACTCCTGTTGGAAAAGCACGTCATGGACAGCAGGATGGAAAAGAGGACAGTGGGCCTCCACCTGTTTCGGGATACTGGGTGTATTCTCCCATCAGGAGTGGGTTACATAAATCGTTTTCAAATAAGGGTAAGTTAAATCACAGAAGGGAAGTTGCATGTCTCTTGTATTTGTTCCCTGAAATCCATAAGACACAAGCCAGACTCCTTAGCTTAGTCTGCATGGCCTTCTGTGCTGGGCCTTGGCCAGTGACCTCTTGTCTCACTTCCCATTACTGTCCCAAAGTCAGCCATCCCAGCTGCCTAAGATCCCCACAGCATGCCGTGTGCCACTCACCTCCCTGTTTTAAACTTGTTTAGTAGAAGGTCCTTCCTTGGGGCGCCTGGGTGGCTCAGTAGGGTAAGCCTCTGCCTTAGGCTCGGGTCATTATGTCTGAGTCCTGGGATTGAGCCCCGCATTGGGCTCTCTGTTAAGCAGGGAGCCTGCTTCCTCCCCTCTCTCTGCCTGCCTCTCTGCGTGCTTGTGATCTCTGTCAAATAAATAAATAAAATCTTTTTTTTTTTTAAAGATTTTATTTATTTATTTGACAGAGATCACAAGTAGGCAGAGAGACAGGCAGAGAGAGAGGGGGAAGCAGGCTCCCCGCCGAGCAGAAAGCCCGATGTGGGGCTCGATCCCAGGACCCTGGGATCATGACCTGAGCTGAAGGCAGAGGCTTTAACCCACTGAGCCACCCAGGCGCCCCAATAAATAAAATCTTAAAAAAAAAATAAAGAATGTCCTTCCTTCCTCTCCTAAATCTATTCCTGCTCAACCTTCTATAAGATTCAGGCCCGCAGACAACACTCCTCTATGGAGCCTTCCTCCACGCTGCCTCGCCTGCACTCCTGGGCCATGGCAGGTGCCGCCATCCTTGTGTCATGGTGGTGGTTAGCTCGGCTAAAATGAAGTGTTACAGGTCCATCTTCTAAAGCTCCGAGAGGAAGAGTCGGACTTGGGAGTCAGTCCTCGCTCTTGCAGGGCTAGCTGCGTGATCCTAGGCAGAGTATTTCGCTCCTCTGAGACTGTTGAGTGTAAAAGGGGAATGTCACCTTCGGAGAATGTGTTTATTCAGGAGCTATTTATCGAGTGCCTGCTGTGTGCTAGGCTGTGTGTCAGCAGTGATAAATGTAGATCTTGCCTGTCAGGGAGATAACCAGGAGAGTCAGCAGCTTAGAAAGGGCCGTGCGTCGTGATCGTGGTAAGTGCTGAGAGCTGTGGGTCTCACTGCTCCTTTCTGCATCTCTGTTGGTCTCTTCTGTAGCCTGAAGCAGGCACCCGAATGGTTGCTGAATTGATGAATGAATGAAGACCCCCCCAAAAAAAGGAAATTAACAGATAGACATAAGAAAAACGCAATTATCAGCCACTGAAAATATATGAATCCCTGTTTTGATCAACTTTTCAAAACCGCTTTGACCTTTTTTGCAAAATTTCATTCTCACATCTTGGGGATTTGGACCTAAATGCTGCCGTTCTCTGCTAAATTTATTTACCTAAGAAGCCATGGGGGTAAAACACTCTTCCATTTATTTCTTTCAAGATGCAGACAGCGGAGGAGATAGCCAGGAAGAGAGCGAGCCAGAGGACCGAGAGGACCACCCATTTGTACCTCCTCACGGATACATTATGTACACTGTGTTTCCCGATGGTTCGCCTGTACCGCAGGGCACGGCCCTATATGCGCCCCCTCCTCCCTTGCCCAGCAGTAGCCAGCCTCTCAACCCCGGCACTGTTGTTTATGGCCCACCTCCTGCTGGGGCTCCCATCGTGTATGGGCCTCCACCTCCCCACTTCTCCGTACCTCTCATCCCCATGGGGGTGCTGCACTGCAATGTCCCAGAACACCATAACTTGGTAAGTGGAAAGACACAGGACCCCCTGTCCACAGTGCTTCCACGGGAGACTGAATAAGGGTATTTATGTAATGATTTGACCTATTTATGAACAGATTATGTCCCAAGTGTGTTCATAAGATTTGTGTTTAGAATGGAGTAAGCATTCTCTTATTAACATACTCTTCTGGACAAGAGTTAGGATACCAGGCCAGTCTGCAAATGCTTTGTTTAATCATCTTATAACAAAAAATGCTTTCAGTCCAGAAATTAACCATTTTGGGAGAGCTTATTTTATATTTTCTAGGACAAGTACTGATGTGTACATGGAAGTATATTCACATAGTAGTGCCTGTGCTTGTACACACATGTCCCTGCGCATGGACACGCATCCACATGTATGTGCTTGTGTATTCACACGTATGAGCAGCAAGGTTGTGGTGGGGATTATCTCTGGGTGGTGAGATTCATGATTATTTTTTTCTTTTCATAATTCTTAGCTTTTTGTACAGTTTTTCCCACTTAACATTACAGGCATTTCCCCATGGTTTTTAAAAGATTTTATTTGACAGAGTGACCTAGCAAGAGAGGGAACACAGCAGGAGGAGTGGAAGAGGGAAAAGCAGGCTTCCCGCTGAGTAGGGAGCCCAATGTGGGGCTCCATCCCAGGACCCTGGGATCATGACCTGAGCCGAAGGCAGATGCTTAAGGACCGAGCCACCCAGGCACCCCTCCCCATGGTTTTACAAATGTTTTTAAGCAGTATTTTAATGACTGCATAACATTTCTTAACATTTGTAGTCAGTCTAGTTGACCTAACTGCATAAATTTTTAGTGTATTTCATTTTGTTAGGCTAGATTACTAGTAATTCTAAGGCTAGATTACTTGCTAATCACTAGCTTACTTTGTTAACTCTGTGGTTCTAAAGAAGTAAAATGCACTACAAACTCCTCCTTCAAACTCAAGAAACCTAGAGCTCTTTAGATTTTCCTTGTCCTCCCAGGAGATTGAGAGGAAGACAAGGACCAGAACAAACAATGGGTCAGGCTGGTTGCCCGGGGCCTGCATGTGCTCACATGGTTAAAACATTAGTCACCCACATAGCCCCACAGAGTCTCAGCGCACATGTGTTTATGTGTTTACAGCGGTGCAGTCGGCTTGGCATGTGATCGATCCCCTCTTAAGCTGGTCCTGTTACCCGCTAGCAGTACCCAGCTGTCCTGTAGTTTCTCACATGCCCTCCTGGACCTCTGTGCATTTGCGTGTTCTTTCTTCAGCTTAGGTCTTCCCCATGTCCTTTATTCTTCAAAACCCAGGCAAAACACCTCTCCCTCTGGGCAGCCTTCCAGGCAGCTCCCCTCCCCGGGTCCAGAGGAGGGAGAGACCTGTGTCTCTCTCTTCTGCTACTTGCTGTCCTCGGAGATAGAGATTATGCATAAGAGGTGCTTGGGTAATGTGTATCAACCATAGTTGGGCCGATGGAGAAGTGAAAAGCTCTCTTCATCAGTTTCATCTGTGATATGTGGAAAATTGGCCTGACTTAATGTTTCTTCTCACACTGAAGTCCTAGAAGCTACCACCATTTTCATGTTATAGGTAGCATCTTGAGCACAGTCAATTGCAGCTTTTGTCAGGAAAGAAGAGAAACATCAAGTGATGTTCTCAGTACTGCGTTTTTTTCTTTGTTCAGGAGAATGAAGTTTCTAGATTAGAAGACATAATGCAGCATTTAAAATCTGAGAAACGGGAACCGTGCATGAGAGCATCTAAGCGGCACTCGGAGAAAGAACTGGAAGAACTGCACCGTAATATTGATGGTCTTTTGCAAGAGAAGAAAGACTTAGAGTATGAAGTAGAAGAATTACATAGTACCATCCAGCAACAACAACAGCGAAAGTAATTATTAGCCATTTTATTTTTATGATTCTGATGACTGTGATATTGGCTCAGTAAGATAGCCTAAATCAGTGTTGTCCGGTAGAACTTTCTGTGATCGTGGAAATGCTGCAGATCTATGCTGTCTGGAACAGTGGTCACTAGCCACATGTGTCTATTGAGCTCTTGAAATGTGGCTAATGAAAGAGAGGAATAGAGTGGAATTTCAATTAAAGTAGTAGCCTCGAGGCAACTCCCAGGGGGTGCAGTGCAAGTCTGAGTTCTCTTGGCCAGTAATCCCAATCAGCTCTTCCTGTAGGCCCTCTTGGGGAATGGCACGGCCATCCACCCACCCAGAGTTTTACTCTGGCTAAAAACATGCCCGGTGTCCTCAGCTCCTCTTTCTGCACTTTCCCAAAGCTCCAGATGGTGTCCAGGTCCTACAAATATACACAAAGAGCTGTCAAGCTGGTCCCCTTCTTTAATCACTGCTGCCTTGGCCTTTAATCATGTCATCCTTGGTTGTTGTAATAGCTTCCACCTTGGCCTTCTGTGTCAAGCCTCTCCATTCTACCCTCGACGTAGCTAAGATCTGAGCATGCCACTCTCCCATGTGATGCAGTCCCAGCACAATGCACCCCACCCTCCAGATTTGAACCCTGCCTGTCTCTCTTACCCTTCTCTCGCACACACCCTGTCTGCTTTTCTGTGGGTTCCCCAGACACCACATCTTCTCCTGCCTCCCATATGTCCTTGCCTAAAATGCTTTCTCTACCTGCGCCTAACCCCACCCTGTCTTTCCAGGTGAAGGTCAGGGATTCCATCTCTCACACAAAGCTTTTCTCATCTCTGACTCCCGCAGTTTGGGGCTGGCGACGTTGAGTATAGTACTGTTGACGCCATGTTGTAAGGAGCCCAGGAGGGCAATGGCTGGGCTTCCCTTCTTGTGCCCTGGCATCTGGCACAGGGCCCGTTAACAGATGCGGTATCTGCTGAGTGCATCAGATCGGTGGAAGCCCATCTTCTGCGGTAGTCCAGGAGTTATGATTGTTCCCCAGTTTTCTGTCGTGTAAGCCAGAATGGCCCAGGCACCAAGGTTGGGGAGAGATCTGTGGAGGTCACAGAGGTGAGTGAGCTGTGATCTCTGCCTTCTAGGAGCTCACACGTGACTGACTAATAGACCTGGCAGGGAAAAGCAAGGGTCACACCAAGAGAAGATGGGGACTAGATGTTTGAAGGTTTCAAAGGTGATTATGCTGTCACTTGTGTAGGATGTGATAGGGAGAGGGTTTTTATTGTGAGGTTTTTTGAGGAAGGAAATAAGACAGTGGGATAACTACCCTTTTTCCTAGTTTTAAAAGTATAATAAATGATCATTTTACAGAATTTGGATAACACAAAAATGTCCAAAGAAGACAGTAAAGATCATCTGTATGCCTTCATTTAAAGAGAAAGAATTTGTTAATGTTGATGAATTCATTTGCATGTTTTTCTGTCATGGTTCCCATTTGCAAATAATTTTGACACGTTAGCCTTGAGTTAGTGAGTCCTGTGTCTTGCTTTCTGATTTGTCAAATACCGTCACTATAATTTTACTCTAGCAGAACAGAGTAAATCACAAAATTAGGTCGTCTTTGAGGCAGCTGATGAGCTGTGACTTGACAGACAGTTTGAAGGGAATGGATGACTATTATGATAATAGTTTTATTTTTATACCACAGAAGAATAGAAATATCGACATTGTCTTGACAAGTGCTGACCAAAATAAAGACAAATCAAAAAAGATGAGACAACTACATCATACTTTATACATATTGTGTACTTACTGTCAACAGTATACCATGGGGTTTTTTTTTTAAGATACTTATTTTAGAAAGATTGTGAATGCATGCAAGGGCAGGGGGAGGGGCAGAGGATGAGGGAGGATGAGGGAGAGAGAGACTCTCAAGGAGACTCCACGTTGAGTACGAAGCCCGACACGGGGCTTGATCTCACCACCCTGAGATCACAACCAGAGCCAAATCAAGTGTCTGACACTTACCCGACTGGGCCGCCCAGGCACCCCCCAACAGCATACCATGTTGAATGAAAGTGTGAACATAGGCCTTGAACATAATCAAATGCAGCTGTCTCTCCCACTGCTTCTCATATGAAATTAGAAAATCATCATACGTCTTCTTATCAGGCTACAAGGGTCTCTGTCGTCTGCATTTAAAGTGTCTTAATGTGTGGGCATATGATTTTTTAGAGACTTCATTGATGGAAATGTTGAAAGTCTTGTGAATGAACTGGAAACAGAGAAGTCACTCAAACACCATGAAGATATTGTCGATGAAATTGAGTGCCTCGAGAGGACCCTTCTGAAGCGCCGCGCAGAGCTCAGGGAAGCCGACCGGCTGCTGGCGGAGGCTGAAATGGAACTTTCGTGCACGAGAGAGAAAGTATGTTCTGTTGTGGTTTGGGGCGAGGCAGCTTACTGTTGGCCACATGAAGGACTAGGAAGAAAACAGACCAGAACACAGTTCCTCCGAGGCAGACGGCTGGGTTTCAGGCCGCGCTCTGCTAGTTAAAGCTGTGAGAGTTTGCGTCAGCCCCCTGAGTCCCCGGCTTCGCTCTCCTCATCTGCCAGGCCAAGAATACCAAAGCTGTTCAGTAAGGGTTAAATGAAGTAGCATGTTTTTTAAAAGATTTTATTTATTTTAGAGCGAGGGGGAGAGAGGAAGCAAGAGTGTTGGGGGGGCAATAGCGAGCGGGAGAAAGAAGCAGATTCCCCACTGAGCAGGGAGCCAGATGTGGGGCTTGATCCCAGGATCCTGGGGTTGTGACTTCAGCCAAAGGCAGCTTAACTGACTGAGCCACCCAGGCACCCCTAAATGAAGTAGCATATTGAAAGCTGCTAAAGTCATTGAGTTCCTAACACACCCTACTTCCTTATCCTGTGTGTGTCTTTTAAAATTGTTTGGGCTCTGCTAGCTCTGTGTATTAAATAGGTCAGTCTTATATTCTAAAATAGCAGTGTTACCTCAGAAGACTTCTTCCTACTATTACTTTGTTCTCCAAGTGGACGTTACAGAGTCAAGTATTTTTTGGTCTGAGGTAGTGTTCTTGAGACTACAACACAGAGGGAAATCAAGGAGGGAAAGGAGCTCCCTGTCACTGGGGCTCTGTCCCGGCCACACACTGGCTGTTTAATGAATACCGCTTCCTTTAACTTTCCTGGCATCCTGCAAGGTGGTGGTTAGCTCAGTTCAGCGAGGCGGCACAGGGAGGCTGGTAGCCAGCCCAGGGGCACACAGCTGAAGTTCTGCTTCACCAAGAGACCTTTCTTAGTCTGAGGAGAATTCCAGAGTGTAGAAGTCCCAGACCCACATGGAACATTTCAGGAACTACCATTTGTATGTTGTTATTTCAACATGGACAGATTTAAATGAATAGAAATCTAATACCTGGGAACTGTAATGAAGGATTTATTAAAGAAATTCTGTGAGTGATGGCTTTAATAAGAATGGAAAAACATCCTGGTGTCTTTTCAGATGATCAGTTCCTTCTTCTGTCACATGTTACATGATCGTGAGAGAACATGGTTGTGAGCAGGACTAGAGAAGAATTTACCACTGGTATATAAAAGAATGTTAAAGTATTGGTAGCTGGCAGGTAGTAAGTGAACCGAGGCTGGTGAGCTCTTTCCCCTTCAGCCTCCCAAAATGACTCAGGGAGGCAGCTTCTTAAGGGGGAGGAGGGTGGGAGAAGGTGATGTGTTTTGTAAAGATGCCAAGTGTGTTAAAACTTAACCTAGAAACAGACCAAAAACTACTTAGAAATGTGACTTTCTGGAGCATGTAGTGCATTTTGTCCAGTGCTTTGCTGATGAAACTGATAGGAACAGCTCTGACGTGGAAGGAAGGACAGTGAAATATCTAGCTGTTATGAATGGGGAAAGATGTGCTGTCTGATACAATGGACTATTACTCAGCCATCAAAAATGAGGTCTTTTAACCATTTGCAATGACGTGGTTAGAACTAGAGGGTATTACCCTAAGTGAAATAAGTCAGTCAGAAAAAGACAAGTATCAGATGATTTTACTCATGTGGAATTTAAGAAACAAAACAGGTGAACAAAGGCAAAGGGGGTAAAAATCAAGTAAGATGAAATCAAAGAGGGAGACAAACTACAAGAGACTCTTAGCTCTAGGAAACAAACTGAGGGTTGCTGGAAGGGAGAGGGGGACAGGGATGGGGAAACTGGGTGATGGGCATTAAGGAGGGCAGTGATGTGATGAGCAGGGGGCTGTGTGCAACTGATGAGACTAATAGTGCACTATATGTTAATTGGTTTTAAATGAAAAAAATATATATATCTAGCTGTTTATTTAGGAGCTTGCCAACCCTTTTCATCCACACGGGATATTTAGTAGACTAGTTTAACATACGCCTATGAGTTTAATGCAACTGCAGAACTGGAGCTTTCTGCCTGAAGGTGAGTCACTGCTCAACCAAGTGCAAACCAAATACTATTTTTGGACCTTTGGTGACATTGTTTTAAGCCTCTTATTTTAGACAGAAAAAGGAAACCAAGTTGATTTTTTAAAAAAAAAATCTGTTTTTGCCAAATCTTGTATAGGAAGATCTTTAAATACTTCAATAAAAATATTTAGTATTTGTGTTTCTCAGCCATAATTATATTATCTTTAAGTCAGTGAGGTTTTATTTAGCATAATACAGTACAGCAATAATCTCTAAGAGGAGGGAATATTGATAAAATCAGTTTGTTGTCACTTAATTGGGAAATATTTTTAAGTAAAAAAATAGCCTAATAATAATCAGGTTATTATTTTTTTTAAGATTTTTATTTATTTGTCAAAGAGAGAGAGTGAGCACAAGCAGGGGGAGAACGGCAGACAGAGAGAGAAGCAGACTCCCCACCGAGCAGGGCTCAATCCCAGGACCCTGGGATCATGACCTGAGCCAATGGCAGACACTCAACCAATTGAGCCACCCAGGCATCCCTATACAGATTATTTTTAAGTAAAAGGATTCATAGCCTCCCTACCCTCAAGGGACTGTTTCTCTTTTGGGTAGCCCTTTTGTCTTTGTGGGCACAGATATAATTTTACATAGCTGCTCTTAGAGTAGTGTACCTTTTAAAAAAATTTTTTTCAGCCAACATAATAATATCAACATTTGTTGCTATGTTGTCATTTTAAAGGCTACACAGTACTCTGTTGTGTTGATGTGTTGTCATTTACTAAATCTATTATTTGTCAGGTCATATACCAATCTACAGTGAGTATTTTTGTGCAGTAGTTTTGACTCCTGAATTCTTAGAATTGGAGAAGCGTGAATGAACATCTTTACCAGTCTTTTTGTCTTGCCTTGTTTTCTGAAAGAGTCGTACCAGTTTATACCACAATAGCTGTGAGAGATTATGGTGACTGAATTGCTTTCAATGACCGTCTTTTTTAGACAAAAAATGCCGTTGAGAAATTCGCCGATGCCAAGAAAAATTTATTGCAAACTGAGAAAGATGCTGAGGAGTTAGAAAAGAGAGCCCAGGAAACCGCTGTTAACCTTGTCAAAGCCGACCAGCAGCTCAGGTAGGTGGGGTCCCTCAGCTGTTCAGCGAGATGAGAAGTTTGGTTCTGACAGGCTAATAATCGCCTTATGGTAACTGCGGCTGGTTAAGTCTAAGGGGCCTTGGAGAATAAGGCAGTGTGTTTTAGGTTGCTCCAGGCTGACACAAAGGATTTGGAGCAGCACAAAATGGAGCAGGAGGAAATCTTGAAAGAAATAAATGAAGTTGTAGCAGCAAAAGATTCAGACTTCCAGTGTCTCAACAAGAAGAAGGAGGTCCTGACGGGAGAGTAAGTACAGCCCCTGTTGGGCACACGGGGCTTGAGCCGGAAGACGGTGCTGGGGGTCCAGCCTCCCTTCGGCGCCGCTCTAGTGCTGCTGCCGGTGTTTGCAGGCTGCAGAAGCTGCAGAAGGACATCGAGACCGCGCAGCACAGTGAGGATCACCACCTGCAGGTCCTTCAAGAGTCCGAGAGCCTCCTGCAGGCCAAGAAGGCTGAGCTGGAAAAGCTGAGGAGGCAGGTAGGGAAACAGATGCCTTGAAAAACCAGCTCACGCTGCTTTGAAACCTACATCATAATGTATGATTATAAAAAGTAATGCATGTTCGATTGTAGAAAAGACTGGAAAATACAAAAGAAGACTTAAAGCACAAATGAGGCTGTATCTCCTAGTGATTAAGAGTAGAGTCCAGGGGCGCCTGGGTGGCTCAGTGGGTTAAGCCTCTGCCTTCGGTTCAGGTCATGATCTCAGGGTCCTGGGATGGAGCCCCGCATTGGGCTCTCTGCTCAGCGGGGAGCCTGCTTCCCCCTCTCTCTGTGCCCGCCTCTCTGCCTGCTTGTGATCTCTGTCTTTCAAATAAATAAATAAAATCTTTAAAAAAAAAAGAGTAGAGTCCAGTCCACATTTGGATCCCAAATCAATAGAATGCATTATTGAGTGAAGGAAGCAAGCCCCAAAACAGGATGCACCCTGAGATCACTTATGCTAAATGTGCTTATGAACGCTTGTGCTTGTATTTTTAGTCTATATCAAAGTACAAATCAGTCATCTGATAAGGAGGCATTATGAATATCTTCTGTTTCTTTCACATGTCTGCATTTTCTGCTTTTTATATAAATACGTGTGTACTATCCTTACAATTGTAAATGATTTTTCTTAATTTACAAAATGAGTTTTTAAAATCCCTGCCTGACTTCCATTGCCAAGGTAGTTGTTAATGGAATAAGGTATAGACACGTAAGTGTTTTGAAAACCATAAGCTGAGGGATAATCATTATTATTATATTGTTATTTTTGCTGTGCTTTGAGTGCTTTTATGTAGGTGAGCTCAGGATCTTTATCAGGCATTTTGTGCATGCACCCCTGGCCTGGCCCTCCTGACTCATGTAGCTGGGATAATTACAATTAGACTAGTTCCTAATTTCCCCTACAACCGTTAGCTGGACTGGATATTCCCCCATCATAGCAAGCACTGAAGGTTGCATGGCCTTTGACAAGCTTTGCATTCTTCCCTTTTCTTTAATGCAGGTGTCGGGTCAGCAGCAGGAGATGGCCATCTTGGAGAGGCAGGTGGGGCATAAAAAGGAAGAGCTGCATCTCCTCCAGGATAGCCTGGTCCAGGCCAAAGCTGACCTCCAGGAAGCTCTGAGACTGGGAGAAACCGAAGTAACTGAGAAGTGCAATCACATTCGGGTGTGTTTTTCACTAGGTTTTCTTAAGAGTCCTAGGATGATGTTGGAGATTTATTCTGAGATATTTTCATTGGTTTCCCCTCCAAATGCAAATATAAATTCCTGAATCCTGACCCTTCTGTAGCATCAGTTAGATGTGGTGTTACGTATCTGGGCTCTGGCTGTGTGGGTAGCTCCCTCTGCCACTGTGCCTTTTCTCATACCATTTCTTCTCCAGGAATTTTCTTTTTGTGAATGTCCAGATCCTACCCATTTTTCATGGTTCAGCTTGATATGCCTCTAAGAAGACTTCCCTGACTTTTCCTTTACCTTGGAAGGAGTTTCTCTGTCTCCTGAGTTTGGGGGCACTCTGCACATTTCCTAGTGCATCTTAGCCTTTCAGGATCGTGTTTGTACTCCTTGCCTAAATCTCCTCAAGGTGTTCAGACTCCTGAGGGCAGGAGACATACCAGAGTCAGCCTTTTCTTTCTATGACAAATTGCCTTACACAGAGTAAATACTACTTATGCATTTTAAATGAAGGTAATGTGTGATTTTCTTACTATTATACAGAAATATGTTGGTGTAAAATAGAATACAGTGCTCTTCTTGACATAAAAGGCGAAACTGAACTTGTTTCCAGATTAGAATTTTTGTGAAATGAGATAGTTAATAAAAAAATTGATTTCAGTATAATTTCTATTCATAATTTTGTAAAGCAGAGTTGACTTTTTTTTTTTTTTTTTTGACACAGGAAGTAAAATCTCTTCTGGAAGAACTCAGTTTTCAGAAAGGAGAACTGAATATCCAGATTAGTGAAAAAAAAACTCAACTTGCATTCATAAAGCAGGAAATTGAAAAAGAGGAAGAAAATCTTCAGGTAGTTTTAGGACAAATGTCTAAACATAAAACTGGTAAGTTTAAAGGAAAGCAATCATATAAAGTTGGAGTTTGGAAATATCTCTATTCGAGATCATAGAAAAAATACAAATGGTGGAATAAACTTCTTTTAAAGTTCAGCTTTGTTATAGATGAGCAAAGAAAAGCAGTATTGTAAAAGGAATACAGTATTTTCTGCCATTCAAAAGTTTACTGATAAAGTTTATTTAAGAGCATAGTAGTCATTATAATTACTGACCAGGGTGTGGAGAAGGAAGAACATATCTCTATTTGATAGAGAAAACTGGACCAATCCCCCAGTGTTTCAAACTTGAAAATTCATGCCTATTGAACCGTTTAGCCCATTTCTAGTTACTGAGAGAAAGGAAGCATTTATATACCTTGCAGCAATATTGTATGTACTTGTTTCAATATACAATATTGAATACAAATACAATACAATATTGTATTTCCTTGTTTCATAAATTAAGCTGCCTGAGTTGGTTACTTGCAGCAAAATTTATACTGAAATTTGGAAATTTGGCCAATCTAAAAGCCACATTTTAAACATTTAATGGCATGCAAAAAATGCTGATGGGAAGACTGAAAGAATAGATAGAAAACTGAATATAGAGCATAATTCCAGTTTATTTGGAAGGTATGCGCATGTGTGTGCACACACTCCTGGGGAAGGAAATACATCAAATTGCTATTGCTGTAGTGATCATCTTTGGATGGTGGGATAATAATGGGTTTCGTTTGTTTCTTTTTTTTCTTGAAATTTTCCATAGTGAGCAAATATCTATATAATCAGAAAAGAGAGTTAATACTTGAAAATCTATATATTTTTTTGAAAATCTGTATTTTAAAAGATAAAAAATTGTTGGGGCGCCTGGGTGGCTCAGTGGGTTAAAGCCTCTGCCTTCAGCTCAGGTCATGATCCCAATTCTGGGATCGAGGCCCGCATCAGGCTCTCTGCTCAGCAGGGAGCCTGCTTCCCTTCCTCTCTCTCTCTGCCTGCCTCTCTGCCTACTTGTGATCTTTTTCTGTCAAATAAATAAATAAAATCTTAAAAAAAAAAGATAAAAAATTATTATTCAAATCTCAGCTTATGTATTTTAACATTTTACCCATTTATTTTGACTAAAATTCATTTAGATGAGGTCATTGCTCTTGAAACTAGAACTTTGTTAATGTTTTTGTTAAAATGTTTTTAACAAAATTTAACAAGTTAATGTTTAGCAATATTTAAAAGAATTTTTTTTTTTTTTCCATTCAAACAGTTAGCTCTAGGGTGCCTCAGTGGCTCAGTTGGATAAGCCTCTGACTTTGGCTCAGGTCATAGTCTCAGGGTCCTGAGATCAAGCTGTGCTTCTAGACTCCCTGCTCAATGAGGAGTCTGTTTCTCCCTCTGCTCCTACCCCCATTTGTGCACACGCCTCTCTCTCTCTCTCTCTTTTGCCTTCTCTCTTTCAGATAAATAAAATCTTCTAAAAAACACAATTAGCTCCATTAATTCAGCATAATATATATGTTTTGATGACCTATTGTTTCTTTTATCAACAGCATTATTTTCTGTTTCATTTTGTAAATGTTTTCAACTACATTTAATAGCACAGATCATGCTCTGTTTCTCTTAGAACTAAAGAATATTCTGGACATGTTGCACCTTGAAAACAATGAGCTGCAAGGTTTGAAGCTACAGCATGACCAAAAGGTGTCTGAGTTAGAGAAGACTCGGGTTGAAGTGCTAGAGGTAATAAACAAAGCCGTTTTACCCTTAGCCAATTGCAGTCTTTCTCTTTGAGCATGTGTGAGTCCGCTTTTATCTGTTTTAGGAGAGACTGGAGTTAGAGAATCTGCAACAGACAGCCCTGCGACAGAAAGGGGAGATAGAGTGGCAGAAGCAGCTCCTCGAGAGGGACAGGCAGGAAGTAGAGCGGATGACTGCTGAGACCCGAGCATTACAGTTGTGTATTGAGTCTCTGTGCAAAGAAAAGGAAGATCTCGAAGAAAAACAGGATAGCTGGGAAAAGAAGTTGGCACAGACTAAACGGTGAGAGCAAAACCCAATAAGTTTGCCAGATCCCTTCCTGAAGACTAAAGCATAATAAACACTATAAAAAGGGAATGGAAATGGAGAAAAGAAAAAAAAGTACTACACGAACTCAGTATCACAGTACAGCTCACCAACAGAATTTCTGGGTAGATTTCCTTTTAGGCTTTTCTTTTTCCAAAGCACATTTTAAAATAACCTGTTGTGGATTTTTTTAGGTAAAATAACAAATGCTAGAAGATGTAGTTGAGTGGAGAGATACCTGTTTGTGGGTGGAAAGGCAATATTGTTAAGATTCAGTTCTCCTCAAACCGATCTATAGATTCAGAACAATCCCAGTCAAAATCCCAACAGGCTTTCAAAATAGAAATTGACAATCAGGTTTTGAAATTCATGTGGAAATGCACAGGCTGGACGTGGAATAGGATCTAAACTTTTTAGCTATGACACCAAAACAACTGTGAAGAACAAAAGTTTAGGGCTAACACTGCCTGATTTCAAAACTCAGTATACAGCCATGGTGATCAAAACACTATGGTACTGGTGTAAAGACAGAAAAAGCAATCAGTGGAACAGAATAGAAAGTCCAAAAGTAAGTGCACAGATGTGTGGACAAATGGTTTTGACAAAGATGAAAAGGCATCTTTTTCAGTAGAGAAGAGACATTCGAAACCCCAAAAATGAACTTCAGCCCACATGCATATTCATAAAAATTACCTCAAAATGGACCATAAACATAAATGTGAAACCTAAGTATATAAAACTTCTAGGAGAAAACGTAGGAAAAAAACCTTAGTGACCTTGGGTTAGCAGAATTTCCTAGATAGGACACCCAAAGCATGGTCCATAAAAGAATAAATTGGTAAAATTGAACGTCATCAAAATCAAAACTACTCCTCAAGACACTGTCAAGATAATGAAAAGACATGTCACAGACTGGGAGAACAATCTTTGCAACCATGTATTTTCAATAAAGGGCTTGTACCCAGAGCATGTATATACAAAGAACTCTCATAACTCAATAATGAGAAAACAAACAATCCAGTTTTTCAAATGGGCAAAAGATTTGAGTAGACATTTCACTTAAGAAGATGAATGGATGGCAAATAAGTACATAAAAAGATGTTCCTCATTATTAACCATTAGGAAGATGCAAATTAAAACCACGATGAGATAACACTACATACCTATTAGAAAGGCTAAAATTAAAGACTGATCATACCAAATGACATGGAACTTTCATACACAATTGGTGGAAGTGTAAAAATGTTAGACCACTTTGGAGAATAATTTGGCAGTTACTGAAAAACTCTTACATATATTGGCCAGAAGAGCTACCATTCTACTCCTAGATATTTATTCATGAGAAGTGAAAGTGTATGTACATACAAAGAATGATGTACTTTAATGTTCATAGCAGCTTTATTTATAACAGCCTAAACCTGGAAACAACCTAAATGTCCATCAGCTGGTGAATGGCTAGACAGATGACTGTGTATCCATATCCTGGGGTACTATTCGGCAATAAGAAGGGAATGCAGGGGGCCGCCTGGGTGGCTCAGTTGGTTAAGCAACTGCCTTTGGCTCAGGTCATGATCCCGGAGTCCTGGGATCGAGTTCCACATCGGGCTCCCAGCTCCATGGGGAGTTTGCTTCTCCCTCTGACCTTCTCCCCTCTCATTCTTTCTTTCTCTCTCAAATAAATAAATAAAAATCTAAAAAAAAAAAAGAGAGAGAGAGAGAGAGAAGAAGGGAATGCAGTACTGACACACACAGCAACATGGGTGAACCTCACAGTGACTCTGCTCAGTGACAGAAGCCAGACAGACACCAGCCCACACTATAGGACTCTGGTCGTGTAAGAAAGCAGGCTCGTGTACATCTGTTTTTTGGACAAATCCTATTGCACAGTTGTGTTTCCTGCTTTCTCACTGCATCAGAATAGATGCAAATCAGCCATCTATTTTAATTGCCAGATTTGGGGAATTCTGAGTGTTGTCCATGTTGTTATTCTGGTTTTTATAAAACATCAGTTTAGTGAGTCACTTTTCCAAAAAATCTTGTTTAGAAAGCTGAAAATAAGATGTCTTTTGGAAATGAGTTGAAGAGTGTTAAGGTTTATAATCATTCATAGTCTATAACCATCCAGTGAAAGGATAACAATGTTCCTTGGCTGTGTCTTGTGCGTGGTTGGACGTTTTATGTTCGATAGTCTCACTTACTCTGCTTGTGCCGTAGGGTTTTAGCAGCTGCAGAAGACGATAGCAGAATGGAGCAGGCAAACTTAGAAAAGTTGGAGTTGGATGTCAGAAAGCTGCAGCAGGAGCTAGACCGACTTAACAGAGAGAAGCTCTCCCTGAATGAAGACCTGGGAGCAGTGCAGCAGCAGCTACAAGGTATGAAGCTGCCCCTCTGCGGTGGGTGGGGAGGGGAGGGTGTCCTTCCTTTGGTTAGGTTTTCTTTTCTTTTTTCTCCGAATATACAACCTTTTATTTTCTTCCAGATTTGGAGTTTAATTATACAAAGAGGAGAAGTCAGGTTTTGTAATCTGAAAATATTTCCTTACTAGAACTATATTAATACTTTTGCAAACTATGCAGAGAAGATAGGGACACACATATGTGCATTTATGGAGCTGCATGTCAGCCATGCCGGATCCCTGGGCGGGGAACTCTCAGCACACCCTCGCTCATCTGTGAGGACACAGAGCTGTCCTTGTTGAGGCGTACACAGTCAGTCCAGCATGGTCAGCCCTCTGCCATCAATGTGTCTGTTCAGTTGTCTGCTTCTTAGAGCAGACATTTACCTTCCTCATCCACCAGCTGTTGGGGGAGGACGAGGCCCATTCTTCTGGGAGGGTTTCCTGCTGGCCCTCTTCCATCAGCATATCTGGAATCAGAGGGGTTTCCATAGCCTCTTCTCTTTTTTACCTCTTGCTGAAGCAGTCTTGAAAAACAAAACCAGAACTCCGCTATTCCTCAGAAGGAATCTGTTACCAAAGATCATCTCCATGGGGACTGACCCTGGCTGTCCAACACTTGTCCATTCGAGATGGAAACCATCTTTGCCCCTTGGTCCCACCTCAAGGGTTCTTCTTTTGTTTCCTTTTCTTATTATAGAAATAATTCATGCTAATGGGCATGGGATTTATTTTAGAAGAGACAGAAATGTTCTAAAATTAGATTGTAGTGATGTTTGCATGACTCTGTGAATATACTTAAAGCCAGTGAATTGCACACTTTAAAATGGGTGAAATGCTTGGTATGTTAATTATATCTCAGTAATGCTGTTTAAAAAAAAAATAGTTCATATTCCTTAAAGAACAATTTAAAAACAAGCAAAAAGATGAAATAAAAACGACTATTGACCTCACCCCTCAGAGGTAATTCCTATTAACAGTGTGGTGAATATCCTTCCAGATTTTTCCTTGGGGTGTGTGTGTGTGTGTGTGTGTGTGTGTGTGTGTGTGTGTGTGTGTGTATTAAAACAAAAAAGAAAGATGCAGATAATACCTTTATTATCAAAACTTTGTTAAACATCCATGATTAGAAATTACAAAATAAGTCTAGCTAACAATGTACTTGTACTTGTTAAGCACTTACTGTGTTTCAGACATGATTCAAGTGTTTTATATGCATTTCATTTAATCCTTGTAACATTTTTATGATAGAAACTCTTTCACCCATTTACAGATGAGAAAATGTAAGCTTAGTTTTCTGTGATTTCCTCAAGGTCATAGAGCTAGCAAGTGACAAAGCCAGCACACATATAAAATCTATTCCCAAATTATCTCCCTTTAAGATTGTACCAAATTTACATTTCTCCCAGCAATGTAGAAGGTATTCATTTTTAAACCATGCACGTTGTCAACACTAGGTATTAACTATACATTTTTTTATTATGAGGTTTTGAACATGTAAATCTAAAAAAACCTGAGCTCCAAGCCCAGATATAGGTTGTGCGTATTAACTCATTCTTTTGACCTTTTGATAAGTAAATGCATAGCCATACACTTAACAGAAATGAGTTTATATTCACTTCCACTCTACTTTTTTGGGGGCTGATGGGAATTGGGGAAATGCATACAAGTATATTTATATTATGTAAATGTTATTACTGTAGAAAAACGAGAAGCAGTAAACTCACTACAGAAGGAACTAGCGGATGTCCAAGACCATTTGAACCTAGCAAAACAGGTAAGTTTAACAAATGTAATCTTCTAGTAGTATTCTGAAGGTATGCAGACAATTGGTTAAAATAAAAGACAAATCAAGTAAGTTGGTTCCTTTTCATACCAGCAGGTCCCATAGGGCCATTTTTAAGACACAAACATATATACACAAAACTTTTGGTGCAGAGCAGTGATTTTCTCATTTATTTTCAAAGTTTTACTCAAAGATAATAAGGAAGATGGTGGCTAGACCAGAGCCTAAAACCCTCAGCCAGCCCCTTTGGGGGCTTCAGGCACCAGATGGACCATCTCTTACTCATGGCACAGATAAGGCCTGCACAGCCTGGCTCAGATTTGGTTACTCTGAGCAGCAGGGTAACTGCCAATTTCAGAGTACCTGGGCCTCCATCTTGTCAGATGTTCAGTAAAGCTGATTCTTAACCCTTCTACGTTGGATAGTCTTAAAGATAATTGTTATCCTATGAGAATAGAGCAAGAGTTTCGGTTTCAGAGAACCTCAAGCAAGTTCTGGGCCTCAGTTTCCACTATGTAAACTAGGGGTTGGATTGGACATCTGATTTCTTCCGTCTTTAGTAATCTGTTTCTAAGATGTATAAAACTTGAAGTATTCCATCTTTAAAAAATTCTTACACAGTAGCCTCTGAGTATTTTCTGTGTTGTTAAAAATACAAGAATTTTCTAAAAAAAAAAAAAAATACAATAAATTTCTCAAAAAAATTTAATTTGGATTCGTTGCATAAATAAGAAATTATTTTCTGAGCTTTTCAACCCACATAAATATTTCAAATAGTAACAAAACCATGACTTTAGGTTCATTTTCAATGAGAATTAAGCTTAGTCACAGCTCTCCTTAATCTTCTTAGCAATCTTGTGAGGTGGGTGTTGTTTATTCTGACCTCAGTGATGAAGCAGCTAAAGTTCAGAAGAACTGGGTCTCTTAGGTTGTTACATCTTCTGTCATCTTCTTAGACACTAAAAAGAGGAAAGCTGATGATTAAATTGCGTCCTGGGTGCCTTAAATAAGTTTGTTGAGAGAATAAATGATGTGGGACTTTCATGTTTATTTTGTCAGACTTGCTGGATCTCAGGAGGGGCACTCGCCAGCCCTAGGGCAGGTGGCTTTGTTAGTAGTTTCCATTTGTTCTTTCACATAAAGGACGTGCTTCACACCACCCAGCGTAAGGACTCATTGCTCAGTGAACAGACCAGGCTCGAGAAGGATATCGGTGAATGGATGAAGAAGACTGAAGAATGCCGGAAAGAAGGGGAGACAAAGCAGCAACAGCTTCAAGAGCTTCGGAACAAGATTGAAGAAAACAAGGCTAAGCTAGCCCAGCAAGAAATGGTACTACACATTTATGATTTTACAGAAAAAACACTTTGTCACTTGGGTGAGCTTTTCCCGGCTGAAGCTGTGAAGGATCGCCCATAGGACTAGTTCCCTTTAACCGCCCTGTGTAACCAGGAGGATTTTACACCAGCGTTTTGCTCTCTCTGTATTAATATTTGGACCATTAAGACCACAGAATACGAGTCCTGTAAAGAATCTTGCTGGGGGCACCTGGGTGGCTCAGTGGGTTGAGGCCTCTGCCTTCAGCTCGGCTCGTGGTCCCGGGGTCCTGGGATCGAGCCCCGCATCGGGCTCTCTGCTCGGCGGGGAGCCTGCTTCCTCCTCTCTCTGTGCCTACTTGTGATTTCTGTCTGTCAAATAAATAAATAAAATCTTAAAAAAAAAAAAAAAAAAAGAATCTTGCTGGCCCCATGCCACTGGCTGTGTGAATCCTTTCCTCGCGTGGTGGCCAATAGTTTTCCAGTCCCAGCACGATCACCTCTATAAAGGGAACTCACTGTCTCTCACTGGCTGTTTCCTACTTTCTCTGGAGCTGGAACCTGGCTAGTGTCTGTGAAGGTTCCCTCATCTGGGATCAGTGTATTTGTTATATTATGACTTTTTGTTCTCTATTAAGATGTTTCAGAGACTCCAGAAAGAGCGAGAATGTGAAGAAAAAAGGTTAGAAGCCAGTAAAGTGGCTCTGAAGGAGCAGCAGCAGCAGCTGGAAAGGGAGTTGGGCGAGCAGAAAGGCAAGCTGGACCAGGTGCTCTCAAAGCTGCTCTTGGCTGAGGAGCGTGTGAGGACCTTGCAGGAAGAGGAGAGGAGCAGCGAGACCCTGGAGAAAACGCTCTCCCAGACCAGTATGTGTTCCCAAACATGGCGCTTTGGGAGGGGGGCGGCACTGACTGTCTGGTGTGTAGAGGAGACCCAGAGCCCGGCCATGGCCCAGAAGGGGTCAGGAGGTGCATAGTGGCAAGGAGATGCCCCGTTGGATCCTGCTAGCCCCAGGAGAGGTGACAACAGGCTCAGAGACACAGGGCATTTGTCTTTATGGAGATGGGAGTTGATCCTGAGACTGTGTGGTCTTTTTATTTGACCATACTGCCTACTTCAAGAATGGTGCCTCAAGGCAGAGAGATGTTAAGGCAAAGAAGTTCCAGAAGGCACTCTGAAGGCTTTCTATGAAGTACACTGTTTTGAGCTTTGGAAATGATGACCCATTTCATCTCACCAATCAAAAAACGATTATCAACAGTTCTCCTTGTGTCCAAATTTGTCGTAGTGAATGGTGCCAAAATACAGGTATTTGCTTTTGGGTCTGTTTGCGCTCTCTTGAGCCATGTATCAGTGACAATGACATGGAAATCCAGGATAAATGATCGTTCCCACAACAATAAGTGATTTTTTTCTTTCTTAGGCTTCAGGGTTTAACAATGGTCAGAAAATGTTCTCTGGTGAACTTGGTGAAAGGGTTATTACTCCTTCCTCCCCAACTCTCGATTACATCCAGACCAGCCACTTCTTTATTTTCTTTTTTCTTTTAAAGATTTTATTTATTTGAGAGAGAGACAGCACAAGCAGAAGGAGAAGCAGGCTCCCTGCTGAGCAGGTAGCCCCATACGGGACTCGACCCCAGGACTCTGGGATCATGACCTGAAGGCAGACGCTTAACCGAATGAGCCACCCAGGTGCCCTAGACCAGCCATTTCGTTGTGAAAATGAAACTTAACATATGTGCTGAGTCTGACCACACCTGACATATGAAAGTGAAATCTGGGCAGGGTGTTACTCCAAAGTGTGGGTAGAAAAATCTATTTTAACTGTCGTTGTTCTTTGTAAGCATTATTTATTGAGTACTTAATGTGCACTATGCATTTGCATATAAGATTCCCATGGAACACCAGGAAGTAGGCACCTCCTGTATAAAATAGGGCTCATGCCACTCCAGGTCCCGTGTTGTTTCCACCACGCTGCCTCCCATGAAGGGAAAGTATGTGTGCACTTCCTTTATTAAAACCCGGGTTTATAAGAAGCACTTCAGCCGTCTATTTCCATGTCTCCTGCCCCTCAGGATTGCTGTTTGTTCTCACTGGTCCCTGATAAAGGGTAGACAATAGCTGTCTGTCACTTTGGAATCCAACTCTCTAGGGCCCAGTTTTGTCAGGAGGCACCTTCGTTAGGGCATTTACCTGGGCCTCTAATGTGGGTCGGGGGGATTCGGAAGATCCAGTGATGCCTAAAGTGGGTGGCATGTCCCTACCTGCCCATAGCTAGACCAGGGCCTCCGGCTAAACTACTAAAAATGCTCATTTCAGAACGGCAGCTTTCAGAACGGGAACAGCAGTTACTGGAAAAGTCAAGTGAGCTGCAAGCTCTCCAGAAAGAGACAGACTCTATGAGGGCAGACTTCAGCCTCTTACGGAACCAGTTCTTGACAGAAAGAAAGAAAGCCGAGAAGCAGGTTGCCAGCCTGAAGGAAGCTCTGAAGATCCAGCGGAGTCAGCTGGAGAAGAACCTTCTGGTGAGTACCCACTGCCCTGGCAGCTCATGAGGAAGCACCACATTTACATTTTTAGACTAAAACGCTGCTTCAGTGTGGAGAAAACAAACTACCTGGCAGCCCAGTTCCTAACTCAGCTGTTTTTTGTGTATTGATGTACAGTGTGATCTTGAAGCTGATAGTGGGCTGTAGCCCTCAAGGAGCCGAACAGACAGTGTCAACTCTCAGCAAGGAGCCTCTGCTCACGCCTCCACTGACAGGGGCGGCAGCAATCTGGGGGGGGGAAAGGCTTAACATGTTTGCCCATCTGCAGTCACTGCTCACAGATTTTTCTCGTCCTGCCCTTTTTAGTCAGATTAGCTTTAATTTTCCTAAAACCAAGGAGCTCAGTCTGCCATGCTTTTATCCCTGAAATCTATTTAGGATAAAATTTGGGGAGGTGAGGGGCGTCCAAATGGCTCAGTCGTTAGGGGGCTGCCTTCAGCTCAGGTCATGATCCCAGGGTTCTGGGACTGAGCCCGGCACTGAGCTCCCTACTTGGCGGGAGGCCTGCTTCTCCCTCTCCCACTCCCCCCTGCTTGTGTTCCCTCTCTCACTGTTTTTCTCTGTCAAATAAATAAAAGTCTTTTTTAAAAAATGGGGGGGGGGGGAGGGGTACTCTAAGTCCACAGTGGTCTATTTTGGGTGGAGGCAGATGGGCCATGGTAGAGTCTGTCACAGGAATGGATTTTCTAACACCCTCTGGAGGAGCTGATGGATGTGAATGGGTGTGTGTTTCCCAGAGGGTGGGAAATGGGTGTCTCCCAGAGGGTGACACGCTTACCACTAGTGATCAGCAGCATGACTGTAAAGATAACATGGAGGTGTCTAGGTTTTCATCCTCCGGGTAACTCTGTGAGGATGGCTGTTGTTCCTGTTGCAGTAATGGAGGCTCAGGAAAGGAAAGGAACATATTATCAAAGGTAATGTTGCAGAGCTAGGATTCAGACTTTGGGCTAACAGACTCTGACCACCTATGTACTATAGCTCTACCACAGCCTCTAAAGGCCGGTAGTGTTATCCCCACGTTACAGCTAGAACCCCAATGGGAAATGGAGTTACAGAGCTAGTGAGTGTGTAAGCCAGCAGCGCACAGCTCCATGTGCCAGAGCCCAGCCTTGTCCTTCCTCCTGCACTAGGAGCAAAAGCAGGAGAACAGCTGCATGCAGAAGGAGATGGCGACAATTGAACAGGTGGCCCAGGACAACCACGAGCGGGCCAGACGCCTGATGAAGGAGCTCAACCAGATGCAACATGAGTACATGGAGCTCAAGAAACAGGTGTGTGCTCAGGAGCCCCTGCTGGCCGCCCGGAGCAGAGAAGGCCTGGTAGACATGCTCACTCCCCACTGGTCACAGTTTTTGTTTCTTAAGTAGCTCTTTTAATAGGAGTATTTCCTTTTGGAAATTATGAAAGCTGATTATAAGAATGTCCTTTAAATCAAATCTGTTTTTCTAGTCTTATAATTTAGAAATGCACCTCTATAAGAGAAAAGCATTTGTTCAAAATGTACTTTTAAAATCCCCTTTAAGTTCAGCATCTTATGTTTTTGAAAGAAAAATAGCAGTTCTTCAGCATGAAATTTTATCATGTTCCAAAGAGCTGTGCTGAAATGTTAGATTTTATGCCAGAAACAAGTCTAGAAGACCCAAATGCCTGGGAAGGAAGAAATGACCCCAGCAGAAGCCTCTGATACCCTGTGGTGTAACCAGGCTCAGAGCAGTTCACACTTAGACTGGGAGAGTCTAATCCTACGTGGAAAGTTCCATAAGTACATGACACATCAAGCAGCTCAATTCCAAGTAGGTCCCAGACGTTACCCACTCGTATCTGACTCTCACTCTTCAGATGACAACCCAAAAAGATGTGGAGAGAAGACAGATGGAAATCAGTGACGCAATGCGAACACTTAAATCTGAGGTGAAAGATGAAATCAGAACAAGCCTGAGGAATCTCAACCAGTTTCTCCCAGAACTACCAGCAGATCTGGAGGCTATTTTGGAAAGGAATGAAAACCTAGAAGGAGGGTTAGAAAGCTTGAAAGAGAACTTCCCGTTCACTGTGAGTGAGAGACCATCACCTTTTGAAGAAAAATTGAATTTTTCCCAGACTCACATAATGGTAAGTATATATCCTGCTGCTCTCTGGGCTTTGTTAGAAGATAGTTTGTTCCCACCTCCCCCCAGATAAGCTGAAAAATACATGCGGAACTTGGGGAAGGCGGGAGGAGGGAAAGGCTAGCAACGTCTGGGGACTCTGATGTTTCCCTCTCCCTCCGAAAAAGGATGAACACTGGCGTGGAGAAGCACTCCGAGAGAGACTGCGTCACCGCGAAGATCGACTCAAGGTTGCCTGTTAAAACAGTACAGTATGAGATGGTTGGCATGTTGAGGACAGTGGGCAATTGCTTATCACCACATACTGCTGCCATTCCCTCTGTTACGGCATGAGCAGCTTTCTAGATTACGTGGCAGAAGCTTAGAGAAGTTGGCATCACACAGTAAGTGGTAGGGGTTAGCATTCAAACCATGAATTGTGGAGTTAAGCCCAGTGTTCTGGGTAATGCTTCTTTGCCTCAGCTAAAACTGACAGAACCTAAGGACCTGGGACAGAAAACAGAGATACAGTGATAAGAGGCTCATAGACCAGTGGTTGGGGGAAAGATAGGCTTTGGGTGTCAGACAGAAAGTTGTTTGGCTCAGAACATGTGGAGTCTGGAGGCCTGTGAGACATCCAGGGCCGATCTCTCCATAGGCAGCTTTCAGAGAGTCTAGGATTTAGCGATCAGCATTGACCTAAAGATTTGGGGGTTAAGAGTACAGGTGGGAGTTGGAAAAATGAGAAGATAGAATGAGAGGGCAGAATGTGTTTGGAGAAAGGCTCCATACACAGCATGAACCAGGAGGGAGCCATGCACTGTGTTCAGGGAGTGGAGGTCCTTGACGTCCAAAAGCCTCCAGCCACATGTGGCTACTTAAATGTAAATGAATTGTTAGGTTAAAAATCCTTCAGTTGCCACAGTTTTAGTGACTTGATAGCCACACGTGGCTGCTATATTAGACAGCACAGATACAGAACATTCTCATCATCATAGAAAGTTCTGTTGGACAGAACTGCTGTAGACTTGGAGAGAATCCTTTGAAAGAAACAGCAGGGGGGCAAGCCAGAAAGTAGCATGGGGTTGAAGACTGAATGCACTGTGAGAGGCACTGAAGATACCAGTCTTCTGCTAAGTCTGGGCAGGAAAGGGAGAGAAGGAATCATAATTTAATGGGGAGGCCAGGGATGCAGAAATCCGAAGTATTGTTGTAAGGGAGAGAACTGAGCAGAAGGCCCAGTTAATGACAGCACAGCATGGTACAAGTTCTACGCACAGAGAGAAGCCACCAGCACCTTCTACATTTATATATATATTTTTTTAGGACAAAGGCATTTTCAGTAGCCATTCCTACTTTATGATAATCAGATCGGCCCATCAAGTGTTAAGCATGAGGAAGCTGTGGAGTACATTTCTTCTGGGTAAAACCCTAAATTTTACCATAATGCTTTCAGGCCCAGCTCCGACACTGTATGTCCAAGCAAGCAGAAGTGTTAATTAAGGGGAAGCGGCAGACAGAGGGCACATTACACAGCTTGAGAAGACAAGTGGATGCTTTAGGGGAATTGGTCACCAGCACTTCTAGAGACTCCACGTCATCACTTGGTCTGTCTCAGTTGGAATCTTCCCTGGCCGAGGACTCTCAACCTGGACCAAGTCAGGTAAGAGTATGTGCTGTTGTAAACATGAGAAGTCCCTGAAAGCTTTGGGGTCCCTAATCTATATAGTGGAGACTCAGAAGGCCACAGGTGCCACCTTCAGGTCTCTGGAAAACTTGTCTTAAGACAGATTTGCTTTCAAATACTGGTCCCTAGGAAAATTGAAATGGGTTGGTTGGTAGACCTAGGAGGAGGACAAGGTGATGGCTTAGGGAATGGCCTGAAATTGGAGGCTGGATGAGCCGTCAGGGATATAGGGAAATTCTCCTGATGATCTCCATTGCTGGATTTCCTTGTTCTCTACTCCATCCGTAGAGCATTTAGGCTGTGCGGCTGGCATAAGTCCTAGATTAGTCTGTCCATCTCCCTGCATCTCAGGAAAGGATGCCTGGCTGTGCCTTCTATTTCTCCTCAGCAAAAGTTTGAACTCGGACCTCTTAGTACAGGGTCTCTACAACCCCTAAAGTTCACAGAGCCTTTCTGTGTGAGACCCTGAGAAGGTTAACGTTTAGGAGGAGCATGAAATAGACTCATGGAATCAGTCAGTAGTGACCCAGAGATAGATAATAGTTACCATTTTTGAGTGTCTGTGTGTACTAATAAGCACTTTACATATGGTAGTCTTTGTATCCTAGGAGGTAGAAGTATGCCTTTACTAGATGAAGAAATTGTGTAAAATGAAAAATGTCACAGCAGAAGATGAAACCAGGACTTCGGGGCTCATCTGTCACTATCACAGAGCAGTATAGCATATAGCTGAGCCACAAGGAACATTGAGAAAGAGCTGCCTCTTGTGTAGGCACACAGCTCAGCAGCAGCAGAACCAAGATTTGAATGTGATTACCTTAAAACCTTCTATGGTGGGACCAAATCAGGCAAAGGCCAAAACTATCATGAACCTCAGGGCGGGTCTTAATAGTATCAGGAGGCACTGAGTATTGCAAAGAAGGTGGGTTTAGAGATGAGATAGCCCAGAGTCGTGGGAGATGAGGACCTGGGGATTTGGGTGCCAGGTTTAGTTATCAGCTTGGGGTGACAGCCCGAAGAGTTCAGGCACTCCGGATGCAGGAGAATAATGGTGGAGTTAGAGACGCAGCAGGTAGGGGGAGGACTGCTAGAATTCTTTTGGAGTCTGGGGTCATAATCCAGGTTTAAGAGATGAAAGCCTAAACTAGGTTGGAGTTAGGGGCTGGCCTCTGAGCTGTGTTTTCATCTCCCTTCTTTTCAGAGCTCCTTCCAAGTTCTACAAGGTCCGTCACAATTACTAGACAGTTACCGACACTGACGCCATCCCCAGCTTCCTGCTTGCAGGGTACATGTTACAGAGTTCTCTTAACTACCACTTTCAGTTGGAACATCCTGAATTCTAGCTTATCTTACAGTCCAGTAGATTTTTTACTTTTTTTTTTTAAGATTTATTTGACAGAGGTCACAAGTAGGCAGAGAGGCAGGCACAAGAGAGAGGAGGAAGCAGGCTCCCTGCTGAGCAGACAGCCTGATGCGGGGCTCCATCCCAGGACCCTGGGATCATGACCCAAGCAGAAGGCAGAGGCTTTAACTCACTGAGCCACCCAGGCGCCCCTTAATTTTACTCTTGAATAATTTTGTACAGTGGTTCATCTCAAAGTATTTTTCCAAAGAGATACTCAAATACGTATTTTACCTGTTAGCCATCATGAGCTGTCACTTAGTTCTGTTCATTGAAGACTTGTTTTTACTGTTCCAAGAAGGCATCCTCTTTGTGTTTCTGCAGGAAAAGAACTGCTCAGCCGGGTGAGGAAATCTCAGAGGAAATCCCTTCTCTACTACCTCACGGTGAACTGGAAGGCCGCTTGGTTTTGCTCCAGATGCGGGGAACTCCAACACTGCACTTCCACTGTAGCTTAGCTCACATGCTGTGAACGCTGGGGTTTCTGTAAATCACATGTACATATGCGAAGAGTTGTATACAGTTTAAACCTGGATGGCTGGGGGGTTTTTTTTTTTAGCTTTGAAATGTATTGCCGTAAAACCAGTGATTGTAATTGTAAATTTGAGGCTACAAACTGGTTAAAATCTATAGCTACAAAGAAAAAGAATGTACTCAAGCCCTTCATTTATAGTGTCAAATTTTATTTTTGGATTTTGCTTAAAATCTATTTTCATATGAAAATAAAAGATAAAATAGTCTGTCATCTGACTTTACATTTCATAGATCTACAGTAAAGCCATCCAACGTTTACCTTCGTTCCAAGAGAACAGCAATTTCCAAATGGCTCTCCATCTTTGGCCCAGAGATAGAAGTTTGTTGTACCTGTCAATGAACATACACCACATGGAAATATCGTTTATAAAACTACGATACCTGAGGTGCTTTTCCTCAACCAAAAATATTCTTTGATGGAAAATTAGCAGAATCTGACCCAGTGGTAAAATCAAATTGTGTTTGACTTTTAAATCTTTGAACTACTGTAATTAATGGCTCCGCTTCAAGATCTCCAAATACATTATTTCTCTAAAAACAATAGCAACTGTCGCAAAAGACCATGTGGCAGTAGACTTCTTCTCATGGCTAAGGGGAAGTATGAAACTACATGTTACAGGTTTTAAAATACTCCCAAGTCCTGTTTTCTAGGCCCGCAGACAGCTTATGAACCATAACCATACAGTATGGTGTGGTGCAATCATCCCTCTCTACCCAAGGAGGGTTATATTCCCAAGAATTTGGTCAGACCTGGACCATTAATTAAGATATGGGATAAACAGAATTACAATAAAGGCAATGGAAGTGGCATAAAATTTAACACACAGTTCTAGAAGTATCTACTTCCAAATAAAAATTGGATTTGGTGTGTATCTTTTGTATTTAACATTCTCTTATTTCATTTTCACAGGCCTTAGCAAAATGCTGAAAAGTCAGGCCTCTGCACAATTATTGAAATCCCTCAGGGACACTTTTTCCCATTCTGTCCATGTGCTGAGTGAGGGTAAAATATCTTCTTTCTAAACTGCCACATGAACCCTATTCCCCTGTGGACAGGAATGGAAGGTAATCATTTGATCTTCTGTGTAAGGGGGAGTGACCTGAACCACACATCTATATAGAAAGATCACACCTGAAACGGATATGTGAGCAAAAAAGTTCTCAAAACTATAGTCTGGAATTAGGGGAAGTAATTAATATGTGAAACCAAACACCTGGTTCCAAAAGACCTCTTTCCAAAGAAACTTTACTATATCTAGAATTATGTAAACATTACCACCAAAAAAAAGTTTTTTAATCAAGTTTACTGCATCGAACATTTTATTATCCATGAAACACTTGAACATTGCACTGGAATGTCTGAGCACCAATTTACTAATCAAGAGGGCCTCCACACAGGTGCAAGATTAACAAGTAACCCACAGAAGCAGGTGACCCCACATGTAGTAAACTCTCATTGATGAAAGATTAAAAGAACTTCACATTCTCTCCAAAGTGTACTTCCCAGTGTCTGGCACATGCATGTTACAATAGGACAATTTGCTGCTCTATTTTTGAGCACCCAAGTTTATTACAGGGGATTACACATGCAAACAACAGAATCTGGCCCCAAGTACAGTCAAGGGAGAACACTATCAGGCACCAAGTGTGCTGATCTCACACTGAAAAAGGCTGACTGAAAACACTGCAAGGGTGATCCAAATACAAGGACAAAACTAAGTCAATTACTGAGTGATGTGGAGTTATATGCTATATATGTAGACTTCTCTTTATACAGTAAGGACAATTCTCCCAATAAAAACTGGCAACTTCTGCCAAATAATTGTTTGCCTGAAAAAAATATGAAATCCTATTGTAGTTCAGAAAATAATGCAAACCATTTTAATTTAATCTAGATACAGGTACTTTATTTACAAATATTTAGATTAATAGCATTTTGTTACATCAAATGAAGAGTACAGCAGTCTGAATAAATCCTGTCACAAAAACAATTAAGACCCACTGTAACTAACTCGGGGAATCAGGGTATTGCACCTAAACAAGCCGCAGTCTTTAGTCTGTGATTGCTACCTTATATCCCAATGGGTGGGTGGTTTTTTTTGTAAATATATACACACACCAGCAGGTCATGGTCCCTGGGCGAGTCCCTTGTGAAGCAACAGGGTAAGCAAAATGGGCCACTGTAAGTCTTTAACAGAACGTACCAATCTACTCAAGGAATCTTGTTTTTTAAAAAGTTAAAGACAAAAATAAAGATGAGTCCACAAATTAACCAAATCCTGTTTTCTGCACATTCCAGTTTTGGCTTTTATTTAACATTGACTATACAATACTCCAGTACTACTACATGTTTACAACCCAGAAAGCCGTATTTTTTATTTTCACTTTAGTGTCTGTAAAGAGGGATTTAAAATGTGTATTTTAAACACAGCAGTTGAGCTGAGTGATTTTATAGAATATAGTAAGGTTTACCTATCCTACTTCAAATAGCTTCAATTCTCCATCTGGACCATAAACTGAATCAGAAATCAATCGAAAGAAGTAAAGAACTTGGTAAAACATAAGTCTGTTGTCTAAAGAGATTGTTTCCCTTGCAATACAGTATTCTTTCAGTGGCCAAACCACCTAGTGCAAAGTAATAACTTACTTTGTATCAGCACAAACACTGAAACACCAATAGAAACACTTTCCCTTTTACAAAACAACTTATGCCAACATGACATAAAATAGCCCCTCATACTAAGAACACAAGGGGTATCCTAAATTACTTCACTGTAGTGTTAAAAATGCACAATTTAAAATCCCTTAACAGCAGACCTGCGGTTCTGACTGTCCGGTACACAATCTCACCATTCCAAGATAAAGGTATAAAAGCTTAAAATGTGCAATAATAAACCCAGCCTTTTTTCTTTTTCTATACAGTAAGGCAAGAAATGCAGCCTGTAATGCAAAATGTTTACAAAGAGAAAAGCAGGTTAGCACATTGTCGATTGCACAAGAACAGTTAAGAAAATCAGCAGGTAAGCCACAGTGCAAAGATGGAACAGAATCTGCTAGTGTTAATCCTCTCACGCTACAGGAGCTCTTTCCAGCATAATGTCCCCAAATGCTGCCAGCACCAGAGGGTGGAGCCAGTATTACTTGTGAACTGCAGTTGTGTATTTCCTTGTGTGAAATGGAAGGGAGTAACATGGTCACATATAGGTCATACTGTACAAACTGGTATTTTATACTGTTCCAATGCCAGTAATCAATTTATTTTCTTCATTAAAATAATATACACAGAATGTATTGTTAGTTCGGTTCCTTCAAATTTTATACATATTTACTTTCTGCTAAAGAGAAAAGGATAAAATGGTGTAAAAAAAAAAAGATAAAGCTATTAATTAAGCACAAGAGAAAAGATAAATGGATATTTTCCCTGTGCAAGGCTAAGACAGAAGCAAACCTCCACGAGAAAAATGCCACCCACGCAACAGGAAATTTATCCAACGAAAACAAAAGCAGTTATAGAACCCATTCTTTATCAGAAGTCATTTCACAGCAATAAACTTATTGGTTACAACAGACATACTTGAACAGTTAAAGATGGGGAGAAAGGCTTAAGATATCCTCAAATTAAACCATACAGTAAGACAAAGCCTTGCCCAAAAAAAAAGGAAGGATAAAAATCATTTAAGTTCAGCATCAGTGCTCAGTTTAAATCATGTACTGGTGACATATCTATCACGAGGACAATCAAGGGGAAAAAAAAGTCTAGATTTACCATGCAGGAGAGATTTATTACTCTACTTGCCTTTTGATAACCTGATTACATCTAGTTGTTTAGCAGTTTAGTATTGTGTTAAACTGTTTTTACAACAGAGTTGTTTTTCCTTTTTTTTTTTTTTTTTTTTTTTTAATTAAACCCAGTAAGATGTACAGAAGACAATGAGGCAGTAAAAAGTACTGCTTCCAACAGACAGAGGTGAAAGGTCAAATGGGAGCTACGGCAAAGAGGTCACTAGCAGCCACAGCCTTCTCTCTGGGGTTGGGGTTCACTGGTTAGCCGGCCTCCCTGTGGGGCTGAAGGTTTGTGCTGGACACCAGACTCAGCAGCATTCAGATCCAGGCTTCCGTCCTGAATGTTCTGATAGATTTTCTTGGCAGCCTCAAGGAAGGCATCTTCTACATTCTCTCCCCTAAGAGGCAATTGGCAATTTTATTGGAGAATCACAGCTTTCTACAAAAGATAAGGCATTATACACTGACCTTTTGCTAACCTTTAGTCAACTGCCATGATGTCTTCAACTTAGCCACTGTCATCTAATAAAAGATTACCAAAAGACTGAGCTAAGAGGATAACATGGGGAAATAGTTTCTGTGGAAAGTATATAAACAAGATACTAACCGCTGTTTCTACAAACCCTATTTGGATAACTGAATGTGTTCTAATCATTAAAATGTCATATATTAATATATAAGGAAAAGTGAAGATAGGCCATTTTTGTAATAGCAAGAAGGTATTCCAAACAAGTGAGATTCCAGGATTTGTATGGTCTGATTAGCTAAGCATCAACTATACTTTTTAATTTTGTGATGGTGACATATTTGTGCTCGACCATGGTCTCACTTCAGTTCTCTTAGTGCTAACAATATGAAGCTAAACCAAAAGGGGCTAGCTTCTCACCACAGCAAGGAATTTCTGACTTAATAAATGAAGAATTCTGAAGTCCTGGGGTTCGATAATGGACATGGAATAACGATTAGAAAACATCAATTATGTTTCTGATTATTCTTAGACATTGTTTCCTTAAGCCATGCTTTGTAATCGAAAGTACTAAATGCACAGATTACCCAAGCTTGAGTCCAAGATGCCAAATTCAACCTCCATTGTGAAAGTCAAGCACTTTTGGAATGCTAACACAATTTCATTTATTAACCTGGTTTACCAGGGGAATAATCACAGTACAATCTTTTAGGTAAAGTAGCAAAAACAACTATCTTTGAAATGTGAAACAGGAAGCAAAGGGATGCCTGCTTAACTGTCTTCCCACAATAAACATCACACATACACATACTATTATATGTAAGCAAATATATTATACATTTTCGACATGTATGGTTCTACTTTGAGAAGTTTGAATGTAACTGAAAATGATTAATTTTAGTCATACTTACGTTTTTGCACTTGCTTCAAGGAACAATAAGCCTAAAAATTAAAATTCAGACTATAATTAAGACATTTCAAATGAACTCAAAAGGACATTTTCTCCAATAACATCTGAATTAGGGTTTCCCATCAGCTATAAGTACTCCTACCATAGTATTTTATGAAACAGTATGTTAGGTTTGAGATGAGGGGAGTCTTAACATTTGTCATTAAATACTTGCACTACCCCCAATATGAATATCAAACAGAATCATACTTTACTTCTTCATTCTTGAGATTTAAGCAGTTGGCATTAAAAGTGTCAAATAGTCTGCAGTATCAAAATGCCACCCCTCCCATGTGTGACCCCCAAAAGGACATTAAAAGTCTTAAACCCACCATTTTCTTCAGCAAACTGTTTGGCTTCTTCATATGTAACATCTCTTTGTGCCTCCAAATCTGCTTTATTTCCTATGAGAATTATTACCTAATTTGTGACCAAAAGAAAGACATCTTAAAACAAAAGCAACCATTTAAAATCAACCATGAAAATTCTGAAATCCAAAAATTTTTATAGGAAAAAACATATAGGCCTAAAAAGGAAACCAAGCACCAGCAATCATCTAGCACATAGAGAGGAGAATCACGAAATCAGTACTATTAGGAGGGAGGTCAGCAATTACCTAGGCCATGGGCTGACAAACTTTCTGTATAGGGCAAAGAGTATCTATTTCACGTCTGTGGAGCTCAAATGGTCTCTTTGCATATACTTCTTAACTTTTTCTTTTAAATAACCTTTTAAAAATGTAAAATCCATTCTTAGCTTGCAAGCCATTCAAAAACAATACAGCCCATGAGGAACACCTGGTCTAGGCCAAAGGTTATGATTTATCTGAGTAAGATTACTAAAAGGTCAATGCACAAGCTCCAGGAAATCTGTGAATACACTGAAATTAAGCACAGAATGCTATAAACAAGAACATTTCGCTGGAAGAAAAGGCTCATGGTTTTCATCTGATTTTTGAGAGTCTCTGGGACCCTCAAAAAGTTAAACTACCAGTTCAACTCCTTCAGGCTACTGGTAAGAAAATTAGTGATCAAATTAGGCAAAGGGACTTGTCAAAGGTCACTCAGGGAGTCAGTGGTTTAGAAGGACATTAGAACTAAGGGAGAAAACCCAAACTATGACCTTCAAACACTGTCTTTACACTAGCCCTAGAGAAGGACTAAGTTTGTAGCAACTGAAAACAAAGGTCTGTGTTCCATGGGGAACAGTGGTGGTGGGAGGAGGGGATGGGGGGACACACATGCAAACGAGTTCAAATCCAAGGCAAAATATCACACATACATACACCTACTTTGGAATCATTTATATAAGTGAAGTTAGGCCAAAGTTAAAGGCAGCTCTACAAAGTTCTAAGAAAAAAGTTTGCAGCCTTAGGGAAATAGAGCTTTTTGATCTTTATGGTGGTTTCTGGGGACTACAGGTGGGGCATTATGGATAAACTGTCTCTGTCTACATATAAGCTTATCTGATACCAATTGGTGATTCCCCCTCCTTTCCCTTCCCAACAGATGTGGTAATCCAGATGCTGATACTGTAGGAATGGATGGTTTAAACCAAAAGTGATTTCTAACATTAACTTTTTCTCATGTGGAACTGTAGCCCCTAACTCTCCTACTCCTTAAAAATGATGTCCAATGAGCTGAAGAACCATTGTAATCTGAATGTAAACCTTGAACAAGAACACTTAAGCAGTATAACAAACGTGAGCATTCTCCAATCAGTGAGGACGAAGGCCCAATGAGGAGGGAAAGGCATTTTCACATGAAGTCTGCTAGTCCTTTAAAGGATAAGGTAAGAACACATGAAAAATGGAATCAGTTTTGTTTTTTTAAATCGAGGCTGGTAAAATCACAATGGCCTAGTCCAGGGCCATTAGATGGCAGGTACTCAAAACAAATGTTTTGTATGTCAACTATACTTCAATAATAAATTCAAAAAAATAACACTGAACTGCACACTTTAAATGGGTAAATTATGTTAATTATCTCAATAAAGCAGTTTTTAAAAGATAATTTTAAAAATTTTTAGACATTTGCTGAATGGAAACACTGCCTTCTTTCCCAATTCCTTAAGAACTTCCAAGCTGTGCTTCCCGTCAGCCTGAAAGGAGACATAAAAGTGGCATGCTAACTAGACAGAGGTACAAAATACACCACCAACAAAATGGGAAAGTATGTAATTTCTACATAGAAACTGAAGGCAACGTTACAGAAATCGTAACATTCGAGCTGGACATTAAGGGATTTTCTTCTGTAGGGGAGCAAATTTTGCCATCCCAAAATATCCTCTTTGGAATATTTATCTTAAGAATATTTAAGAAACAGCAGACACAAGTAAAGCTCTGAAAACCCAGAAGTTATCCTTTAAGAGACCTTTACATCTGTAAGAAAAATCTCCATTTTTAAGGGTGTTTCCCTCTCAGTATGAGGAAGAGGGGTGGACTCAATCTCCAGAAACTTGTAACAACTCTGTCAATTAATTTCTTAGACAAGCCACAAGAATCTTGAAGGGTAAAGATCTTCCTCCCTAACACTTTCTTTTGAAGATCTGGTAAAATTTGAAGAAGCATAAATGAGGCAGGAAAGACATGGCTAATTTGTCATGATGCTCCTCTAAGGGCCTTCTACAATGAGTTTTGTTTGCTTCTTAACATTTTTCTTGAAATAACTACAGAATAGAGCTTTTCTATATACCTTTCATTAAGCTTCCTTAATAGTAGCATCTTACAGACTCAAAACCAGAAAACTGACATTGGTGCAATCTATGTCCTTGGTCAGATTTCACCAGTTGTACACATTTGTGTGTGTGTGTATGTCCAGTTCTATGCAAATTTACTGCAAATATAGATTTATGTCACCACAATTAGTATACAGAACTGTTCCATCACTAGAAAGGAACTACTTTGTGCCCTTTACAGTCTATGCATAGCACTCATATCCTTCACCCCCATTTGCTAACCTCTGGCAACATCTGTTCTCTTCCACAATTTTGTCTTTTTGAGAATGTTTCATAAATGGAATCATACAGTACGTAATTTTTTGAGGTTAACTTTTTCAGTGTAATGCCCCTGACATCCATCTAAATTGCTGTATGTATCAATAGTTCATTTCTTTGTGTAGCTGAGGAGTATTTTACAGTATGAATGTACCACAGATTGTTTAACAACTGACCTCCTAATGACCATCTGGGTTGTTTCCAATTTTTGTAGCTGAGGAGTATCTTATAGTACAAATGTACCAGATTGTTTTAACAATTCACCTCCTGATGACCATCTAGATTGTTTCCAATTTTTGACTATTGTAAATAAAGCTACTATGAATGTTCATCTATAGGTCTGTACATATACCTACAGTGGGTTTAAGGTGATAATGGATATGAAAGTTCCAGGCACAGTCCCTAGCATAAATGGCAAACCACTTTGGGGCACCTGGTTGGCTCGGTCTGCTAAGTGGCTGGATCTGGATTTCGGCTCAGGTCATGATCTTGGGGTCATGGGATAGAGAACCCAAGAGTCAGGCTCCACACTTAGCCGGGAGCCTGCTTGAGGATTCTCTCTCCCTCTCCCCCATCCCTGCTCATGCTCTCTAAAATAAATAAATCTTAAAAAAAACAACAAAAGGCAAATCATGTTAACTTTCAGTACAATTTATTGCTGTTCCCTGATAAAAGCCAATCTTACCACTGATTACCTACTTATTGAATCAGACCTCTGCTCGATGGTGGAGTACAAAGCTAAGTGAGACACAGTCCTTGCTCTGAAGAAGCTCAGTCAGTCAGTCACACCTAAGTACCTTCCCTTGCTTGTTCCTGGAATGCCCCCTTAAGCATTTATTAAAACCTTACTCACCTCTACAGTCCCAATGCAAACATACCTTTCTCTGTAAAGCTGGTTTCTCCAGATGGCACTGCTTATCCTGGGTACTTCCAGCAATGCACATACCAGCTGCTCTATTTCTACCTCATATTTCACTCTGCTTTTCAGCATAGTTATTTGTATACACACAGCTATCCCCTTACTAGACTGTAACATTTTGTGGGCCAAGGACCACATTTATCTTTACATACTATAAAGTCTAGCATGGTGGTTAGCCTTTAAAATCTCAATAAATTGGGGCACCTGGGTGGCTCAGTGGGTTAAGCCTCTGCCTTCAGCTCAGGTCATAATTCCCAGGGTCTTGGGATTGAGCCCCACATCAGGCTCTCTGCTCAGCAGGGAGCCTGCTTCCCTCTCTCTCTCTGCCTAGTTGTGATCTCTGTCTGTCAAATAAATAAACTCTTTAAAAAATAAATAAATAAAATCTCAATAAATATCTTCTCAGTCTGGTGAAGAAACTAACCTTTATTTTCATTTAAAAACAAATTTTTTAAATTTTCAATTTGAAAATATAGCACAATAATGGTTACTTTTTAATTTTTTTAAATTTATTAAAGTATAGTTGAGATGTTTTTGTAAAAAGAAAAAATTTTTAAACTAATTTTTTAAAGCATGCAGAACTGTTTTTAACTGAAATTTTACTGAGATAATTGTAGATACACAAGCAGTTGTTAAGAAATAACAGAGATTGCTTATACTTTGCCCAGTTTCTTCCAACAGTAACATTTAATGAAATAAATGCAGATCCCTTTTAAACTGATTGTTTCAGATTTCATTGTTTCCACCTGACATGAGAACACCACCCCATTCATAACTTTCATTTTTTTTTAACCAGAAACATGAACAAACACCACATGTAAGATGTAAAACCTGGGGTAATTAGTACTGAAAAAAAAAAAAAAATGCTATCTTCTCCTCAATTAATTTAAAAATACTCTCTCATTCTTGGTACTCATATACAAAAATTACTAGCAAACCACTCTCCTTCTGGGGTTAGCATAGATCTTACATTTTCTATATAACAGATGTTATTCAACTTACAGTATTTGGATTGGTGAGATTCCTTGCATCTGTCAACCAGCTGCTTAAATGATTATATGTACTTCTTCTGCAAAAATTAAAGTTTACATTTGTGACTTCCACATACAATTGCCATTTCAATTTTTTAAAAAAGAAATTTCAAATAAATATTTATAATATTCCCTTTCAACAAAAACTGACTGTGGAATGTAAACCCACACTTTCCAGAAGTCTAGCCCAACCTATTATTTTAAATAAATAAATCAGTATCCAACAACTTTGCTAATTACATACAGAAGTAAACTGTTTACATTTAAAGGCACATTCATAAACAGACAGTGGGCAAGGAAAAACACAGAAAATTAATGGAAACAATTCTGAACTAAGAATTTCTAATCTGAAGTAAAAACTAGGATTATTTTAAAATCATCCATATTTTCAGTCACAAAATGGGAGAAATAATATCAAAATGTCTAGCGAATATGTTCAATGACAAACATATTTGCATCTGTCTGGTATTAGAAACCAAGATGTTCACACTACTATACACTGATATAAAACTCACCTTTCTTTCAAGAGAAAGTTAACTATGACAACATAAAAACCAGCTTTAAAATGGCACTTAATGTATTTGACTGGAAATCCAAGCCCCCAGATAACAAAATAAGTTTATTCTAACTTTGTATTCTTATTTACTAGTACCTAAAATCATTCTGAGATTCAGACTGCCCTATTTCTCCAAGCAAGAGTTTAGAAACTCGTAGGCTCATTTGCACTAGCCAAATAGGCCCAAAGAGGGAGAGCAAATCCAAATAATTTGTAATATTATATACAGTACACAGAATATTAGTATTTATCAGACTTTACCAAAGGGGTCAAATAAAACTTTGAAAGTTAAAAATGTTTGATTTATATACATTCACAAAACATTAATCCATCTTATTCATTTAACAGGTGAGAAAATAGAAGCTCACAAAGATGTAAATGCATTTCAGAGCCAGGCCTTGAACTCTTTCTTTATGCACATAGTGTCCTCAAAGTGTTTCAAATTTAGTCTTGTGAATATATTCCATGAACTCCAGCTGCCAGTACCCATATAAAGTTGGATTTTCCAAACATTTAATCCTTTCCCAGTAGAGACTAAAAAGAAGTTGTAAGATTTTCTTTTTACTGTGCTAAATTATGTTATACACAAATCACCACCTAACCGTTAAAAAAAAAAAGGGGGTCAAATAAAAGCAACATTTTCCCAATGTTTTAAAATTTTCTAAGTAAAATCTTCTAATGGTCAAATATTTTTAAAAAGCACAAGTCTTATCATTTTACTGTTCCAAATTTGTAGTTACTGGCATACCTTGCTTTAACACAACAGATTTATCCTACTTTGTGCACAAAAACTTACGTAGTACAAATCCCAAAACATTAATACTTATTTTGATAAATTTTAAAATGTCAAAGCTGGCAGCAAGAATGAATTACAAACTGCCACCACTTTGGTAAACAGAAAAATCTATACATCCTTTTTAAGTATCAAGACCATATAAACTGTTATTATTTAGATATGCCCATAACCTCTGCTACTAATTTCTTAGGTAATTGTTATTAACTTAAAATTCACCATAATTTCAAATCTATTTAACTATAACAGCATGCCAATATTCATTAATTAGTGGCAAGAGTGCTAAAAAATAAAAAGTAAAAAATATCCCTAACTTTGCCATGTAAAATGACTTATCAAACAACTGACAGAGCCAAACAAACTGCCATGATAAGCTATGTTGTCAATTTAGGAAGTATCCTGTAACAATTACAGTTAATGCCAGGAATAAAGGTATTATTAAAGTAGAACTTTGAAGTTTTTAAAATGTGAAGGAAGAATAGAAAAAAAGGAAAAAAAATCAGTGTTATGGATACATCAGTGCCACTATGAAATATTAATAAAGCACCTGTCTAAAGTGTGCAGTAGTTTTTTTTCAATAAAATTTTATTGGGATATAATGAATTTACCATAAAGCTCATCCTTTTAGAGTATACAAGGTAGTGGTTTTTGGTATATATACCAAAGTTGTGCAGTGATCACCCGTATCTAATTCTAGAACATTTTTATCAACCCCAAAAGAAACACTGCACCCATTAGCACTCAATCTCCACACCATGGCAATCCACTTTCTGTCTCTGAATTGGCCTATTCTGGCTATTTCATATAAATGCAATCATACAACATGTGGCTTCCTTCACTTAGCAAAATGTCTTCAAGATTCATCCACTGTATAGCATGTATCAGAGAGTCTTTCCTTTTAATGGTCGAATTATACTTCACTGTATGAATATACCCATTTGTTTATCTATTCCTTAGTTAATGGACATTTGCGGTGTTTCCACCAGAAGTACTTCTGAAGATTCAAAGAGACACAACTTTTACCAGAATTATTTACTACGCTTAAAAGGTTATGTTTAAAAGCAAACCATACACATGTATCAAATCATCACCCTGGACCTTAAACTTACACAATCTTATATGTCAATTGTGTTATCAGTAAACATGGGGGGGGGACACAAGCACACTTGCACAAAGCAAAACAAACTACAACACTTTAGACTGATACACTCTTAAAGACACCATCACCACATTTAAATTTATCAGCAATGGAGTTTTTTGAATTATGCAGTCTTCAGGAATGCATCCCTTATTAGGATGTCCTACACAGAAGGCCAGGTCTTTAATAATTTTCCCACAAAATTATTTACAAGTTATCATGTGACCAGTTGCCCGCCTATACAGAAGAGCATTAAGGCTATTTTGTTCTGTTTTGCTGTGAGATTAACCAATTCTGGAACTCAATGAACTTCAAGCACTGTAATTAGAATCAGCCACTGTTTCATTCTAAGTCCACATTTCCCAAAGTGTGTTAATAAAATAAGCTTAAGAAACACTACACTAACTTAAAGAATTTCATTATTGCAGAACTTCTCAGGATGCTAATATGTTAATGTGCACTGTATCATGACTCTTCAAGAGAAAACAGTATAAAGCATTTCTCAAAAGGAAATATGCTTGAAAGTCCCTTTGGTCCTACTCACCCATCCCTACCTCACCCAAAAAAGTAAGACAAGAGGCACACTGCTTTCAGCTGGCACTTTGCATTAATATGAAAGGTGATCCAGTTCATTTTCCAGCTTAGCATAGTTTAATGAAGTGGCACAATTTTCCCTGTTTTCTGAAGCCAAATATTTACGGTCCAGATTTTTTACTTTTTATCAAGTGCTTTCAGTTTCTAAAAATAGCCAAGCTGAAATAAATTTAATCCTGCTGCATGAAGTACTATAAACCATTTTAATTCATTTTAGAACAAAAAAGAATTTAAGTAAATGAACAAATACCTCAAACATCTTCAGATGCAAGCATAAGAACTTTTTACAATCTACCATGTTGGATTAGCAAAACTACTTAATTCCTTCCCTGACCTTATTTTGAAAAGGTGTCAACTTTAACACCAGAGACTAAATAGAGTTAACTCCTCAAGACTTGTTTGCTTTCTACTGAAGTGAAAAGAACAAAGTTTGGTATAAAATATTATTTCACCTCATATAATTGAACTGATGCTGCTTTTCAGAATAGTATTCTTCTATTAGCTCCACCAGCATCTCCTAAAGCTTTTCTTCAGTCATATTCACTTTCAGAAAAGGAAATCAACATGTTACATCAAGTCTTACACAACAGTGTAGAGAAATAACCGTAAGATCCAAATAAGCTCATTTATAATCACACAATCACAAACTAAGAATGTCTAAATCAATAAACACACACACACACACACACACACACACACACACACACACACACACCAAACCACAGTGCCTAAAGCAGATTTTTTTCAAGTATGAAGTTTGGAAAAGTATTAATCTCTTACCTAGTGATATCATACACCATAAGTGCTCCCGCAGCTCCTCTGTAGTAGCTTCGTGTAACAGCCCTAAACCTCTCCTGTCCTGCTGTATCCCAAATCTGCAGTTTGATTTTTTGGCCACTAACTTCAATTATTCTTGTACCAAATTCAACACCAATTGTGTGAGGACAATCAGCCATAACTGTTAGAGAGAAAAAAGGAATATAATATTCTAACTTCCAGAAAGCTTCAGATTAAGACCAGCAGGGAGAAGAGCCACTGGATTATTAAATAACATATTAATGCTTGTAGGCTGTATGTGGACGAAGCTAGCACTGAAAAAATACTAGCAAAAACACAGAAGTCGAATCTGACTGCACTAGAACAGGGGTCAGCACACTTCTGTAAAGGACCAAGTAATAAATATTTAAGTTTTGTAGCCAAAACCACAACTACTCAACTCTGCTGCTGAAGCACAAAAGAAGCCAAAGACTCTAAGTAAAATGAACATGGTTGTATTGTAATAAAACTTTATTTACAAAAACAGGCAGTAACCGGATTTTACCCACACGCTATTGTTTACTGACCCCTGGACTAAAAGAATCTGCTAATTAAAAATAAAGATTTTTAGTAAGTTCTTCGTAACACCAACATTATGCTATTTAGGCTTCTGACAAGTACTACATATAACAAAACAATCAATGGCTTTAAGGCTTTAGGAGTTGTCAAATTTTTCTCCTGAAAAATATTACCAGTATCTCAAAGAAAAACACATTTAATATATACTTATAATTACATATTGGCAAGTTACATAATTCCAATCCAACAGGACAAGTTTATTAGTCCTTTCCTTAAAATTAGGCCATTGAAAACCTAAACCTATTATTCTCTGGTACAAGAATACACAGACTGTTGGAGATGTCATAAAATTTACATTAAGGAAAAAAAAAAAAAGCCATAAAATTAATTTCAACTCTATTTGGCCTATCAGTTACATAAAATAACATGGTCTCCTCCCCTAAGACAGAGTTATACTTCAAATATTAATCAACCAGTCTTGATATAAAAAGAATTTCATTTAAATATTTCCAATCTATTATTATTTAGCTAACAAGTGCTATATGCAGCAAATTTCCAAAATGGAGAGTCAGAGAAAATATTATTTAAATTTGACATTATAATTTTTAAAAATTTTCTACCACCAAAAAACCTAAACAAGTAACTCAAATTATATATGGTATATAAATTAACACTCTATACATGCAGGCGTATTTCATTTTATATGCATCTATTTAAAAAAAAACTCCCTCCCTAAAGACAAAAATGTATATATGCAGAAAAGTCATATTCAAATGCATGGAGCGTACTGAAAATGACACTTTTTAAAAGGTAGGAAAGTGAGTATAAATTTATTTATTGCTTAACCTTATTTTGAACTTACATTTTTTTTCTGTAAATTGATGAAGTAAGCAAGATTTTCCTACTCCCATATCTCCTGTTTAAAAAGAAAGAAAAGTTTCAATTGGCAATTACATTTCTCAATTTTATACTCATAATTATATGCAATGATTGCTATACCCCCTACTACATCACATCACAAATTTCTGGGACACTTGAAAAGATGAGTTTGAAAAATCCTACATGTCACTTTTCACTGTGATGTACAAAATGATTATTCCCAATCTTCAGCAGTGACAGAATTAAATTATAAATTATGTTAGCAAGTAACTATCAGCTGGGAAGTGTTTTTTTAAACAAAGAAACTGTTGTGAGAGAAGCATTTTTTACTTTGAACTGTTTCAAAGTTTTATATTGTTTTTTCCCCTTAATCCATGCATAAAAGCAAAAGACATAAGGACACAACAAACAGGGCAGCATGTAACAAGCAAAAATAGTAAGTTATGGAAGTCTGATTGACTAGATCCCATCTATCTCTTCTTATATTCTTATATTCCCTGTATTTCTTATAGCCTGGGTGGCTCAGTGGGTTAATCCTCTGCCTCAGGTCATGATCTCAGGGTCCTGGGATCAGCCCCACATCAGGCTCTCTGCTCAGCAGGGAGCCTGCTTCCCTCTCTCTCTCTCTCTCTCTCTGCCTACCTCTCTGCCTACTTGTGATCTCTGTCTGTCAAATAAATAAAATCTTAAAAAAAAAAAAAAAACCACAAAAGATAAGCACGTGCATTATATGAAATCCGTAATAGATGTTATCTCTAACTGTACTACATAGGCATTTAACCCTTCGTGAAGGAAGTATTGAGCCCACCATTACATCAAACTGTTCTAATATGAAGAATTAACTGAAAAGTATGTGTACTTCCAACCGGACTCTTACAACTACACCTGGGTAAACAATCTTATCTTTTAATTTGAGCAACATCTTGAAACTTAGCAGAAAAACCACCAGTATTATATTTTATGTATATTACACAACTACTCTGACTCAATGTTCTCTATCAATTTTTGGAATCCAGGTGGCTCCAAGGGCTTTCATGATATTTTTGAAAAGTTATCAGTGCTCCAAGGAAATTAGTACCACTTCCAGGATTAACAAGCTTACAGGCAGTCCTCAAGAACAATCAGTATCACTTCAAAAGGTACCCACCAGTGTACCACAGAAGTATCCAGGGCCACAATACAAAAAGTACATCATTACCACAAAAATAAAGGAGCTTTAATTTTGCAGTTAAAAAACAACAACAACAACAAAAAACACTCACTTTTCTGGAATGGTATGTTAAGTATTAGTATATAAATATTTTGTATATTAACTTTCTTTGTAGAGCAAGAGCATAAATTAAATAAACTTACCAATAATAATATATTTAAAGATGTAAGAGTAGTTGTATGGTGCAGTTGCCATGGTGGCACTAAAAACAAAGAAAACTGTGTTACTTCAGAAGGATATACACAAGTCCTCCAGTTGGTCACTGCTAGTTTTTAAAGATATATAAAATGCAGCATACTGATTATAAACAAAATGTTGATTACAATAAGCCAGAGTAAAATTGCATTTTCCAAACTGATCAAATGCACAAATTCTCTTGGATGAACATTAACATTCTCATGTGTTATCCGTAGAAATATCAAGAAACCATTCCATTATTTCTCTTTAGGGATATCCAGTAAGAAAAGTTACTATGAAAAATTTCAAACAATGAAATCTTTATAAATTTGAGTTAAACATCATTATAAAGTCTTCCTCCTTTGAAGTCCCCACTCCTGTCAACTGATCCAGTAAATTACTGATGGCCAACTTGTTCAGAACTCTTTGATTTTACAACAGAATGTTATAAAAAGTAACCACTAACTTACAAACACATAAAACTCTTAAAAGTTATAAAAAGTAACTTTTTTACTCCACTTTAAATCATGGTTAGCACAACATCCAAAAAAAGACCAGTCCAACTATTTCCAAACCAAATTACTGTCAGAATTAGATTAAAAAACCACATGAAACTGTTGTTCTTACTGACTTTTTAAAAAGTCAATTATTTGAGATTTCAATTAGGTTCAACCTAATAGAGGATCTGAAGATTAACAATGTATCAAATGCCTACTATATACTATTCTAAAAGCTGAAATAATGGCATAAAATACTACTTATGGTTGTCAAATCTGCAAGTTTATATATTAGAAGATATTTAGAAAGATCCCAGCCTATTCTTTGCCCTCGGGTATATTTAACCTAAATAATTCTTATTTCTCTCTACTTTTAACAACTTAAAAAAAAAAAAAACTCTCCAATTTATTCAAATGAATGCCGTGAATGTGTCAGACACTGTGCTAGGTGCTGGAGAAACAAGAGGTAAAATGTAGTTAATGGTAGTAACTTCAAGTAACATTTATTCTAGTCAAACCAGTTTTCAGTTTAAGGAAAGATAAAAATTATGCATGTGCACATGCCCACACACAAAAGATTTGACCCCATTTTTTTAAAAAATTGGTTTCCAATTTTTAAAATATGATTTTTACTGTTATGGGCAATTGTCACATTATACAAGCCAGATATGATAATGATGGCGGAAATTTGTTTTCTAAAACTAACAAAATTACTATATAATAAAATTTAACCTATAGAAAAAGTATGTATTTAAAATAAGTGAATTATTGTTATCAGGGAAAAGAAAGTTGTTCACACAATACAGTCTTCTCACTTAACTGTAAGGATTACATTTAACTGAAGTGGACGCCCTGCTACCCATTTCAGCTTGAAGTGTTGCAGCACTTTGATAATCAGTCTTCAACATCACTGAAAACTTCCTTAACCAGTTCGTTCAGGAAGGGAGTTCTTCTAGTTAACGGATTCTGAACATCATAATAACTTGTTTCCCTTTTTGCAGACACTGGGGACTCAAAACTTATTAAGAATAAACTTGGTCCTGAGGCTAAAATTGGTGTAGATTATTCACCAATCTCTAAACCAGATCCTAAACACAAGGAAAAGAATAATCTTTCACAATAAAAAATATTTAAAAGTTATTAAATTCTTCAACTGCATTCTTCCAGAACCCTGTAATTAATTTTTAGCTCCTTTTTTAAGCTCCTCTTTTCCTACTCAAACTTGGGGAAAAGTAATCGTTTAGTCACCTTGAAATTACTGTTGCTGTCATGCTCTTCCCCTTCTGACTTTCCCATTCCTCTCTCTCTTCTTACTCAAAGTTGTAGCTATATACACTTTGCTTCCTTCCATTTTATTATGTTAAAACCAAAACCACGGGGCACCTTGGTGGCTTAGTTGGTTAAATGTCTGCTTTGGCTCAGGTCCTGATTCCAGGGTCCTAGGATGGAAACCCACATCAGGCTCTCTGCTCAGTAGGGAGCCTGCTTCTCCCTCTCCCTTTGTGCCTCCCCCTTACCCGTGCTCACTCTATCTTGCTCTTTCTCTCTAAAATAAAATCTTCAAAAATAATAAAAATAATAATAATAATAATAAAACCAAGGCCTCTACAACCCTAATTTCTCACTGAAATGCTCTAAAGGCTAATCATGAAATTAAAAGCCAATTCCAGTTGTATTAATTTGTGTACTTGCTAATTATCACACAGCATTCATTAAATATCTACAAGATGACTAATTTTAAAATGTTTTTTTAAATTACCAAGCATTAATTAGCATAAACTATTCCCAAATAAAAGAGAATGATCACTTTCACAGAATAAATACAGTGCCCTGTCTTCACCTCACCACACAATTTTCTGGTTCAAGTTTCTTAAAAATGAACCCTAAAAGCAAAGTTAAAAAAGAAAGCTACTGGGATGCCTAGGTGGCTCAATTGGTTAAGCATCTGCCTTCCACTCAGGTCATGATCCCAGAGTCTGTGGGATCAAGCCCTGAGCCCCAGGTCTGGCTCCTTGCTCAGCAGGGAACCTGCTTCTCCCTCTCCCCTCCCCCCTTCTCGTGCGTGTGCCTGCGAACTAATAAATACAATCTTTAAATTTAAAAAAAAAAAAAGGAAAGCTACTCAAACTTAATTTCAGTAGACAATGAAGGCAGAAGTGTCCAGCACTGTAGCCACTAACACAACAGGTCCTCCCTCTCTTATTATAAGCTTAGATACAAGCTAGGTTTAAATATACTCCCAGACTTTATTGGTTACATTCACTCAAAATTATGTATTTGCAGTAAAACTATATTCAAGTGGCCCATTTTATTTTTTTTTTTTAAAGATTCTGTTTATTTGAGAGAGAGAATGAGAGAGAGTGAGACAGAACATGAGAGGGGGTAGAGTTAGAGGGAGAAGCAGACTTCGTTGAGCAGGGAGCCTGATGCGGGACTCGATCCTGGGATTCCAGGATCATGACCCGAGCCGAAGGCAGTCGCTTAACCAACTGAGCCACACAGGTGCCCCTCAAGTTGCCCCTTTTAAATATTAACTAGGCTTAATATTGTTCTAAAAAAGAATTTCTCAACATCATTTCTTGAACATGAATGAAACACACCATTGTTGAAGCGAAGAATGTACTGTTTAACTAGCTTTGGAAGGGGAAAAAAGTTTGCCCACTATTACTTAAGGATGCTTCTGCTTTACTCAAAAGTCAAAAAGTGGGGAACAGGGGCAAAAACCGTTGGTATAGTTCAAACACTCTGAAAACATGAGTCCATTCTAACACTACCATCTCCACTAATTAAAAAACCTTAATAATATTCTGTAACTTGTGCACAACTGCTGGTGTGATTAATATGTGTTCTCCATGTGTTACAAAAGCATGAGAATAAAATTCATAGGCAGCTAAGATTCAATGCCTCTGATTTCCTTATGAGTACCACTTTCAGACAGTAAGCTTTGTTAAATACAAGATGAACAACCTGTAAACTAGTAACAAACAATTGTTACAATTACCATTTATTGGGCACTTAATATACTCCAGGCAATGTACTAATAAACACTTCACATGCAATTTCAATTAATTCTTACTACTACAGCCTTATAAAACCGTGAGTATAATCCTCATTTTACAGATGAAGACTCAACAGGTAAGTAACCATGCCCAGGTCATACAGCTAAGTGGTCAAGTCTATAATGGACCTAAGACTGTTTTAGCTACAAAGAATCCCTCTTATCCACTATACCATCCAGCCTCCCCCATAATTATGAGATGCACCATGAAATCCTTTCATGGTACTTAGGGACACAAATCTTTCTCAGTTCACTCACCTTGTTCTAATTTAATACTCTAAGTAGTATTAAAAAGTTATATTCAGTTGATATACTGTAATCAGGATTTACAGATATGGATAAATAATTACACTAATTCAAATTATATCTACTTAAAAAAAGTTTTTGAAGGTAACACTTGTTGAGAGTAAACCATGTGCTGATCAGCACTACTTTTCCCTACATACAATTCTTACTTAATTCTCACAACTCTGCAGAGTTATTATCATTAAGTCCATGTAAAAAACTGAAGAAACAGGGGCACCTGGGTGGTTCAGTCGGTTAAGCATTTGCTTTCAGCTCAGGTCATGATCCTAGGGTCCTGGGATCAAACCCCACACTGGGCTCCCTGCTCAGTGGGGAGCCTGCTTCTCCCTCTGCTAGGTTCTCCCACTCGTTCTCTCTTGAATGAATAAATGAATGAATGAATGAATGAATGAATAAATCTTTTAAAAAGCCCCCCAAAAAACTGAAGAAATTGAGGTTTGGAGAAATTAACTAATTTGGCCTGTGTTACAAAATAGTAAATGGCAGAGCTGGAACTTGAACCCAGGTCCAATTCCAAAGAACATGATTTTCTCTATCTAAGGTAGCTTATTAAAGGCATATATATATGTGTAGAATGACAGACACACACATGTGGACCGAGAGGACCAAAAAATCAAAATCGAAGGAAAATGGGGAATAATTACACTAAATATTTAGGGTTATAGTTTTACATGTGCATGTGTAAAACTTAGCTCTAAACTTCCTGGCTGTCAAGAGAAATGATTACTAAATGCACACTGAACACTGATGATTGTTGTGTGGCCCTTTTAAATATTAACTATGCCTAATATTGCCTTAACAAAGGATTTTTCGAGATTAGCATTAACTCTTGAGCACAAGAAACACACCATCATCGAGGTTAGGAATAAATTTAAAAATGGGGTGTGCTACTACATAAAACTCTGCAGTGTGTTTTACACTGAACAAAATGATGGACCTATTTGCAGACCCATACACAGAGCTCTACATGGTTACTAAATGCACATTAAATACTAATCACTGTTGCCCCAAAAATAAAATTAAATGGTCTCCACACAGTTAAACAGATACAGACATATAAATGACTGGATTTGCAATGTGCAGACAGAGGTGAAGGCTAAGGAACTTTCATACAATCTGCTTATGAACTGCCACATTTTTAGGAGGTAAACAATGTATTTTCAAATCTTAAAGATAATCCAAATCACCCTCTGATGAGGAAGTAGCCCACAGATACAAAATCTTCAATCCATAACGTTATAGGTCCAAGTGGATCTAATACAGCATTTTTACAAACAAAAACAAAACAAAAACCCACAAAAAACCAAAAACCAAAAACTGGAAAACAATCAACCTATACTCTAACAGGGAAATGACTGAAGAAATTGAGGTTTCAATACTAATAATTGAAATGATCAGCACTACTTTTCCCTACATATAATTCTTACTTAATTCTCACAACTCTGCAGTTATTATCACTAAGTCCATGTAAAAACTGAAGAAACAGGGGCATCTGGGTGGTTATTATTAGTATGATGAAATAATGCATTTAGTTCAAAACCATTTAGATATAGATGTATTAACCTGAAAATATATCCATGATTTTAAGTGAAAAAAAAGTTGACAGAATTTTATGCAATAGCTTCTCTCATTTTTAAATACACACACACACATATACACAGTCTCTCTCTCAATCTTGTATACAGATAATACGGAAGGAGACACACCAAACTGTGAAAAATGAATACATGGACTGTGAGCAGAAAAAGGATAGGAAGGAATTATTAACTTTCTTTATAACACTGCACTAACAGGATAAGCATATACTATATTCATTGCTAATTTTCTAAAGTAGTCAAAGTAGAAAAAATAACTTAAATATTTTTAAAGCATTTTTATATATAATTCTAATACAAAACAAATTTAAGAAAAACAAAAACAAGCAGTGCCTGGGGGACTCAGTCAGTTAAGCAGTCCACTCTGGATTTTGGCTCAGGTTATCTCAGGGTCTTGGGATCGAGCCCTGAGTGGGGCTCCACACTCAACAGGGAATCTGCTTGAGAATTCTCTCCCTGTGGCCCTTCCCCATCTTGCATTTGTGCACGATCTCTACAATAAATAAATCTTTAAAAAAAAGAATAAAAAATAATCCAAAAAACTCCCATTTATAATACTTTCAACATTACTTCCACATTTACAATAACAGGGAACATCATATGAAGTTAATCATGTGATCAGCCTCAAAAAATAAATAAATAAAGCCCCAAAAACAAACCAAAAAGAAACCACTCCAATAATTGACAGTATTTTTTCTTTTTCTTTTAGAGCTTGGCTTTTTACTGTGTTAACTTATGCACTATGTCTGACTAATCCTTTCACAACTGTTTTACAGCTATTTTATTCTTCTCCTTAGGACATATGACATTTCCATGTAATTTTTACGTAACTTATTCAAGACAACACAAGACAAAAACAACCCACAAAATATTCCAGGTGATTTAAAATCTGATCTTCATTGTTAAAATTAGTAAGCTTGGTTTTTGTTACATGTAAGACATTTTGTTATAAACACCAGAATCAAGATAGACTGCTCTCGCGATTCCAATACAAAAATATTTGTTGAGCATTTACTAAGCACAAATTCTTGGGTTAGGCTTTGACAATATAGTAATGACCAAAAATAATAATAATAAAAAAAACACATTATTCCTGTCTTCATGAAACTTAAGAACAGAGTTTGATTTGCTTACAAGCTCTCTAATGTGGATTGCTACTTGATTTGTCAGTCAAGTGGACACAAAACTTTACTTATTCTAATAATCTAATCTAATCTAAATGAATGGTCAATTTCCTCAACAGTAATGCAACCTCTGAAAATAACCCATCCATTTCTGACACCCACTTTAAAAAACTCACTTTTGACAAGACATTCAATGTCACACTTTTACATAAATTAATATAAGAAAAAGAACTGGATTCCTTACTATGTTAAGAAAAACACAAAATTTCCCTGTTATGGTTATGCTATGAAAAAGTAGTACTCCAATACTTCACCTCTGTTCACAGAATGAAAGTACTTAAAGGAAAAAAACAAAACACCACAACCCTGTACTTACTCCTAGAGTTGAAAGGTTAGTAATATCAAAAATTTTCCTGATGAAGTATCGTGTCTGAAATTTGCTTTAAAAATAATTTGGTGGAAAGGGTTAAGGTGTATATCGATGAACAAGACTAATCACTGTTGATACTGGCTGATGAGTATATGAAGCCTCATTATACCACTCTATTTTGTATATGTTTAAAACTATCTAGAACATAAAATGTTTTAAAAGTACCCTATCTTTGATACCTCTATTTGTACCCTGCTGTCTCCAACCATGCCTGTTATTTTTAACCACACAAAACTGTTTCAAGCTTTAAAAGAAAGAAACAAACATCTCTCAGTAGTTCTTTTTTAACATATTTGCCTTAACCAAAAGTTTACTCCAACAGTACAAAATCTTAATAAGATTATGCAAAGATATTTAATACTGATAAAGATTAGCTTTAAGAACACTCCAAACTCTGTTGCACAGTTAAAGTATGCCACAATAAAGTTTAACATGAAATATAAAAAGCAAAAACTTTTTAAAATGTAGCTTTAATTTCAAGGAATTTTTTACGTTATTAGAATCTAAAAGGGTCTTCCATCTTTACAACAACTAACATTTACTGAGTGCCTAATACATGCCACCTACTTTATAACAATCTTTAATAGTAAAAACTCATTTTACAGGTAAGAAAACCAACTCAGAGACTTGAGATATCCACAGTCATACACTACCAAGGGAAAAAAGATTAAGGCCCAGGTCTAACTGTCCAACTCTCTGAAGCCATGCTCCTCTTTATTCAACAAAAATTAAACATTCACTACATGCCTGGCACTGTTACAGACAATGGGGTACCTAACTAAATGCCAAGCACGTGCTAAGGGTTTTTTAATCCCATTTAATCCTCAAAACAATTCTAAAATGTAGGTACAATTATTCCCTGTATAGATAAGGACACCGACTCGGAGAGGCTAAGTAACTTGCTTTAAGGTCATTCAACTAGAAAGTGGCAGTATTGGAGTAGGAACCCTCCAAAACTCTTAACCACACATGACTTAAGGCATGAACAAATAAAAGGACCCAAGCAGAACTCTGAAGACAAATTTAGGAAAGTGCTGGGGGAAGAGGGAATGGAAGCTAGATTTCTGCAGGGTCAAGTCTGTGTTCAAATACCACATGTAAGAAAAGACAATCGTGACAGTAAACTTTGCAAGGGTTCAAGTGGGCTCTAACACTTTTGTGGGACCACCAGAAAAGCACTTGCCTTCTGGGAACCCCAGTTTCTTCTTCCAATAGGAAATTAAAATCTTGCCACCTCTCCTCTGGGGCTGGGAGAATGAGGACTGGCAGTGGAGCAGCTGACACTACAGACTTCGAGTTACAAGAGTCGTCAGTTGTCATCCCATGGAAACACAGGGAAAGAGGAATTAAGCTGTAAGTACAGTTTAAGTGGTCACGCCTGTGACACTAGCCTAACTTGAGTGCAGCAGAGAAACACGAGGCAGTGTGGGAGAGGCCAGCGTGTCCGTACCATCATTAGCCAGTCACATCGCAACTTCAAGCCTCAGTTTCCTCACTTGTAAAGTGCAGGTGACTTGACTTATCACCAAGGGCTAGGCTTAGCAGGAAGCACCGCGGTGAGGACAGCCAAATCTGCGCCTGGCTCACGGCAAGGTGCAAACCATCAAAACAAACGCCTGTTTTGCCTTCTTTCCTTAAATTCTAGAAATGCCGAAAAACTTTCCGTCTTCTTCACTGCTTCTCCATGCTACCTAAGCTCGACGCCTTATAGGATGTCACAGGCCTCGCAGGGCCTCACCCAAAGCAGAACCACGCCAGCACGGACCCTTTCGCCAGCCCAAGTCCCCAGTCTACCCACAGGGACAAGGACACCGGAGCTCCTCCAAGATGCCGGCGAGGCAGCGAGGGGCTGCCTTTTGTACTCCGGGCAGACGCGGCCTACGGGACGGGGAGTGCCACGTCTGGGCTCGTGGGTTGCGAGGCGCCGTGCCTCGCGTGGATAAATACCGCGGGGGTGGTCTGCAGCCGCCAGAACGGCAGTGAGGAGAGGGGCCTGCGGGAGGTGTCTGTCCGCCCAGCCCGGCCGAGGAGGCGGGGAAAGCGAGGCAGAACACACCCTTCCCCGCACGCCCCGTAGCTCTCCGCTGGGCGAACGCAGCGCGGGGACACCCCCCGCCCCCGCACGGGAGTCCCGTCAGGCCCGGCGCCGCGGCGCCCACCGCCGACCCGCGGCTCGCCGCGGCCTGGCAGGGCCTGCACTGCGGCGCCACCCGCCCGCCGCCCAGCTCGCCGTCGTCCGCACGCCGGCCCCTGGAGAGCCGGACGAGGAGGTCTCGGCCGGAGGGACACTGCGGAGGGCCCGGCTTACCTGGGGGGTTGCTGGTGGCTGGGCAGCTTTCCGGGCGGGAGGGGGGCGTCAGGACGAGGAAGAGGAGTGCAGGCGCAGCGGGAGAAGGGCGGGGGCGGTCGGCCGAGGCCACGGCAGGTAGCGGGCTGGCCTAGGAGGTGCAGACGCACTGGCGGTAGTAGCGGTGGCAGCGGCGACTGCTCCTGCGGCTCCCTCAGGATCTTCCTCGGGCAGGTCCAAGATGGCGGCGCTCCCTGCACAGGGTTTCCTGTCACCCTCGCAATGGGCCGGACCACAAAAGAAGCGGGGGGAGGAGAATGCGCGCGCAGCTGGCGGAGCCCGGAAGAGGGTGGCCGGGCTCCGGCCCGCTGGCCACGCCCCTTCCTCAGCCCTTCCCTCTGGACTCGTCGCGCGGCCGCCGAGGCCCGCCCCACTGGCGGTGGCGCCTGTAGGGGCGGAGGAGAGCGCCTATGCGCAAGCGCAGTCGCGTGCTCTCGTCGCCTAGGGAAGTTACTGCGCAGGTTTGCGTGGAGCCTGCTGAAGTACGACTGGGTCTCAAAGGGTTGGGCTTGTTACTTTGTGGACTTTTTACTATTTTTAATGCCAGCAAGTACTACTTACTGGACGCTTGTGCTACACTGGCCACAATGCTAAGCACACATATACTGCGTTCACTCAACAGGTATGTTTTGAGCAATTCGTACACAGCAGTGAACAAAGCTCGCTGTCCCTGTCCAACAATCCCAGGAGGGGCTTATCCCCATTTTATCGATGGCGAAACTGAGGCTTATGTTGATCCAGTCGCGGGTCCACGATCATGCAGCTAGAACGTGGCACTTACAGTGTTTCATTTCTGTCCTTTATAACCTCTCTTTGATGGGAGGAAAAAAATCGTGAAGGCATTTTTCACAATTTAACCACCTCCCACCAGTCCTCTGCTCTTCCAACTCAGTCTGCTGTTGGATTTTCCCAGAAAGTTAAGAGCACCTCAGCACAAGGCAGCTTTGACTTTCGTGGAACCTTGACACTTTGGCCTTGTGTTTGTGGAGATTATATATATCCAATATTTATATAGATACACATATAGTTCATATTTTACAACTAAATTGGCATAGAGATGAATATATTAATGTTCTACAGCAAAACATTTTCTTTAACCCAGAAGTTCATCTTTCTTTTCCGACTTTAAAAGCACTTAAAACATTTTTGTGGGTCCCTAAAAGTATTGCAGGGCCCCAGGGACTGTGTTTGTTGTGTCTGATGAATAGGACTGCCCTCCCTCAGTCCACCAAAATGAAGTTCAGGCTCTCTCTCCCTCGGCACTGAAGAGCTTTCATAAGCTAGCTTTGCCTTAAGTAAGTGAGATTTCTTTGAAAAGTGTGTGGTAGTTTACAAATCTCTTATTTTCAGAAAGAACTGGGTGTGAATCCTTGATCTTCAACTTACTAATGATTCACCATTGGGCATGTCACTTGATTTCTCAGATCTACAGTCTTTTCTGCAAAATGAGGATAATGATACCTAACTCACATGGGTCCTTGTGAAAGTTAAGTGAGATTATATACACAAAATGCTTGACATCTAAGTTTTTAATACATGGGGATGGCTATTACATAATAATCCAATATAAGGTTAAATTGAAATCCCTTCCAGCCCTATAGGTCTATACTTCTATGCCTATATCCTTTAATTCCAATAAGTATAGTTTGTTTATGGTCATAATTTAACATCTCTGAAATCAAGAAATTTGCCTATGCCAAGTAAAGAAGAAAGCTGTGAGTTTAGGTCTGGCTAGGAAGTTTCTGTATAGCCAGTTGTCACCTGAATTGAAACCTAGCTAATGCTTATTGAACACCTACTGTGAAACAAGAACTGGCCTAAGAATGATGAATACTTTCTTATTTAATCTCTATATCATTCCCCATGAAGTCAATGCTGTATTTGCCCCATTTTATGAATAAGAAAAATATGTCATATAGGTCAAAGACTTTATAAAAGACATAAAAATTGGCAGTGCTGGGACTTGAATTCAGGCACATGTGACTTCAGAGTATGCATTCATAAAAACCATTCTCATCTAAAGGATTAGATGCAAATTATTTCCACTTGTAGCAGTTTAGGTGTAGAACCCTGATTGTTACTTAAGTCTATGTGGAAGACATTACCCTGGAATGCAGCATTGAAGAGAAACATTGTTGTGCATGAGATGTGTCTATTTATGCTAAGCAATACAGCTGAAGACTATAGAAATTGTCACTTCTTATAATAAGTCACAGAATTTTTGAAGGAGAGATTGTGTGTGACCAATTGCAGCATAATTAGAACTGTCCATTGGATGCCTATCAGGGTTCTAGTTAACTTTTTTTTAAGACTACTTACATGAAAAGAGATGGATACACAAAATATTGAGTGCAGCACTGTTTGTAGAAGACTAGACACAAACTATCACTAGAGAGCTATTGTAATACATTTTAATACATCCGTACTGTAGGATATGTGCAGCAATTAAAGACCGAGGCACGTGAGTGTGTTTTGGTATGGAACAATCTCTAAGAAATACTTCAAGTGAAAACAACAAGAAAAAGGAAAGTAAATAGTATGCCAACATCTGTTAAACTATGAAAGAAGGTGGTGGGGGGTAGGATATATCTATTTGTGGAAATGGACATTGAGGGGGATTTTTCCTACTGTCCTGAAACTGCTGCTGAGGCCCAACTCTGAAACCCTAAAAGTCCATAAGGAACGCACTGCCAGTGACTGGAACTAGCTATCTTCCAGGAGAACATTTGAGGAGTCGTTGTTTGAGAAGCCAGCCCTTCCACCAACCTCTACCTCCACTCCACCATTCCCACCCCCTCTCCCCACAGACAAACCATCACCACTGATCAGTGGAAAGAATGGATAGTTGAGAGGGAAGTCAGGCTTCAGGAAAGAACAATGTCATAGAAAGACTCGTCCCTTCCTCTCTCTCCATGGGGGATTGTATCACTTCCTAGAGGCAAGGGAGAAGGCTGCAGGAGAATCACTTATGAAGATTGGGTGTGCCTATAGAAAGAGGAGACTGACAACACCCCCCCCATATCTGTTTGGGCATTGGACTAACTGATATGCTCTGCCCCATTGTATCCTTGGCAAAGGAAAACACGAGAAAGACCACATGGCAGGGGGCTTTGGATGGCATGGTGGAGGGCTCTAGAAGGGGAAGGCCTGAAACTGCCACACCAAGCCACACATACCTTGATTTCTCAGTCCTAGATTGGAGTGCAGCAAAGAGATGTTCATCCTCGGGATGCGGCATAAATGACACTAACTGGCAGTCAGCTGGAAGATAAAGCAAATGTATGAGAGGTCATCCATTACTAGGGAGATGAAAGAGATCACTCCAGGTACTGATGCTTTGCCGTATCTACTCATTCTTGTTACATTTTTACCTGTTTATATATTTATAATTTCTTTTGTAAAAATTGATGTTTTCCTATCTTTAGCCTTTTCCAAAGGCTCAAAATTTGAAGTTATTTTCAGACCTATCTGTGGTGTTTATTTAAACCAAAAGTTAATCTCCTTATTGGTATTAAAGACTTAATTTCATTCATTAATTTTGCTCATTTATTTTAGATTTTTCATTCATAGTCATATCTTGGATGATAGATTTTTCCCTCCTCTCTCTGTACATTTACCCCCTTTTTATCTAGTGGTTTTGGAGTTGCCACCATTTCAGAACCAGATATTAAAATATTGGTATTCCAATTCCTGGGTAATATGGGAGATACAGCAAAACCAGCACAATTTATACTCTGAATTTTATTACTGTGTACATGTGCTACCTAATTTTAAAGCCTAATGTATTTTTAAGTTTAGTTGGTTACTCTCCAGTGATACATAATTCAATTAAGTAAAAACTAGCAATCAAAAAATATTACTGCATCACCCCCCCCAAAAATAGCAATTGATGAACTTCAAGATGTAGCAGATTGACAGAGAAGTAAAAATCAAGTGCATAAGACTCTTTAGTCTCTGGGTAGAAGAAAGGATTAGATGCAAATCCATGATACAAAAGAAGAATGATGCATAAATATAAGGATACAGTATGTGTTCTACTTAGTTGTAGAAGAAATATTGTGACCGTTTAAATTGTCTCCCCTCTGACATACCCATCCACCTTATACCAGTCCCCCCAAAATATAATCCTCTGGCTTTACAGCTTATTAGGGCATGACTTCTAAAGTTAACAACAGCAAAATTATATAAGATGAAAAATGTACTTAAAATTTCTCAAGAAAGTTCCACACTAGAGACTGATCATCTCTTAGTTTTCCTCTAGTGTCAATCTGATAGCCATCTCTTCGGCTGACAGCCAGAAGAAGTGGGTGGTTTGGAATTAGAGACCACGTTACATGAAAAAAGTGTGCATCTTTGAACTTTGGAATCATACTCACTGTGGCCAAATGAGCACACCGTGAGGTCTACATGAAAACTGAGATCTACTAAGAAATTAACAGATTCAGCTCTTTTATCACATACAGAGTAGTATTTAAATTTTCTTTGTTGCTTTGTTGACCTTCACATTTAGTTGAAATAACGTAAGTTAAAAGCATGTGTGATGTGACACAAGTGTATCAAAGTGATGGTGACTGTCACCATGCCACAAATTTTGGCAGGTACTGTCAAGAACTGGGATTTTGGGGCACCTGGGTGGCTCAGTGGGTTAAAGCCTCTGCCTTCAGCTCAGGTCATGATCCCAGGGTGCTGGGATCGAGCCCCGCATCGGGCTCTCTGCTCAGCAGGGAGCCTGCTTCCCCCCTCTCTCTCTGCCTGCCTCTCTGCCTGCTAGTCATCTCTGTCTGTCAAATAAATAAATAAAATCTTTAGAAAAAAAAAAAAAGAACTGGGATTTTACCTGAGTTGCAAGCTAAAAATTTAACCTAATGCAGTTTCGTGGATAGAAGCAGAAGACATGAAACTTCTGGGTCAGAGACAAGGGGCTGTATTCTCCACAGCACTGTGTGCAGCATGAACATCAACGCTTTTGCCTCCATTCTTGCTGTCTGAACACACAACAATAAAGGAACTCTGGGCTTAAGGAAACCAACTCTTTTGTAGTGGAGAGTAAGCATTTCTGTCCTTTGCTCTGGAGGGAAACTATCTCTAACTTCGAAGGCTGTTTGCTAAACAAACACCTTCGAAAAAAACAGTGTGGGTGGGGCAAAGGACAGTCGGTGCCCCTGCTCACAAGATGTGCAGAAACGGAAGAGACCCACGGAGGGTTGTCCTCCAACAGGGGTG